ATATTTATGGGTAGGCGTTAAAAACTAAGAGCGTAGAAATTAATTTATTTAGTTTAGCAGTATTATTAATAGCTTTTATAGCTATTTATAAAATAGTATTATTATTTATATTATTATATAGTTTAATATATAGGATTTTATATATTTATTTAAGGGCTTAATAGTATTTTTTAACTTTCTTAATAAATTAATATGCTTTTATAAGGATTTATTTATATTTAAGTTTTATTATTTATGCCTTTAAATAGAATTTTAAAGATGCGAAGTTTATTTTTGCGTTATATTTAATGATATTTAGTAATTCTTAATATATATTAATTTAAAGTATTTATAATGTTTGCTATGTAATTTTTATAAATATAGATTTTAAGAATTTTACTTTTTAAAAAGCTATGGCTTAGTTTATAATATAAAGGATTAAGCGTTTGCTTAAATATATTATATTAACTAAGATTTTATAGTTAAATTTATGATTATTATATAATGTAAACTTAAAATGCTTAGGCGTAAGTTTATTTATTTAATAATGATAATATATTTTTTTAATTTTTATTATTGCTTATTTATTAATATTTAAATTATTAGCTTTTTTAAGCATTTGGCATAATTAATTTATTAATAGGTATTTAAAATAATAATAAAGTTTCCTTATTTTTATTTTTAAAAGGAAATATATAGCATTAATAATTTAATTTAAGAAAAACTATAAGTAACCTTATTTTTTAAGTATTAATATAATAATTATATTATTAAAGGAAACTATTTTATTTATAATATTATTATAATATACTTAAAGCTTATTTATATTTATTAAGTAAAGTAAGAATGGGGTTTATGCTTAAATAATATAGAAGTTAATATAATTAATTAAGGTAGAAACTTTTATTATATTAAGTAAATTAATAATTATTTTATTATTAAATTTAACTTTAGCTTTTTTTATAATAATTATATTAATTTAATACTTTAGGTTTTTTTATTATAATATAAGAAATTGCTTATATTTAGCTATAAATATTAATAATGCTTTTATATTTAATAAGATTTCTTAAAAATAAGTTTAGTTATATTTATTCTTTAAAATAAATTAATTAGCTGTGATAATTATTTTTATTTAAAAGATATTATCTTTTATAATTTAATGTATAAAGACTTTATTGGCTAGGAAATTAATATTTATATAATAAACCTTTTTATTAAGTTTTATCTTTATAATATAAGTATTATTATTATAATTATTATTTTAATCTTATTTATTTTTATATTTATAAAATTTATCTTTATTATTTATCTTATATTTTTTAAATTTGCTTAAAAAAGTATTAAAGTTATTATTATAATCTTTATATTTATATTATATTAAGTAGCTTTTTTTTTGCTAAATATTGCTTATTAATTAAATATTTAGTTAATTAATATTCCTTTTTTTTATAAATATAATATTTTTTCTTTTAGGGTTGTTTTCTTCCTTTTTTATAAGCATTATTACTTTAAGCTTTATAGCTAGTATTATAAGATTTTAATTACTTAAAGCTTAAATGGCTTAGGTTTAATTAATTAAATCTTTAATTTCCTTAAAATGCTTAAGATTATAATTATTATTCTTTCCTTAGCTTTTAGCTATTATATTTATGGTTAATGTAATATTAATTTAAGACTTTATTTATAATATAGATTATAATTATATAGTTAAGCTGTATTTTTATTGCGAATTTTAAATTTAAAAATAACTCTTTATATAATTAAGCTAGCTTAAAAAGAGTTATTTTTAGCTTAAAAACTTTTTTATAAGCTTTAATTATTATTATTTTTAAGTTATCCTTTTTAATATAATCTTAGCTTAATGTTTATTAATAAAGTTGTAGCTTATTAAGCATTAAATATAAAATTTTATATAGGTTTTTATTTAAGTTTTATGCTTTTATCTTTATAAATATTATTATTATTTAATTTATATAATAATGTTAATAATTAAGGTTTATATTAAAATATATTTTAATTTTAAGGTATGTTATTATAAATATATTAATTTAATTTATAAAATAAAGATAATAAGTCTTAGCTTAATCTTTAAGTATTTAAGGAAAAATTATATGGAATTAACTTAGCTAGATTTTAGTATAATAGTAAATATTAAAAAATATCTTTATTTTATTATTTAATAAATTATATAGGTTTTTAATATACTTATAAAAGTTATTAAAGGTTTTTATAAATTATATTAACTTTATTAAATTTAAGTATTTATTAGAAATATATTATAAGGAAAAAGTTTTATATAGGTTATACTTTTTATTTAATAAAGATATTTTTAAAATAGCTTAAGGTTATGCTAAGTATAATATATATTTTTAATATAAGCTTTATCTTTATTTTCTTATTAATAATAATAGGCCTTGCTAGCTATATTAGTTTTTAATAAATTGTATTATTAAGTTTAGGTTTTATAATTACGCATTTAAAGCTAATAGCGGTAATAAATATTATTTTAAGGATTATTTTTTTAGTAATTATTATTATTTAAAGCTTACTTATAATTCTTATAAGGGTTATGCTTATAATTATTATTTTTAAAGTTATATATAATATTTATTTATACTTAATTTTAAAGCTAATAAGGTATTATAAAACTTATTATTAATTTATTTTAATTTTTTCTTAGCTTAAGCTATAATAATTAATTATAATATTATAAGTTAATTATTGCATTTTATATAAATGCCTTATATTTAAAGAAAGACTTTTAAGTATTATTAATAAGGATTTAGCAATGCTTTAAATATTACTTATATTTATATTATATAATTTTTATAATAAATAATAAAAAGGTTGTTATTATAAAGGTTTTATTATATATAGCTTGCTAAAGTACTTGCTAAGTAAGTAATTAAGTATTTTATTAATGCTTTTTATATAATAATTATAAATTATAATTTTAAGTTAATATATTTATAATAGGTTAAGTTAATTAAAGTTTAAGTAAGCATTTTATTAATTATATACTTTTTAATAAAAATTAATAGCTTTTTAATATTATTAATTATGCTTATAGGTTTTTATAGTAAATATTATAAGAAATGAAATTAATAAAATAAAGAAATATTAATAAAATAAGTAATATTTAAAAATAAGTTAATAATAATAATTTAATAATAAGTAAGTTATAATTATTAAGAAGAAAAAGTTATTAATTTCTTTAAGCTTTAAAAGCTAAGGCTTTTTTTTATTATTAAGTTTTTTTATATTAGCTAAAAGTATAATATATAACTTACGCTTATTTATAATATAGTATTATGTTAGCTTTAATAATTATAATAATTATAAGCTTTATTTATTTAATAATTATAATAATTATAAGCTTTATTTATTAATAAAATGGAGCTTTATTAAGTTTTATTAAGTTTTAAAGAAAATTTAAAAATAAGTTTGTTTTTAATAAAGTTTTATATATAATAAATATATATTTCTTAAATAGTAATAAATATATATATAAATATTATAAGGAATGCTATTTAATTTATTTAATCTTTATAATATTTACTTAAAGAGTTTAATAATATAAAAAGGCTTAAAAAAGTAGTTATTGCTATATACCGCTTATTAATAAAAAGGATATAATTTTTAGGTTAGGGAAATTCTTATAAGGTTGCTTCTTTTACTTTATTAATTTATAATACTTATAATTATTAATTAATATTAATAGGTTTCTTATATATATAATAATTATATGGGAAGCAATTATATATTAATGTTATTCTGCCTAAGTTCTAAGAGGCTACGTGCCCTAAAGGGGATAACTAAAGTAGCCTCTAAGTGCGAGGGTCGTACTTGCCAACAGTCCCAGTGGTTGTTAAACCAGAGGAGGCTATCCCAGAGGATGTTGTTCCATATGACGTTTTCGCAGAGCAGAGGCGCATATTCGATCGATTTTCTTCAATTACACAAGACTAAATACCTTGTTGGACAACTTGAATTTCCATGTTAGCATGGAATTGCACGGGGTTGTACATAGTCACAGTATTAAGCCCGCATGTAATTGAATTGTGTCTAGCACATGTTTAGCCTTTCATTCAATGAATCGCTGTTCGATGCTCTATTGTCGCTTGTGCCCATGTAATTAAGATACACTCCGACAGTGTCAGATCACACACCCATGGCTTAAAGTGCGCAGTTACAAGTCTGGCCTCAATATTCCCTCCTGAAACAAATGACAATGTCTCGCGCCAAAGACCGCTTATGCTGTGCGTGAAGCAAAAACGGGAAAGTCCTTGGTGCCTGTGGTAGGTGCATTCAGATCATGAGAAACCCAAACCCACCAGCGAATATCATGGCCATGGCGGCAGCCGGCATTGAGAGCCCAGCGCCGGCCTTTGTAACGGTCCCTGGTGCCCCGACAGTTTCGTTTGAATGGTGATGCGGGCAGGGGTGCTCTCCAGCAGGGCAATGGTGACTAGGCGTCGGCGGGACCTCAGGAGCGGTCTTCACATGCGTAGATGGTTGCACTGGAGAGCCAGAAGGTTGAGCCTCGGTATTCGGGGACGCCGCAGGTGGCCGTCCAACGGCCGGTATGAAAGGACGCGATGGCGGCATGGGGGCAGGTATCGGTGGAGGCCCAGGATATGCCGCAGGTGGTGCTGGTTGCTGATTCGGTGCTGGTTGCTGCTTCGGTGCTGGCCGCTGTTTGGGAGGTGGCTGTTGTTCAGGAGGTTCCGGAACTGGTGCTGGAGCCAGCTTCTTCCTCCTCTGACACGAATGCCCTTCCGGGCAGATACGCGATGACTTCTTCGAGTGCGGCTTGTCGCACTCAGTCCAGCACCCTCGACCACCAACACAGTGATTGGCACAGCCAGGGGGAGCCGGCCAGGGGACGTTGGCTTCGCGGACGGCTAGCTTATTCCCGATGTAGTCGTCATCAGGCTGACATTCAAAATCCCGCTGGGCACGTTGCCTCCGGCCCAAACACGCTTATTGTGTATGTGGGTTTGTAATGCTTTTTCTTGTCACCCGGCAGATATGGACGCAGTCCCGTGGGGCTTCCGCGGGGGGTCCCACGGTGTCGGGCCCGGCTTCTTGCTCGTGTTGAGAACAATGGACGGGTAAGGCCGAACAGGTCTGTGTGGAGGATCCCATGTCGTAGGGCCGGGCTTCTTGCACGTAGTGTGTGTCTTGTGATCGATGACAGTGGCCGTGCATCCGCCGTGCTGGATGGTGGTTACCGTGCTCAACCTATCTTTGGTGACTGTGCGCGTCTTGCCATCGTAATCCACAACCGTTGTTGGCACCGGAACCAGGACAAGCCTGGTGATGGTCTGCCAGCGGGTCTCCTTGTGGCAACATGAGGGGTCGTGATGATCGCCATGGCACACGCATGGTGTCGCACTCGGGCTGACATCAACGACGGAAAAGGTCGCGGCGAATGGCTGGGAGACCGAGATGATCGTGGCAGGCGGACTTGAAGAAAAGTTGTGTGCCGCAGAGAATCCGGGGTGAGAGTGGCTCACAACGGATGGGCGAGAAGAGAGATTGTGGGTCGTTGGCGGGCTTGGGAGCGTGTAGTACACGATACGACGAGGGGAAGAAGAATTCTGTACCGGAGAAGGGATGGAGACAGAGTGGTCTACAACAGATTGGTGGGGAGAGGGACTGCGTGTTGTGGGCGGGCTGGGTAGCGTGTGGTACACGATACGTCTATGAGAAGACGACCGGTGTGTTGTTGGAAGGCTGGATACTGAGATTGCCGTACCGGGTGGATGTGTAGAGAGATTGTGCGCCGTTGGCAGGTTGGAGAGAGTGTGGCCTTCGACCGGTTGATGGGAAGATGAAGGACTCGGTGCCGAAGGGACACTGGGGAGCGAGATGGTCTCAAGTGGTGGAAGGGAGGAGGAACTATGCGTCGTGAGACTAGAGGCCCTCAAGGGTGAAGGCCATGTCGCCTGGCCCAGAGTAGCGAGAGCAGCAACGGGGAGAATAGTGGATGACTTCATGTTGGCTAGCAATTGCAAGTAGAAGCGAGTGGATAAAGCGAGTGGATAGAGTGTATCTTGGTATCAAAATCATTAATGACAACTGGTATGATGGGCGATATTCAGCGAGAGCGATGAATGAAGAAGAGAAGAATCCTGAATCTCCTCAACTGGGACGGCAAGACTCAATTTCTTTGTTGACCAAGGGAGCTAGGTGCGAGCGTATGGGACGGTCCTGCCATTTCTGCTGTGAGGTTTGCCCCCAGACGGAAGCCATGACCAGATCAAGCTCAAGCATGTCCCATTTGTCGCTCCAGGCCTATGCAACGCATGATCAAGAGAGAACAAACCTATGGAGATCGCGGATCCTTTCAAGACTGACCACATATGGGGCTCCAGAAAATCCGTATATGGGACATGCTCCTTGTGAAGACACTTCAACTCACAAGCAACTTGTTGTTTGGGTGTGTTCAAGCGCCAGGATGACCTGTCTGCGACCAATTGAGAATCCTGACAGGCGCTCCTCCCTCCCGAGTCCTTTGCCTCCCAGGCAGGGAGCAAGGCACATCCAAAGGGAGCGCCTCTGAGGAGTTGCAAATGGTGGGAGATGGGCGTCATATTCGATGTCATATATTCAAGCTACTAGGTATGAAAAGGTCTGGTCAGGGGCACTGTAGATTGGACGACCTACTCCGATAGAATGGCTTTCCGCTTGGATTGATTGAGAGCAAGTACTCTAGGGGACACTCAGGCGATGGGACCGGACAGATGTGTGGGATACTTCCCGTCGTCCCAACAAACAACCAATTCAGTTCTCTCAAGCCTCGACACCTCTGAGTCGGATCTCGAGACAGTTCTGTAGGCCAAAGGCCTTGTGCGAAAAAATTTGCCTTGCAATTTATGCTCGGTTTCCTGTAAACATCAGTTCTTTTGTGCAAGACCGGCGTATTTCACTTTTGAGGTCCCATAGACCCGTCGCTTCACGTTTGCCCTCTACCTCAACTCCACCCAACTCCAATCTGCAAGTGCTGCAAAGCCAAACGCCTGATTTCCATAACACAAGAACCCTACGCCTCCTCGGGCACACCTGAAAAGAGCCCAAATCGCATTCGGTGACTCTGCGTCGCGCGTGTCAGCTTACACAGCACAAGAAAGTTATCAACTCCAGGCTGAAGGGGGAACATACAAATGGTAGTTTGGGAATGACGACCGCAAGGACTGCGAGAAAGTTGATGGTGAAGTATGCCAGATCATAATGCGTGTAGTGCGTGCTGAGGAGGAACAGCACGATCGGGACGCTGAGCAAGAACTTCTTGGCGGGTGTGTATTGGGCTCCGTCGTCGATTTGCTCCCACATGTTCAAATTGTCGTATGCCCCGGCGTTAAATTCAAAAGGCACTCCTCGAACGTAGTGGAACATAAGGTACGATCCAGCCATGTACGAGATGTTCGTCAGAGTCCACGATGTCTCCTGCGACACGCCTGGCATGATATCGTAGAAGATCTTGAGACACATGATGAGGATGAGGTGGATTGTCCATGCCCCTGTTCGGATGTGAAAAGCAAGCCAGTGTCAGCCTTCATGTCCACCAATGCCTGGGGATCACCCGCCATCTTCTGTATTCGGCACAGCACCCACTCACCTTTGGCGTTGACCCAGTTCGCGTTTCCGTTGGGGAGTGCCGCGCGGTCACTGAGCTGCTCAACAGTCTCAGGGGGCTCGTGGTAGACTTGGAGGATGCTACTAGACCTTCTCCTACGGGCCGTGTTCGTTTCCGCCATTTTGTACACACTCCCCCGACGCGGCGGATTGGTCCCCGTGTCGTAGGAGACGGTCCGCTGCAGGAGGATTGGGGAAGACAGCTTGCCGGTGTTGTCGGGAATTGTGGGAAATTGCTGAGTTGTCCGGCCGAAAGGTCGGACGTACAATTTGGGCAGCGCGAGCAGTTCGTATGGGACGTGGAGATCGAGCGGAGCGTGGATGGGTTCGCGGTGGTCGGCCGAAAGGGCTGTGGCTACCGCACGGGTCGAGCTGGGCGTCTTTGTATGAAGCTTCGGCTCGGGGTGGGTTTCCGGCGATGGGGCACAAGAACCAATTGGTTGTCGGGACTGCGAAATGATACCGATTTAAGAAAGATGGCTAGTGAGTAGAAGCCGAGGTCAGCGAATTGCCGTCCTGTTCCAGAGGCAAGCGAGCTGAACGGAAAGAACGGCTGCTGTCTCGAAGTGCTGAAGCAGACAGTCTTGCTTGGGAGTACCAAAGTCCAGCTGGACTGCGGGCTATTGGCTGCTCTGTTACCCGAGGCACAGCTCTCGTAGTGCGCGTCAGGGCCTGTGTTGTGTGGGAGCCGGGTTACAGAGCACAGCCAAAGACCCAGATGTCCCGTCGATGGATCGTGGCCGAGACGCCTCGTGACACCCAGAGCGACCTGCGGCACAGCAGGCAATGGAAGGCGGGGGAGAGGGGAGGGGGAGGAGGAGGAGGAGGAGCACCTACACAATAGCGATGGACGAGAAGAGAAATTAGAAACCAGCCACGGTGATGGCAAGCAGCAGCGATCAGAGTGCTCGGTGGTGGTGAAGGTATGTACTGGTTTGGCTTGATCTGTCCCTTGTGACGAGAGAAGGCAGAGCCGGCGGTGGGAGAGCGGGCGAATGGACGGATGGGTTGATGATAGAATATGTCCAATCTTGGAGAAATCCAGGGCAAAAGAAAAGGGTCCCTGTTGGAGTTGTCAGTTGTCTAGACCTGCCTTGTCCAGGTTGTGCTGTGCTGTTGCTTGTCGGTCGGTCGGCCTGGGCAATCTGGTTCTAGTTCGGGCCAGTCCAAATCCAGGCTCGCCCCAGTCTGCCAAATGACGGGGCCAGCACTGAGCAGCGCAGGGCCCGACACGGTGGTTGTCGCCTCCTTTTTTGCGGAGCCGGTTTACAATTGATGTTACGCTGCAGGTTTGGCGGTACTTTTACGCCACCACTGAAAGTGGTACACGGCCAGGTATCTGCGAACCCGCCCACTAATAACCCTGACGCGACGGCCATGCTGGAGCTTGAGCTCACTCACCTGCACCAAGGCTTGCAAGCAAGGGAAACGAAACGGATCTCGGCAGGCACGCACACGCGCGCGCACGCACACACACACACACCACTTGCCGGTACTCTCTTCGATGGCAGAATTTTGATCTTGCTGCCCTGGCATTTCAGGTACGGCCGCTCAAAACAGACGACATAACTAACACCTGCAGCAAAGGGACCCAGGTACGGTGCACTCGAAATTCTCGACGCCAGAAAACCACGGGCCACCGGGAGACGCGACTCGTAAAGAGACACGTACCTGAAGAATTGGGTCGACTTTACGGTCAAAAGTCGTACGTACCGCATCGCATCGCCTTACTGTCAGGGCAGTCATCGCCACACCCTTGCGCGCCCGAGCCACTCTGAGCTCAAGTCACCTTTCGACGTCAGCCCATCCGGGCCATACCTCACTCCTGTCATCCCCATCCGCCAAGCACGGCGAAGTCCAAGCCACAACTCACTGGCGTTCACTGGCAATCAACAGCAGAGGGATCGTAGCTCATCCCAAACGTGGGGTGCCCCGCAACAAGGAAGGAAGTTGATAGTCAGGCACCCGACTCAGATGAGGGTTCATCGGGGCATGACATCTTGCCTCCAACCGGTCTAAAGTCGACCATTGTGGATCATGACAGACCAAGCCGCAGAAGGTCCTGCCGTCGAGGCGCCAGCTGTCGCCACCTCACCGTCGGCTGGCGCTGATGAGACAACTCACAAACGCCGGGCCGACGACAACGACGCTGCCTCTCCTCGCAAGAAGGCCAGGAACGACCAATCAGAGGGAGAGGCATCGGATGGCGTTGACGAAGGGGAGGTGAATTCTGACGCAGAGTCCAAGGCAAGCGCTTCAACAAAGCAGGCTGGCCAGACCTGGAACAGCGGCGTCACCACTCAGCTCCGCACCTCATTTGGAACTTCTTCCAAGTCGAATGCTGCTAAACCTCCACCTAAGCTTACACCTACTCTTGCGCAACAACGTCCTTCCTCTCCTGAACAGCTGACTCCAGAGATTCGCAAGGAGCTGGTTGCCGCTATCCAAGCGGGTGCGACCACCACTTTCCCGCCAGTCGAGGAGCATGAGCGCTCCTGGAAAATACCTGCATTCAAAGCCAACTTCAAGGGACAAACTTGGGACGGAATATTCAAATCGATGTTTGATCAGTGGTATGTCCCCCCGTTCTGTCTGTCGTTTACACTGTCTGTCTTGACGGGAGAGGTGTATTAACAAAGTGCGCAGGTCTGCAGATTTTGTCACTAAGAACCAAGGAAATATCGCTGAAGTTGGGCTCGACCCCTTGTTCTTGAAGAGCTTATATCTTCGAACGCTTGAGGAATCAGTGCCTGGCGCGAATCCAATGCTGGTCTCCTTCACTCAAGATCAACTAAACCGTACCTCTAAACGTAGCCCGCTGAGACAGGTTGCAAAAGGATGGACAGATCGGAAACGCGCGAAGCGAGAGGCCAAAGAACGGGCTAAGGAAAAAATCGAGCAAGAAAGCAAACAACCACCAGAGCAGCCGCCGACGAGACAAACGAGAAGTTCTGCCAGGATGAAGGAGACTATAGAGAGTGACGCAGGCAAATCGACGAGCTCTGCTGATCGGAAGTCTTCTGCAGCATCCTCCGTACCTTCCTTTCCCGATCTTCCGCTGGCTCCACCCTCAGAGCTTGCTGCTTCTCAACAGTCTCCCGCGGTCGCTGGAGAGGATGTCCCAATGGACGAGGACGACGGCGACGATGAAAATGACAAGGATTGGAAGCCCAGTAACATGAATTCAGCTCAAACGAAGACTGGGAGTGAGACATCCCCTTCTTTCCCAACGGAAGCCGCACTTGAGCAGCGTCATCGCTATTTTCCAGGTGTTCCAGATGATGCTGTCTTCTGCCTCACTTGTGCCACCTACGGTCACAACACACCAGATTGTCCAGAGACAACCTGCAAGTTCTGCCAGCAAGACCACTTCTCTTACTCGTGTCCATCTCGACAGAGATGTGCAAAATGCAAGCAGCTTGGTCACACCAAAGCCACATGCAAGGAGAAACTTGCAATGGTTGCAGGCGAAGGCTTCATGGAGTGTGCCTTTTGCCAAGCCCAAGACCACCAGGAGGAGCAATGTCCCGAGATTTGGGAAACCTATCGACCACAGGTAGGCCAAATCAAGCAGGTCAGGTCCGTTCCCACCTTTTGCTACTGTTGTGGGGCAGAAGGCCACTTCGGCACGGACTGCGGTCTTGCCGATCCCAAGGTGCCTCCCAGCGCGACGTGGAGCAACGCAGGAGCATCTCTGTACGTCGACCCTACGAGCTCAGAGGAAGCCATCGCGTTCCAAAACCCCATGCCGGCAGCCCAGGCGATCTCGGCGCCCATCATTCCGGGTCGGAGTATCAAGCCACAATCGCATATCATATTCGAGGACAGCGGCGATGAGGATAATGGCAGCCAAGGATTTCTCAGAGCACCTGCTACCGGACCGCGACGCCCAGGTCAGATTCAGATAACATCGAACATCAACTTTGGGGGCTCGGCCGGTCCTTCGGCTCAGAATGGCGGCGGTGGCCAGCAGGACTCAACGAATTCGAAGCAGCGGCGGAAGCAACGCGGGCAGAACGCGCCAGCTTCTCTGCCTCCCAAGCCCCAGGTCGCACCGTCCGCTCCTGCTACTGCACCGCAGGCTTCTAGGAAGGGCAAGAAGAACAACAAGAAGAGCGGAAAGACCTCTCAGCAGCAGCAACAGCAGCAGCAGCAGCCACCGCTGCCGCCTGGGCCACCGCCTGGAGGCCGCAACGGCTGGCGGCCCCCGGAGTTTCAGGCACGAGGTGGTAACAGCACAAGGGGACGAGGGGGCTTCAGCAGCCTGAGTAGAGGCGGTGGCGGTGGCGGTCGTCGTGGCGGCGGACGGAACTGAATGGGTCCCAGCAAAGGGCAGTGTGCACAAGCGGTGTAGGAACGTGGACCAAGTGTGTTCATATTTATAAACACCAAGCAGACGTCAGGAGCATTCCATTTCAGGGATGCCTACCTGTCCATGAGTGCTCCTGTGATGACGCGACGTCCAGTGATAATGGACGAGAAGTTCAGGGCACAAGGTCCATCCCGAAGAAGTTAAATTGATTAGAAGTGCCTTGCCGTGACTGTTCGTCGGCTTCATGCATTTCTCTTGGACGACGTGCATTCGTTCTGATGGAGGGAGTTGGTCCAACATTCCTGGGCCTGAATCTGACCAGACATGCGCTCGCCTGACTTCTTGAAGGGAGTGTGTGCGAGAGATAGACAATTGATCCTGCCCAGCCGTGGGACAGAAACAAGACACGATGCCTCCAAGCTACGCTGTACGGTATCCAAAGCAATCCAAGTGCTGCAAAACTGAAACTAGTTGTTTCAATCGTGATTTAGCTTTTCAGTAGACTTACATGTGCCTTTCTTTCATCACCAGGACGGAGGATGGTAGACGCTGCGGCTGAGGCTGACGGGCTACCATCCACCAATTACTGTACCCCACAAGCGTGGGCCTCCCCCGCGGTCTTGAGCTTAACTCGACGACGTCCCTGAATAATGCCTCCGTGCCGGTCGAGATTGGAACGGGAAGACCCCCCGCCACGGCGCAAATCCTGTCATAGCTGTGTGAAAGCAAAGCGGAGATGCGACCAGAGGCAGCCAACTTGCATGCGATGCTCTCAGAGGAGGATTGTCTGTTGTTACCCATCCCGGCCAGCCAGGTCCGAGGCGGCCCCAACCGACCCATCGCCCGTGACACTGACGGCCCCTGGATCGGACTTCCTTCTGGATTGCGCTGATGTAGACGAAACAATTTTAGATTTCCTTGTTCCGTCATGTCATGCCGAACCCGTCAACCATCCATGGAGCAGCCGGAAGTCGCCAAGTCTACACGACCCAGAACTGCCTTGGACCCCAGGCTTTGATCGGTCTACCGAAGTTGCCGACGCCACAAGCATAGGACTGGCTGTAGATGAGCGCGATATCCTTGGAGATGGAAATTTGGACACAGAGGGTCTCTTTGGCTTCACAGATAGCGCGCTGAAGGGCAAGGACATCGCAGCGAGGCCGCCAATGGGGGTCCCTGCTGCCCCGAGACGGCTCGACCTGGCAGATCTTCACGCCGCTCTGGAATCCAACTTTTCGTACGCTATGGACAGGATAAGAGCAGCGCCTTCGAATATGCTGCTGGAGAATCAAACTCCATGGTGTCACCCGCTGTTGTTTAGGGAAACTATGCCTCGGGTGATGCAGGGTAAGTATCACTAGTATTCGCACTGTTGTCTCCGTGTGTCATTGCAAAACGAAGAGCTTCGGGCTATTTATATGGATGATGTGGCTAATTCGACCCTCAGAAGCCGTCTCCGCGTGCGCACTGCACGCATCCATGAACGCAGTCAACTCACGCGTTATCATCCGCTGCATAGAAACCAAGGTGGACGACCTAATAGGCTCCGCGCCACAACCAGAGGCCCTAGATGCCCTGGCACGCACCCAAGCCCTGCTGCTCTACCAGACCATCCGCTTCTTCGACGGCGACGTGCTGGCCCGGTCATCAGCCGACGCTACCTTCTGCGAGCTGGAGTCCTCGATTCACGCCCTCCACGAGCACGTATCATGGGATATCGCCAGCTCACCGGACATGTGGCTTACAACCTCCTCGTGTCATGTAAATAATCCTAGCCTGTCCCTGCCACAGCCCTCGCGGGAGTTCTGGAAGGCGTGGGTATATCAGGAGTCCGCGCGGCGGACGTTCCTCGTAGCCTCGTTCTTTGTGTACATCTGGAAGATGCTCACGGGCCAGCCGCTAGTCCAGCGCTGGGACGACGAAGAGCTCAGGCGCCAGTGCTGGACGTTGTCGGCGCACCTCTGGGGGGCAGGGAATTCGTTCGACTTCGCGGCTGCATGGCGTGATAGGAAGCACCTTGTCGTGCGCAGGGGTGCGATCCGGAGCACGATGATGAACGTTGAGGCGGGGGACGTGGAGGCATTTGGGAAGATGTTGATGACTGCTGCCTTGGGTGTTGATGAGACGGAGGATTGGTTGGCTTCGATGGGTGCAAAGCTGTGAGCGCGAGTGCCTATGTCACGATAGATCCACGGCTTGATGAAGTCAGGATAGAGGTTATCGCTTCAGTTGTCGGCGCTGCCAGCTCAGAGATGTCTCTCGGTACAGTCATTTGCCTCTTGTGTCACATATCCTGTCCGTTTATGTCGTCAAACACTATGTGAAGATTAGGTTAATTGGGTGTAGAGCTTGGATGGCGTGCTTATGGGTGTGAGTGCTTGAGAAAACCAAGTTGACCATGCGTCATCCTAACTGGGTTTCTCGGCTTTTGACCAGCACTCATAAGGTCACGCATGCTGTGGATATTACCCCTCATCTCGAACTTTTCACGCTGTGAACTTCTCCTTGAAGATCATCATCGGTCACGAACTCATTCCAATTGGTTGTAACCGTCTCGATGCAAACCTGTGTACTCCTCAGGATCCTTGGGAAAGGCTGAGCACGCGCAATCATAGAATCTCGTCCAGAAGGGCTAGATCCAACATGTCTAAGGCCAGCAAGCACTCGTCAGATGCCTTCCAACCATGAACTGAGTATACGGGAACACAATGTAGCCACAAGACAATGGATGAGTGAAGCTGCTGGTGCCCGTTCAGCCGTCCGAGTGAGGCTTTGTTTCACTATTTTGAGTTTATGCTGTCGACCTATGCGAGATACAATTTGCCCCGTCAACGCTCTCACAGACTAATACACGTGACTTGGACCCTGTGCCACCCGTTGCCATTCCCCGAGAATTAAACTTTCGGATAGACTTTGGCACGGATGGGAGCCTCCCCTCTCGTCCACTCAATGGTTGCATTTTGGCAGGCCCCTCATGTGCGCACGAGTCGCGAAAACCAACAGGCGGTGATGAGGCGATGGCCATGGAGCTCGTGGACAAGCTAATCTTCTTGGTCCTCGCAACTCTGGCCTCGGGGAAATGCCCGTCGAAACCGTGAGGAGCGCCCTGTGCTCCGGAGGGCTGTCCATCACTGCCTGATCGCCACACGCACCCGGCCAAAATCTGTCCCTCCCCGCAGGCTGCTTGCTTTCGAAACCTCATGACACTGACGAGGGACGTGTTAAGCTGAGGTGAATTTCGCCCGGCCCACCTATTCCCGCGGCATACCTTGGAATCGCAGTGTTCTTTTATTGCTCCTCCTGGCCCCTTACTCCGGAACTGGGCGGATCCGCGATGGTGCCACCCTTGATTGGAGGTCTTGCGTCGCGCGCGGACAGCGATATCAGCTCCGAGCCCGGCCGCGGCCGCGTCGAAGAGACTCTCCCCGGGAGCATCACGGGCGTGCTGACCTCGCTCGTGGCTACGAGCTTCGTGTTTCACTTCCTCGGTGGGTTTGACTGAATTATTGTGCGTCTGCAGAGGCTTTGGCTGAGACAGAATACAGTACAAAGGTATCGACAAGTATCGCAATGGCGCAAGCTTTCCTACATCGACTGGCGTGAGTACTGCCCTGCCTATATACGCAGGCGATCTACTGTATGAATTCTCCATTACTGATCATGCCACAATAGTAATACTAGCCCTCTTTGTTGATTCGTGGCTGTTTTTCGCCGGCTCCACCGTCCTTCAATTCGGTGGCTTCGACGTGAACGTTGACTCTCGCGCCTGTGCAGCCGGCTCGTACATGTGTGTTGTGGGCTACTTCATCAGCAAGGTAAATCAATACACACGATCTACGATGTTAACTGACTAACAATATTCCAAAGATAGTACGTTGTCTAAGACCCGAAAACCACGAGACAAGTGGGAAAGCAAAGACTGACCGGAACTAGCTAATTTACCTTCTTCTTGTCGAGCGGTTTGTAAGTCCAAACTGTTTTTTTTGCCTTCATATCACGAGTGCTCAACCAATCTAACTATCGTAGTACGTTATAAGAGATAAGGGGCGTGGCCGCCTCAAGTCCAAGCTCTACATTCTTAACCTCGTGGCTGTCTTACGTATGTACTAAAGTACCTGACCCAGGTCAGACATATTACATTCTTCACAGTTTCTGACACCAACTCCTAGTTTGCTATGTCGCTTGGCTCCCGATTTACATGGTCTTCCATATCAGCCATAACAATTCCGGCGTCGTAAGTGGCCTCTAGGAACTACTGTCTCCCCGAGGACAAGCCTTCACCTTGTTCCTGGGCTTTGCAAAAGCTTCCTTGGCACATAACCAGCTAACTCTGCGTCTTTGCAGTGTATCATTGGAGTACACCAGCGATTCCTTTCTACAGCGTTTGCATGTGACGTTGGCATTAATGTAAGTACACCCCATATTTTCGCTCTGCTCGGCAGAATACAATCAAATTAGGACTGACATTTGATCGCTTAGCTATGGCTCACATCATGGTTCCTGTACCCATTGATGAGTAGGTCTCAGACTTAGGTCTTAGTTACCCATTGCAACTAACACGAAAATACTAGAATTGAAACCAGAGGGCGCAAACAGATTGAAAGCCATAGTCTGCCCGAGACGAGCAAGCCAGGATGCAGACTCTAGTGTCGTGCGCCTATATAATCTTGCGCGGAGAACATTCCTCGGTTCTGTCATCACTTTGACGGCTACTTCTCTGTGAGTCAATAACCTATATAATGTCAAGCAATAAAGTAGCACTGTACCTAATATTCCTAGAAACCTGGGTGTTTCAATCGGGTACGATGGGCTAAGCGCCTGGCTGTGTCTTATGCTCTGCAGGATCGATGGTAAGTCAACCAGAAACTTGGACAGCAGCTCGAGAAACACATGTACAAAGCTGACAAATGGGGTGTAGTCTTTATCTGCGCCGCTGTCATCTACTGGATCACTCAAAAAGAACCTGCGCCGCCCAGTTATCAGGACAGGCCGTGGGGTGTGCCAAATTATCGTGGAACTGATTTCACGACTCTTGTGGGCAACTCGTCCATGCCAGGACCACGGCCAGCGAGGGCCTTCGACGGCGTTGGTGGGGATGCTCATCCGGGCAGTCTAGTACCGGGAAGCTTGCATCTGGGGAGATTCGGGAACTCAGGCGAAGACCTTCAAGAGTCGCACATGTCGGTCAAGTCAGCTCCAGAAAGCCAAGTTTGCGCGACGGGGAGTGATGAGACGTCTATAAGACAAGACCGAAGTGACGTTGAATGCGAAATCAGGCAACACGGAGGATTGTGATGGGACTTAATGGCACTGGTCGAGTCCGCTTTGAAAACGACTCCAAGTCCAAGTAATTTAGGGGAGCCAGTCTCCAACATTATTTTCATACATCATTTGAATAACACGAGAAACAAATGGCCTACTCGTGTAGGTCGTAGGCAAGGGCTCGGTGCATGCATGGGGCCTGACCAAGAATATGTGGGGAAGGAGTGTGACACACTTCTATTTTTTATCCGTGATCGAACTCAACAATCTCTGGTACCCGACTACGATATTGATTGTGGAAAGCGGGTATCATCAAGCACTGGAAACGAACGGACGGAAGCATTTTGGAAGATGTCAATTTAAGTGTTCTATCTGTGCTTTTATTTCCAAAAGAGAAAAATCAATCCGCTGTACTCCTGAAACAATCCCATCGCTACTTAAGCTGTCTGAAAGGCTGCTGGTCTCTGAGTGGCATTCACCGCCGCTTGCTGTCCCAGCGCCTGGCTCGTCATGGTCCGAAGCTCAGGCTGCCCGAGGAGCTTATAGCGGTCCTCAGCCTGCAGCCTCTGGGTGGTGATGCGGTCCGGGTAGTTCCGCATGAACATGTTGGTGAAGTGGGTTCCGTAGTGGATGCCCTCCTGAGGCTTCTGGCCGTTGTTGTAGCCCTCGAGGGGCTTCACCACGGCCTGGAAGCTGGGCTCGTGGAAGTAGGCGAAGGCGAAGCGGTCCCTTGTGTTGAGCCCGACTTTGTGAGGGGTCGAGGGTAGGAAAGAGTCGGTCATGTATTGCATCATGTCACCTGTAGATGTTAGAGACCAAAGTCATGTGCTTATATCTCGGTAGTCTGCGTTGCTTACCTGGGAATACGGTGAAGGTGTCAGCGACGGGAGGCACGTAGACCCACCCCTCGTCGTCTTCCTTCATACCGGCCGCACTCTTCTCCCAGTTCGCATAGCTTTCGCCCTGGTACGGGGGACGGATGAAGAGTCCCCCGACATCATCCTGAGCGGCAATGACCAGGAGACCGTAGTCGGTGTGACTGCCGATGCCACGGCCGGCCTTGCCTTTTCCATTTGTCTTGTTGGTGGGAGGGAATCTGAAATACTAATCAGCTGCCATCCAATGAGTAGCGATGGGGTTTCTTCATGACTTACCGTAGTATCCTCATGTGGTGCCATCCATCTTGCGTATACTGCAGGAGAGCCCCCTTGGGAACACCTAGGCCCAACTCTGTCAAGGCAAGGAGTTTCTCTCCAGAGTCGCCGAGGTAGTTCATGTAAGACTTCATGGGGTCTCGCATTTCTGCGTCAGGCCAAGGGCAGGGTCCATGGCATGGCCACTTCTTAGCGACCCTTGGCTCTGCCAGGTCGAGGTCCTTTGTGACAGTGAAGATCTCTGAATAGTCCGCGATGCCGTCTGTGATCTCCTCTCCCGAGGCGATGTATCCAGCGTAGCTCTGCGAGTCAATGCAGGCTGCCTTCTCGTTGTGGGGCTTTCCGAAGAACCTCTTGCTGGCTTGCTCCGCGTACTTGTAGATCTCCCGTTGACTACTGTTCATGGCGATCTGGAAGATGCCGTCGCGCTTCCAAGCCTTGACAAGTGCTTGACCCATCGCCTTGTCACTGGCTGACCCGGTGACACGATCGGGCAGTTTGAATGTCTCTAGACACCCCACCTTTGCCTTGTGCCCAGGAGGCATGGTGGCTCCGGCGTCCCGGATGTGGGTATTGTGGACTGTGGCCATAGCTCTTGTGGCAAGTGGCCGCCCATTACGGGTAGCCAGGTGCCTGGCGGCTTTTGCGAGGGCAAGAGGCATGATGTGAGGATAGGGAAAATTGAATGTGTGTCTTGGTGGATTTGTCCAAGTGTGAGGAATGATGATCACCTTCCCAAGTGACGGTCGACAAGAGCCGCCTTATATACATTTTCTCTTCCTCCATAGCGAGCAGCCCAAGCCAACATGCTCTGTTAGATGCTCGGAATTTATCACAAATCCGAGCATCGACACAACTGAGCATGCATCAGGACGATTCAAGAGGATGGCGCCTTGTCTTGGACGGTATCCCCGCCGTAAGAAGCATGGCAGCCGCCTTGGCGACTTGACCCATCGCTGAAAGGCTGACGATACTCGCGAGGCTCTGGTGTCCATTATCTATGGACTCGTACCACTCTTGTAGCTTTGAATCGAAACTCATCAGTTTGTGCTGTCAATATCGTGTCCGTGCCATCGTCTGGGTCCTGGTGTGTACACATAAGTGCTAACGGGATGTTAAGGACTAATACTGATTCCTCAACGGCCTGCCCTTGGAATGACATCGCGCACACGGTTGTGGGATCATATGATCTATACTGGGTCCCATTTTTTAAGCTCTTTTTGAGGGTCGGCGGAGCCGGTGTTGGCGCGCCCCGTTTGCTCTGACGGGAAGATATCCATTCATAGCCTGGGTGTAGTGGGACTCAGCGGTATTAGGCGATTGTGGATCAACGTATAGTCAGCCAGCTGTAATGTGTACCTATTTCTCGGGCTACGCCGCGGGCGGCATGTGGACACGGGTCTCGAAGCGAAGCGCTTAATGCTGCCTCAGCGGTGTAGTCTCGGTGACTCGCTCAAGTGTAGGGTCAACGAGGCAATCACGAGTCGCGGTCGGAGTCGTTGTGCCTGTCTGAGTCGGCTGAGACGGGAACGATTCATCCATTTTTCCGTCGTGAAACCACGCTTCTAAAACTGCTTGAGCTATGCCACGTGTTTGACCAATCTCTAGTCCACCGGAGCCGGAGCAGAGGAAAGATATTTCCCTGTCATGCTTGTGGGCCTTCTGCTTAGAAGTCTGTGAGGCGGGATCAAGGTCTCTCGAGATATCAAATCACTAATCCAAAGACCCCTGCCGAGTCGACGAGTGAAAAGTAGAGCTTTCAATGTCTTAGGTTTAAGGGCGAGACCGCCGATTCTGGGTCTATTTGGAGATCTATTCTATCTACCTGGTACAGGGGTAAATGTGTCTTCCAATGAAGGAGGACAGCCCATCTAATTGTGCAGCAGAGAGCATGTTAAAGTTCTCGTACCTCCACAGTGGTGGGGAGCAACAGTGAGGTCCACTGGTCCACTTTCTGCCTTCGCGGGCCGCGAGATTTCCTGCTCCACAAGCACGACTCAATCGAGCCGTCTCCAGATCGTGTTAGGTGGCTTAGTAGCAGAGGCGTTTGAGGGGTCGAGATTCTGCCAAGGATGCCTGGGAACGCAAGATCTTACCGCAAGACCCCGAGTCGGGTCGGTCGGTCGCTTCGCTGATGACTCAGATGGCTTGCGTGTAGGATGATTGCACGTATGGCGACAGAAAAGAAGCCAGGCCGTGATCGATTGGAAGTCTTTCCTAAGCTCACGGTGACTATCCACATTTCTCATAATTGTATACTCGTTTCGTGCTTGGCATCCTCCGACCAGGGCAAGCCACAATTGGCAAAGTCTTTACGGACTTGAGCAACTCTTCGAGCTCAAATTGAGATGTCGTCTCATGTCTGCCAAGCTTTACCGACTGCTTATGAAGGGATTTACATATACAGATTTAGTCTCTGTATGATATCCATGCAAGACGGTGCTAGTCCCATGGAACGTTCTCGGCGAAATGTCGAAAATGGGCCTTGACCGTTACACGCCAAATGGCTTTGACCGTGTTGGGTAGGCCGGTAATTGTTACACGGAATTAAGCTCTGCTAGGATCTCATATGAACCTAACCTGATTGCTCCTGCACACAAATATTACGGCCCAAGATGCCGGGCTGCTCACAAGGCTTGCATGGTGAATAGATTCCCGCGTCAATTCCCGCGTCAGGCACTCTGGCTCTACTCCTTGGGGATCTGGATCGAGCCTTGGACCTTGAGGCTAGCGGCAATAACATATCACTTCACCGGGCCGCGGGACGATAATACTCACAAGAGCTCATGCTCCGCCGGCGGGTCTTGTGGTGGATATTAAAGTTTGTATGCTGCAAAGCCCTCAAACACAATCATGCCAAACGTGCCCCATTGTGCTACGGGGCTTGGGTAGCGAACCTATCTCGAGTGTTTTTCCGGCAACCTTGACCGGGGGTCCGCAATCACCCGGTCCATCCTCAGAATCATCGTGCGAGCACGTTCTTCCAGAGAAGGCGCGGCAAGGTTGTGCCAATGGCTTCTTACCGCTTTGTGCGCATGACTCCATGAGCCAAGGTCTTGTACTCGAGGTTCGTTCCATCGGGGTGAGGGCATTATCTTGTGTTGGGGACGAGAACTGCTTCAGTCAGGCATCCTTGTATTCGACCGGGCTGGGCCGGGGCGTGCCGAGCGTAAGTGGTTAAGCACATTACTCCTGGCCCGGGGCCGGCGACAATGATTCAGGCGGCTGCGTCCCGGCTCTCCCGTTCCGCGACGAAGGGGAGATGTCCACGACACAGACTGCACCAATTATGCTTGAGCTGTTGGGCACGAGACTAGCCATGCCATACCGTCGTGCAGACACAGCGGGACAGGGCGCAGCCACTCCGGATGATTTTCTATCAAGCTTCTGTTCCAACATGTTCCACGTCTTACACCTTTCTTGACCAGTATTTGCGATTGTTGATCACGTGTCTTCTGTATTGAGAGGCAGCGTGCGCAGAAATAATGTCGTACTAGAGACTGATAAATTGTGCCCCTGTTTTATCTAACTGATATACATCTCTTCGACAAGTTGCCTTCACACGTGGTGTTGTCCGAATCAGATCATACCAAATTGTACCGGGCGTCTAATCAGCTATGAACGTCCATCGAGTCGGAAGTCATGCCAAAGTGGTGAGCATAGAGAGCCTGTTGGTCTGCTACGGGCCGTGGTACATTCATGGAGATGCCTTCTCGCGACCACTCACTTGGGAACTAATTCGTTGCTCAGACTTGAGACAATGGAGGCTAGCAGGACTGGTGCAAGTACCGTAGTACAACAGCTTGTGCTAGAGATCCGGCTTACTGAAGCGTTAAGCTTTATTTAGGTTTATGGCGCGGCTTGTGTAACGCGTTTTAAGTCTACATGCTTTCGATAATCAAGGGAACATGTGAGGAATCTGCCTACGTCGAACTGTACCTCAAAAGCGCCTTCAGGACCTCCGCTAATACACTGAGCAGAGCAGGTAACACCCCGCCAAACAGCACAAAATTAGATCGAACGTTGAGGAAGATCAATCATTCTCTCGGTTACTGCCAAACAGCCAGCTGGGGCTCTACAGACCATCGCCCCACCCCTGCATGGCTGTATCAGTGATGATTACAGTCAAGACAACATGCTAGTGCATAGCGTACCGACGTTCTGGGTCGAGCTCGTTCTAGGCCAGCTAGCGGCGTTCTACACCTTACAGTACTTGCCTAGAGTATGTACCGATCGAGGTTATGAAACCGCCAGATGGCTCACGCGCGCGCTAAACAAGTTACTAGGAGCTTGTAGTCTCTCTACGGCGGAGAAACATACGGCCGTAGTGAATCAAAGGAAGCCAACTAGAGAAGTTTCGCGGGGAAGTACCCCAGCGGCTCCCAAGCACGGGTTGTGGGGAAAACCTGGGGATATCGAAAGTCTGGGGAAGGCGTCACTCCGGAGAAACCAGGAAACCAACAGCACTGGTCGGACAAGCGAAATTCAATGCACAATGCACCTCGGGTATTGAGTTGACTTGAACCATGGTATCAGAAGTTCGCAACTGCAGCGTTGCAGGCATCGGAGAAGCGTTAAGTGGGAATGCAACGCTAGGCTTGGCCACGTGTATGTCTGTGCCAGTGACGCCGATCCAGATGTCATCCTGCAAGCCCGCGTATGATGGCGGCGATTAGCTTGCAGCAACCCTACCTGTCACTTAAGGAAGGAGCGCCGGACGACGGGATCACCTTCAAAAGGTCCAATTGCCGCGCCCCATCCCGATGGGAGCTCTTGGGCAGCTCTCTCCGCACCTGAGATCCAATGGTGTACGGCGTTCGTGTGATCTACGGCCAGGGCTGGAGCGATAAAATTAGCATGTAGCATCGCCTCCAGGTTCTAAAGGAGCAGCCGCGGGTCTCGATAAATATTGTGCACACGTTGTCCGCAACCTGCCGGAGCTGTGAGTTTTCGACTGTACTGCCGATCCACTCCCAAAGCGGGCGTCTAACATTTCGGACGACTCTGCGGAGTTGCATTCTCGATTGCCCTGCTCAAGTATCGTCGCACCTACCCCATAGCGCGAGATTCGAAGCCGACTTTCTTACCTCTCCTCAACCGCCTCAGCTGGCCTCGTAAGATCGCTCGCCGAAAATGGATGAAAACCTGGACGAAAACACCATCCGGGAGCTGGAGGAGGTCCTCCACACGAAGATCTACCCCGGCACGGAGCTCATGCAAGATGTGGGAACTCACCACTTCGTCAAGGGCAACAATCGCTCTGTTCTTGTTCCTCAGCCGTCCGACGACCCCCGTGACCCCCTGAACTGGTCGCCGTTCTGGAAGGGTGCAACGATCTTCTGTGCCACGGCCGTCTCTTTCAGTCAGAACCTCGGGCCCCTTGCCCTTGCGCCTATGTTCGGAAACTACATCCAGCTATACAACCGCAGCCTTGCAGATGTCGTACAATTCACGGGAGTTGCCATCCTGGTGCTGGGATTCAGCAACTTCATCTGGGTTCCGATGAGCACCTGCTTTGGAAGACGCCCCGTCGCAATATTTTCCATGACGATATGTGTGATCTCCTCGATCTGGAGAGCCAGAGCCAAAGATTACAACAGCTTCATGGGTGCTTCCGTTCTCAACGGGATTGGCGCAGGTCCTTGTGAGACTCTGATGCCTCAAGTCATTGCAGACATTATCTTTTTGCATGATCGTGAGTGATGTCTCCTTGCCTAAACTTTTCCATTTAGCATTTAGATCTCCACGTCCTGTGAGACATTTCGAAAGACAACTGTCCAGACATTTCAGACTGTCAAATGGAATTTTCTAATTGAGAACGAATGTACAGGTGGAAAGTACCAGACACTATACTTCAGCTTATACTTCGGGTCTTTGATGGTTGGGCCAATCATCAGCGGTGCGATGGCTGAGCATACCGGAGTGGAAAGCTTCTGGTGGTTCAACACGGGAATGTTGCTCTTCACCCTGCTGGTCTGCATCTTCTTGTTCCCAGAGACTCGGTATCACAGAGCTTGGGAGACAGGTGACACACCGAAGCCACCGCCGGTCAGGGACCCAAAAGCGACTGTCGACAAGGTGGAAGGTTCACTCCACGAGAAACATAGCGGGACCGACCAAGAAGAAGCCCTGGGAACACCAGCCACCCATGCAGCAACGCAACACAGCGCCGCCGCCGGTGACAAGATTGCTCCTACCGAAACACACATCGATCCTTGCCTGGGCCGAGGAGGCCCGGGCAAGAAACAGTTCTTGCCCTTCCAGCCCTATTCAGGCAATTTGTTCCGCGAGCTCTGGCTGCCATTTTACCTACACCTCTTCCCAATTGTCGAGTTCGCCGCGTTCGTCGTCTCATGGAGCGCCTCCGGCTTCCTCGTCGTCAACTTGTCTCAGTCCCAAGCCTTCGCCGCCCCGCCATACAACTTCTCGTCCCAGACTATCGGGCTGTTCAACCTCGCGGTGCTAGTCGGTGGAGGAGTTGGTCTTTTCACCTGTGGGCCTCTCAGCGACTGGGTCGCTGCTTATCTGACCAGGAGGAACAACGGCGTCCGAGAGCCAGAGATGAGACTGGTGGCCATGGTCCCATACATCATCATCATGGTCATTGGCTCCATCGTCACCAGCGTTGGCTATGACTACCACTGGAAATGGGAGGCCATCGTCATTATAGGATACAGTTTCCTGGGATGCCAGGTCGCGGCCCTGCCAAGTATTGCCTCGACATATGCCATCGATAGTTACAAACCGGTGACGGGATCGTTGTTCGTGACCATCACGGTGTGAGTACCACCTCCCCGGACCAATTAGACAACAACTGACCGTTCAAAAGAAACAAGAACCTCTGGGGATATGGCGTTTCAAAATTCTTGACGCCATGGGCAGAGGAGAAGGGTTTCATCCCACCGATACTGACCAACATGGCTCTCATCACTTTCTTCTCCTGCTGCGGTATAATCTTCTGGTTTGCTGGTAAGAAGTTCAGAGGTATCACTGCAAACTCCTTTGTACACAAGCTCTAATAATTGGCTTGTGTCGGGGGAGTCATGGTTGGAGGGTTGTGCTTGTTGCATATACCATGCCTATCTACCTAGGTACCCAGGTGGCTGTATACTCGGCAATCTGGCTGTGAACTCAAGCACCAAAAATGACGTCAAGTAGCAGACGCATATTGGAGGATTCTGAAGGCTCTCCAGAGTCCACGGGAAGTAATGTAATGTCAAATTGGGCTGTTGGCAACATTTCGGGATCTCACATTTATGGTGGAGCGGGAAGACCCTTCCTCGATGACGCTTGTGTCAACATGTAAGGAAGTGAATACCTGCCCTGCGTTCCGGGATTCACAGCTGGCTGAGGCGTCCGGAATAAATGCAAGTCATTCCATATAGTGTCAAACTTAGTTGCGGTTGGTCATCCTGCCTCCGAGCAACTTCCAATTCATGTTGAACTGCAACAGGAAGGCACGGGCGTTGTAGGTCTCGAGTATGCCCGGGCCTGCCAACAAGTGTTTTACGGACAACCACCTGGACTCGTAATGGAAAAGGAAGGAGCTGATCTCACTGTTATTGAAATCAGCCTGGATCCTAGGACTCGGTTTGCCTTCACAAGATTCGGACAGTGCACTTTTCCTCCATCCCATCTTTTGAGCACTGGTCACCCAAACATCACTTTGAGCATTCGTTCCAACCCATCCCTTTCATAACAAGCACATCTTAGCATAGAGCCGTTGGGATTCAGCTCTTACGGACCGCAAAAACCTCTTTCTCTGTACGAGCCTTCACCACTCTTGCTGCCGCGCCACTTGCAACCCGCCTACGTCACCTTCGGCCCATACCTCGAAAATAACTATCGAAGATGTCTTCCAAGGCTCTCGTCTCCTTCCTTTTCGCCTTTCCGTGCGCCGTCGCAGCCGTAAGGCCCTGTTACGACGGTTTCGAGCTTGAGGTCGGCGAGAGATGTTTGCTGGAAGGGTTCGAGTTCTGTGACTGGAACTGCGAGAACGTCGTATGTCTCCGCCCCGTGGTACTCGTGCTTCTTGCAGCGACTGCCCCCAGACACGACTTCATTTTTACTGACCGGAGTGCCTCACTTAAACGTAGCTGGCTTGCACCAATGGGACCTGGCACCTGGTGGAGAGCTGCACCGTAACCGACGATTCCTACTGCCGGATCCTGGGCGCCGGCAAGGCTAAGTGCATCCTGGACGAAGACGAAGAGCCCGTTGAATACAAAACCTCCGGAGCCGCAGCCATCGCCTCCGAGTCTAACCCTGGATGTATGCCGTCGTTTAGGATCGGTGCGTCTTGTGGCAGCGACCCAAAGCTCGAAGGGACTATGAGGTGTGACGACACTTGCAGCAATGTTGTATGTGAACACCAGCCGCTTGATGTTTGATCCAGGTCCGTTCTCAGTGATTGACCTCTCATGAACAGGGTATCTGCCACAATGGCGTCTTCCAGGTGAACAGCCCCTGCGCTCCGGGACGTTGCCAGTGGAATGCAGACTCTGGGCTGCCCTTCTGCATTTGATCACGGCCTACTTGGGTCACATATGGGATCCGAGATGAATGGCAACTGACGCGAGAGTCAATGGCATCGGAGGCATCGGAGAGATCGAATGAACGATCGGATGTGTTCTTCTTTATTCATAACAAACTCACACAACCTGCCCTTCTAAGATAGCCCAACCAAAACGCAGAGAGATAGATATAAGCCCTAAACTCCTCGTCCACCACAGCCGGTTCTAGATGCTATTTCTCCCGCGACTGTGATTCATGATGTGTTCAAATGCAACCATGTAGCCTAATATCTCCAAAGTAGGGTAGATACCGCTCTCAGCATGTTTCCAAAGAACCATATCTCCCCAGATTGGAAACAGTGCGTAGGCCACACGGGAGTTGCAACATTCCGCGGATCCCACAGTGTTCAACACCCTTTTCTAACGGTGGCCCAAAACCGGCCACTCCGAGAAAAAGGAAAGTTAAGCTGCACGTCGTGAGTGCGTCGGCTTGGCCGTGCAGAACAAGAGCGTTGATAAGCTTGAGTCGTTTGGTTTGCGGACGACTCGTGGCCGCAAAGAACGTACTCATTACACACAGGCCTTCCGTTTGCTTCCTCCAGAGTGAACAGATGTTTTGATGCACACGTTTTGCAAAGCAATCTGTTCGCTGGGCCGTTCTCTAGTTGAAATGTGGAGAGTCTCTAACAGTATAGACCACTGCTGGAGTCAAGGTCTGGGATCATTGCAACGCCTCAATTTCTTATTATCCAACCCTCATTTCATGTTCCATAGCTGCTCCAAGTGGCGCCTCTGCGCTTGCTCTGCGTCAGCTTCTGCATCAAGGTGTCTATTCAATTGCCTACGCGGCTATCGCATCTACCGCACGACATAGCCCCCATCAACAGGCAGATTCACACCCGTAAGCCAGCTCGCATCATCGCTGGCCAGCACTACGGCCAGTTTGGCAACGTTCTCTGGCGTGCCCACACCCCCGAAAGGATGTCGATCGGCGAACACATCCGGAGACGGCCCATGAGCTGTCGTGTCCTCAAACATGGCCGTATCCGTGAACCCCGGGCAGATGGCATTGCAATGGATGCGGTGTTTTGCATATTCCAAGGCCACCTGCCTGGTGAGGCTTGAAACCGCTCCCTTGGAGGCGCAGTACGATGCTGTCGGCGTCAAAATCAGCACAGGCCGTTGGCATCAGACTAGGTGGGGGACTTGCGGCATCCAAACGTTACTATCAAAGCCATGATGCTCGACGTGTTGACGATCCAGCCCCGGTCACCGCTCTCATGGGGCTCTTGGGCCAGCATCTGCCTGAGGGCGAACTTGCACCCGAGGAAAACGGATTTTGCGTTTACGCGCATGGTCTTGTCCCAGATGTCCTCCTGCATCTCGTGCAGCATGGCTGGGGTTGTGGCCTCGGGGCTTATGCCTGCGTTGTTCACCATGCTTGCGTCTGTATATCAGCGTCCCAGTGGTCTTTTTGCCCTTTATTCTAGCGACGCCGGCTTTGAGGGACCTACATATCTAAACGACCGAATGTCTCTATCGCGAATTTAACTGCGTTCTCGACCGCAGCTGCATCTCCGACGTCGGTCTGCACAAAGGCTGCGCTCTGAGGCCCGATGAGCTCGTGAGTGGGCTGGCCTCCGGGCACCTGATCAGGGGGATTCTTGTGCACAGCGACGCGCAATGCAGGCGAGAGGTCGGCGCACACGACCTTTGCGCCCTCAGCTACGTAGCGGAGAGCAATGGCACGCCCTATGCCGGAGGACGAGCCCGTGACGAGGGCGACCTTGTTCGTAAGGCGCGTTCCAGTTGCCATTATTTATCCAAGCACGTTGATTTGAAAGCTAAAGAACGGGTGGATCAGGACCAGATGGCAGCAGACAGTCAAGCAAAACTAGAGTGACATTTATGAGAAGACGCTTTTATTATGGTTTGTTGTGGTTTTGGTTCTCGCCCGCCTCCATATCCACACAGCGCTTCCTGAGGGGGTGGAATCGCTGGTGAGGGGAAAGCGGGCAACGCAGCTTCACTACAGCCCGAGGACCTGCGAGAGCGCACCACGCTGGTGAAGCTTGGCTGGCGAAGCTTAAGAGGCGATGGTGGCCTCGAACTGGGGCTCCAAGGTACTGTTTCAGTTTGCGGTCTTTGGCATTGGGTATGCCTAATTGCTGACCATAGGTGATCTTGTGCCGTGCGCGAAGCCATACTTTCCGTTCATGAATGTCAGTTTTGGGCAGAAAACGATGATGGTTCAGGTCGCCCCGTGTTGAAGTCCTCGGTTCTTGTGGCACTCGCACACAAAAATCCGAGACGATTCAAGAAGTAGGAGGAACTGAATCGACAACACAGAGAGAAACCAGAACTGCCTGCAAGCACCGGCTCATGTGAAGTTGGAAGTCGATCTGGTGAGTGGGTGATATGTGACTAGGTAGAGATCCCGACGTCAGGAGCAGGACAGCGTCGAATCAAGCTGCCCCATGCTGTCGATCCCCGAGGGGGCTCTTATCTGCGCAGGTGGGCTCGCCCGGAGCGATTGACCGTCTCTCACAGGCCGGAGAGGTCAGGTGGGAACCATTTGTGTGGGAGTCTCCGGCGGGTTCCAAGGTTAGCTGCGTCGGACCATGCCGCATCGAGGTAGACGCCAGGAAAAGAGGCTGCAGGTCGCGAGAGTGGCAATACTGTCTCTTTCCCGGACACTACCTAGGTAGTTCAGACAGCCAATCTGACGGTATATGGCTTCATCTGCGCGAGCTGTTGTCCACCAGCCAACGGGCGGGACGAGGACTCGCCCCCAGCCCTTGGCGGAAGCATTTTGCAGCATGCCGTTGGGGTGTGCTTGCAGCTGCCGTGAGCTGCTCCTCGCGTGGTTCTAGCGATCAAGAGACAGAGCGGTATAAAAGAAAAAGGAAAGCTTTGGGAGGGATGTTTCCACAAACAAAAGTGGCCCAACACTGTAAGCCAGTGTGGGGGAACGGCGGTCAGGGCACCCCCAGCTCCTGGAGCTTGGGGCAATTTGGACTTGGATGGACGCTCTGGGAAGGTCGAGGTCGGGGTGTCTGGGGTGTGTGCATTACGGCCATGAAACCTGCCACCGTTTTCCATCACACCACATCGGAATCCCGATCCTAATCTTAGTCCCATCCCATTTTCTTTCCCAGACACAACTTCTCGTGCTGGAAGGACATCATCAAGAGTCGCTCTCGCAGGTCCAAGCCCTCTCTGCACCGATTGGTACAAACCCACGACCATGACACGATTATCAGTCTACGGCGCCTCCCTCGCCGTCTTTATCGCCGGTACGTAATCCCAAGTGTCCAGCCACCATGGGCGCACTTCCCGGCCGAATCCACTGTCTTTGCACCTGCCTCCGTCATCCAAGAGCCTCCTCTTGCACCAGCCACCAGCCACCAGCTCCCAGCTTCCCAGAAGACAGGGAAAATGGCAGGGAATCTGCAGCGCTCCCCTATATCAAGCTTCATTTTTGTGCAGAGTGAATGCTTCAGCGCGAAGCTCGACCAAAGGTGCCGCGTTTTTGGACGTGTGCCCCGCGTCGGGTGACCGTCTAGTCCTGGAGACTACACGAGTCGGAGTCCCAGGCAACGTCATATCATGTCGTCGAATACGCAGCAGGGCAACAATGCTCGTTCACTTCACCGCCGCAGGTAGCCCATCATGCATGGCTAACATCGCACTCCCCAACAGCGTCGGCATTGACCCTCACGTCCATACTCGTCCCACACTGGGTCAGCATGGACGTGGAATCACAAAATAGCGACACCGTCTACTCCCAACACCTCGGCCTGCACCACTACTGCAACACCGCCCTGCCCGACAAGCCCTGCCGCACGTTCCCCGACGAGGAGAAGGACTGCGACCCCAACGATAGGTATTTCTGCTCGATGTGGAGGACGACTGGCTTCCTCATGAGCTTCGCGACCGTCGCCGAGCTTGCTACACTTGTCTGCTTTGTTGTGGCCATCGGCGGAGGTTCTGTCAAGAGGGAGTATGGCTGGAAGGTCTTGTGCGGCCTTCTGACCGTGGTCTCTGTCGTACAATTCGCTGCTATGGGGCTTATTGTGAGTTTCCTACTCCGTCCCGAGGCTTTGTCACATTCGACCCGGACTACTTCACGATAGGCAAGGCTCTTGGTTTGCTGACTCTAGCTCCCCATTCTAGTCATTCCTCTACGATAAAGACGAGTATTTCTCCGTCCCAGGCTGGAGACTCGACACGTCTTGGATCCTATGTACTGTTAGCGCTAGTGTGGCTGCCATACTGGTTGGTGCCCTGGCATCATGCGCCTACTTCCTGCCGCCAGAAGACGATGGCTACAACTTCCTCGACGACCCCATCGACGTCTAGTCTCAACCAGGCAGAGCGAACGGGGGATTCCTGGCGAATCGACTTCATTCGCAAATTTTGTTTCTTCCAGTCACATTAGAAATATACACGGGGCGTTTCGGGCATACAGGACACGGGCATATCCATTTTCTCCTTGACGGGCTTGACACATTTTGATACCTTGAGAGTGAGTTTCTTTTCTGGGCAGCAGGGGCATTTGAGGTCGACTACGATAACCATATTTAAATTGGATCACTTAACCGGTGTCCATTGCACGAATTTGACACATTGAACATATTTGAAGGGCCTCGGACTGGCTGCTCTGCAATCGGTACTGAGCCTGAAGTCTCGATCTAGTATCGAGTATCATCGCTTTGAATACGCCCACATAGGCTACGAGTGATTCTTGCACGACGAAGTATGTTACACAGCTGGGGACGCGCAAGATTCCTCAGGGTGATGATGCCTGCCCAGGTGCGAAGCTGACGGCCACCTAAGCAGTATAAGGACTTAAGGACTGCCGTCAGGTCAAGTCAACTCTGGTCTTGGTTGCTATTCTGGCTTCGGGTGCCGGAACAGCAAGTCCACACGCAGTCAGATTGGTTTACACACCATAGCAATTTGGTGAGCTCCTTGTGCTTTGCGGTCACCGAGCTCAACATAGTGACACCCCCCTTTGAAAGTGCTTAAGTGTTCATATATGTCATAGTGACTCGCTCAGTGTATCCAGCTGGCCACATCATGTACACAAGCTAGTGTACTGGCCGCATCATCGAGATCCAGTGCTTTGATTGGTGTGCTGCTTCACAGACTTGACAGCAGCACCAACATCTCACATGAAGCAGTGGAATAAACGTAAACCGAAATATATATACTCCCGGGATGACAAAAAAGCGCCCACTGATGACATTTACCAGACTGTAGGGTTCGGTGTAACCTGGAGCAGGCATACAAGCCGCTGTACCACTCCCGTTGTCTCAGTGCGGTCGACACTTTGACTACATCAATACCTCACGGTTAAGATGCGAACTGAGAATTGACTTGCAGAGGCAACACAAAACACGGTCTTTTTGTTTTCAAATATTGGGTCTTATCATTAGATCTCATGCGCTCATTGCTAAATCATCACAAGCCCAGCTGGTATCATCCATTCCCACATATAACTCCGAGCCCCAGCAAGATGCAAAACCCAGGCGGTCCGCCCATGATGAAAGTGCACAGCTCTTCCTGTAGCTCCACTCTCTCAGAATAGAGAACCAGGCCGCGCGCTGGTTGGACTTATTTTTCTTTTTATGTCACCCCCACAAAATGGCATCTCTGACATAGAGACGGGGAAGAAGTAGTAAATATTGGCAATAGAAGGGAACTGGCCCCAGCAATGGAAAACAAAAGCACAAAGGATCAACCACATCAGAAGCAAACAATAAATCGACACCGTACAACGGCATGTAGCGCGTGGCATCACGCGTACCGCCTGGTGGCGTCCAGCTCGCCCAGCCCGCGGGCCGAGTATGTCGCGTGGCTGACGCTGGCGCCGGGGGTCTCGGGGACGACGCCCCAGCCGACGGGCTGCTTGTAGACGTCTGACTCGTGGGGCACGCGGTGGCAGCGGGCGCTGACGACGGCGCTGCAGGAGCCGCCCTCGAAGACGAGCGGGTTGCCGACGGTGCGGCCGTCGGCCATGGTGACGGCGGGGGCGCGGAGGAACCCGGCGCCCGCGGCCGCGAGGAACAGCACCACGAGCATGGCGAGAAGGATGGCGAGGGCGACGCCGCTAAAGCCCACGCCCAGCAGGTGCTGCGGCGAGGCGTCCGCGTCCGCGTCCGAGGGGTCCGGGGCCGCGCTCGCCGTGAGCGAGACGACGAAGCACGCCTGGCTCAGCACGAAGCCCATGGCCGCGAAGAAGACGGCCAGGCCCCAGCTCACGGGGCGCGGCAGCGTCATGTACAGGCTGGTGGTCTGGTGGCCCTCCGGGTCGGACGAGACGCGCAGGGGCCGGCGCTGGTTGGCGGACAGGACGGCGTGGAGGCTGCTCTCGCGCGAGAGGAAGTAGGCGGTCAGGAGGGCGTTGGTGGTGAAGTACAGCCCCGCGAGCAGGATCTGTGGCAGGGCGGTGACGATGGCGAGCGAGCCGGCGGGGATAGAGGACGCCGACGAGGCCGGGAGGAGGTACGTGGAGTGGGGGCTCGCGACGCCGAAGGGCGACAGCGGGTGCGACGACGGCTGGGAGGCGACGGTGAGCGCAAGGACGCCCGCGGCGAAGATGACGCACGCGAGCCACCAGAAGGCGGCGCCCAGCCAGTTGGGGAGCGACGGCGACCGGAACCAGAAGTGGTCCCGCTCCGGCGCCCAGTACTTGCCGTCGGTGAAACCCCAGCCGCCCATGCCGGTGCGGAGGTTCTTCTTGGACAGGAGGCAGTTCTTGCGCGTCGACGGGTCCGGGTCCCGGAGGAAGGACGAAATGGCGTCCCCGAGCGTGACCAGTGGCTCGAAGCGGCGCAGGACTAGGACCACGGCGGTGAGGACGAGGGTGACGAGGTTGAGGCCGACGACGACGACCATGAGGATGCCATTGAGCTGCAGCGTGCACGTCTCCTGTGCCGCCTCGCTCGGCTGTGCGAGACAGAACTGGACGAGAGCCCCGTCGAAGAAGATCTCGGCGTTTGTGATGGTGGTGGACATGTTGTTGCCGGTCTGGAGGTTGATGCCTGCCTGCGCGGTCTCCACGAGGGAGTTGCCCGAATTGGGGCCGTCGTTGACCACGAGGAGGACGTTTTGGAAGTCGGTGTTGAAGACCCCGCTGAAGAGGTCGACACACTCGCTAGTGGTGAGGTTTGTGAGGTCGTTCCGGCTGGCGAGATTTTGGAGCATGAGCAGTTCGTTGCGGCTGAGACCACCGGCGTTGTTGTCGGTTCCATTGCTGAACGACGCGCCGGTGAGGAAGGACTCGGTGACGGCGATCAGGTTGTAGCTCAGGCCGGCTTGTGTGGTGAATATTACGGAATTATATCTGCACCCAATCGTCAGTCTCGGCGGAGACAGGTTGGGATGAACCGCATCCGGACTTACATTACTTGGGTCAAAACAGCCACGGTCAGCAGGATGCTGGCCAGGACGACCCTTCCCTTCCCAATGTGTCTGAAGTTCCGCAACGACGGAACGCCGATCTCCAACCACCGCCTGCCCTCGTGCGCCACAGCTATCTCCGACCGGGTTGGGCTGCTCAGGACCTGGAACACGTAGTTTGCGCCCACAATCAGAATCACCACCAGGACGTTGATCAGCGCGTGCAGGCGCCAATCGAGCGAGGCCACGTCTGCGCACGACCCCGTGAACAGGTTCATATCCCCAACCAGTATGGCAATCGCCGTGCCGGCGTACACCAGGCACACGAAGCCTATGACCAGGATGACGAAGGCGAGGAGGGCGTTCAGCACGACGCCCAGCCTCCACCCGGTCATCAGCCTCCTCCTCTTCCTGGGCTTCTCGTTGGCGGAGGGCAGGATCATCTGCAGCTCGGTCATGGTGGACGAGGCGGTGGTCTGGGACATTCCGTCGTGCGCCCTGCGTGACCTATGCTCCTGCACGCCCTCGAGCAGGACCATGTGTGACTGCTGCGGGCGGTGCTGGTGGACGATGTCGATGTTGCGGGCGCCCTGGTTGCCGCCGTTGCGCTTGCGCCTCGCGACCGTCTCGGGGGTCTCGCCGCGGATGTAGTTGACGACATAGTCCGGGATCAGCGTGCTGTCGCGCAGGCTGCTGCGGGAGCCGTCGCCGCCGATCTTGGGGACCTGCACGGTGGCGCGGCGGAACAGCTCCGGTGCGTTGGCGGTGAAAATGGACATGTTGTCTGTGGCTATGCTCTGGAAGGGCCAATGTATCGTCATGCCCTTCCTGCCCCTCCGCGACGGCGGCGGGTCCAGCTGTTGTGAGTCGTCGGCCCCATGGTTGGTCCTCTGGCCCGTTGAGCGAGAGTGCAGACGTCTGGATGACGAGCCACCAGAGGAGGATGGCGGCACCCTATCGGTGGTCAGCGTGTTAGTCCCAGGACCCGCAGGAATAGGAAGCAAGAAGTCCCCCTCCCGGATCACTACTTACATCCTGATCTGTGTCACCGGGCCATCGTATGTGCTAAAAACGGATTGAGCGTCTCCATCGCGGGGCTCTGAACTGTGGTCCATCTGCCGCGCGCCTTGAGGGTTAAGAGGTGCCAGGCATTGACGACTTTGACTGCTAGGTTATGGTATACGGTAGATGCTGCGTAGGGGAGAGGACAACGGCTCGGAGGGATCACCACGGGTAGTAGTTCGTGTACTTGGGAATAATTATCTAGCGTGGAGATGTCGGAGTCGGCTGGGTGGTGGACGAGCACCGGTAAAAGAGTGACAAGAAGGTTGGGTGGCGGGCAGCGTAGTCCGGTAACACTTTGGGTCTGGGTGGTGTGGTGGGCAGGGGCCGTGGTTTTAGTACCGTGGTATGCACATGTAGGACGGCAGCCTCGCATGCAGCGGTCGAGAAGGACATCGTCACCCCTGCGCGACGATGGGGGGCTTCCCACCTTCCCACCGGGCTGGCGAGGAGAGAAAGTGGGAGCGTACCAAGGGACCTTGTTGGACGTGCAGGCATGGTGTGTGGTGTGGGGTGTTGGAAAGACGGGCTGGCGTGGAGGATCCCGGACCCTGAGGTTCGGCCCCCTGCCCCCTTTTCCTCCCCCTACCCCCCGGCGAATTTCACTGCTACTACCTAGGTAGGTACATGCTGCCGCTGCGGCAGGTGTATGCACGTGCATGTACTTGTGTGCTCACCTGGACGACCTAGATCGAGCCTGGGCGCTGGGCTGGACTATATTTAAACTGCGCCTCAGACGGATATGTCCAATCAGACACTGCAAGGCCCGTCCTGCAAGCACACCGACGGCCCCAGGTCCCACCAGGTGCAGATGCGCATGTGTGATGAGATGACCAAGGAGGGCGATGCGGGGAGAAACAAAGCAGCAGCTCGAGGCCCACTCCGCAGCGACGTTGAAAGTTTGTCCTCAGAGCCTGGCGTCGCAGCCAAGTGGTGGTCAGGACGTCGACATTTGACAGTGTTGATGCTCGCCGGCGGGGACAAAAGTTGGACCTTTGGACCTTGGCCTGCGGGCTGCGGGCGCCGTGCACCGCGATCTGCTTGCTGGGGGAGCCAGAGGGGCCTGGCTCTTGCAATCTTCCCGAGGCTGCTACCTCGTAGCTGTCGGCAGATGAGCTGCACCTGGACGATCCATCTCTTGCACCGCAGGCTGTGCGTGGGCAGGCTCTGCAAGGCTTGACCGGGCGTCACAGAGGTGGCATCATCGTCACAATGATCGACGAGTCCCAGTGCAGGACCTCGGATGCCTTGCCGAATTCGCTGGCAACGTCTCGCTATGTGGCAGCCTTGTCAGCCTGTCATGCGTGGGTGGTTTGGTCGTCGTGCTAAGTGATGATGGCTACGATTGTGGTGATGACGACGAAGGCAGCTAATGTAGATCAGATCACTGATTAACGTGCCTCGAAACAAAAAAGACTGGGCCGCATCGGAGAGTTTAGCTTATTAGCCCGCTGGCCCCCGCCGTCTCGTCTGGTTCCTGAGCCCGCACGGGTTGGTCTTCTGGAGCCTGTCAGGCCTGTGCAGGTGGTACAGCATGCGTGCGACCAGTGCGACAATGGCAAGAAGTGGGCTGACTGGTTACCAATGTAACAAGTGGGTTCCGTCTGATGGGCAAGCGCAACAAGAGAAAGAGAAGCATGGTGAATCATTCATGCAGGGGCGAGCCCCCAAGACCCGCAGAGATCTCAAATCAATTCTCCTGTGCTCCTCTTTGGGCCCCGTCGCCCCAGCGCCCGCCCTCCCTCATCCCGTCCCCGCCAGCCAGGGCAGAGGGGAAAATTCTCCTATACACACACGCGCACGCACACACATGCACCACCCCTACACTAAATCCGTGTGCACCCTGGCGTGCCTGGCAGCCTGGGCCTAGGCTGGCTCGGGAGGAGCAGCCACACTTGGGCATGTGGTGCCGGCATTCATGCATGTGCTGCGGGGATTGCCCTAGCCCCCTCTGGGTGTGTCGGGTTTCAGATTGGAAAAGCTCACCTCGCCCACGCCCTCTGCGGGCTCAGCGAATGGCTGGGCCGGCTGGGGAGGTAAGGGGGGGCTAATTTCCTGAGCTGGGCAGAGTTCTCTCCCGCAGTTCATGCCGTCGACTCGAGTTAATCTTACATTAGATATGGGATACCAGTCAACGGCTTTGTGGTTCCCTCCCGGCAGGTGAGTGGGGGAGTCTAAGTGGGAGTGGGACAATGGAAACAGTGGGCGGGTGGGTATAAGTTGGGTGAGTAGGTGATGAGCAGACGACAATCCTCAAGCCCACCCGCCCACTCACATACCAGAGTCCTGCACGGCAAATGCCATGCCCTGCGCGCGCATTAACGCCGGTGGTAACACCAGGGTTTGCAGCCCATGGCCCCATACCCACAAATCGACCCCCGTGCGGCACTGCAACCTTGGAACCGAGCGTGCCCAAAGTCTGGGTGACATGTTTCGTCCCTTTCTGCCCGCAGCTCAACGGCCTCTCTTCCAGTTTCCCTCGCCTGCCTGGAGTGCCTGCCTGGCTGTGTGAAAGTCTGGTGCTGGCTCTGGGTCTGTCTCGTCGGTGTGGCGCCGCCAAAAGTTGACCAACTACTGTAACGGTGCGTTTCGAACTGACCTCGTGTTGGACGACCCCACCCTGCCAGTGAGTGACCTTTCAGCATGTAAGACTACGACTTGGGCCTTGCATCTTCCAGGTGGGTGTGGACTTAGACCGACCCCAACCCTGGACACATCAACCCATCGTCGACCTCCAAGAACATTCACAGGTATACCTAGATATCAACACCCATGGTGCTTCACTTTAATAGGAGTTCCTTCATAGTCAGAGCATACTGTTGTGTCGGGGAAAATATCTAAAATCAGGCTACACATGGTGGCTCCTTGCCCTTGCACCTGGTTGATCACCTAGTCAGGCACATGTATCCACGCTACTGTAGACGGAACAATATCAACACCAGTACCTTGGAGCCCCGGACCATGATAATTCCAACATGATATACAATCACAAGAAATAAAGCCTATCCATCACCAGTCTTTTCCGCCTTCCAGAACAGCCAGCTCACAGCAATCCCCAACTTCACGGCCGCCGAGATCCACAGAGCAGCAGCAATGCCGCCCCGGCTCCTCTCCAGCCACCCGCCCGAGATGGCCCCGGCGAAGAAGGCGATAACCCCAGCTATCCTCCGGTCACGGTGCACATTCCTCCCCCGGAAGAAGCCCGCGTCCGCAGCCAGGCCGTAGTAGACGCTGGTGAGCACCACCGTAGGTACCTCCCCGACGCCGACGAGCTGCGCCGTAGAAAGCTGCCCGGCCGACTGGAACGCGAGCAGCGCCACGGGCACGCGCTCCAGGAACTCCTGCGAGTCCCGCCCCGGCCCGCTGCTGTTACCGTTGCTGTTAGAAGACGGCACGACGCCCGCCTGCACCAGCGCCGCCGCAACCGCCGTGAACGCAACCTGTACCGCAAAGCTGCCCGCCAGCGTGGCCCGGCGCGTGGGCCCGGCGCGGCGCGACGCCTGGGCCCAGCACAGCGAGCCGGCCACGAACGCGGCGATGGAGATGAGCGACTTGGCCCAGCCGTAGGGCTCGCCGCCCGCGGGGAGGCGCGACGCGCCCAGGCACAGGAAGACCGAGTTGCCCGTCTGCATGGACACGAAGCAGCCCCAGGCCGCGAAGGCGGACGCGTCGCACAGCCCGGAGGCGAGGCAGCAGAGGACGACGGGGATGTCGCAGTGCGCCAGGTCCACCGGGCTGGCGAGGTGGGCCCTGAGCCGCTGGGGACGGTGCCGTTGGTTTCGGCGCTGGGGTGGCGGCGTGGCTGCTGTAGCGGCGTGGTGATCAGAGCGTTGGGCGCGCTGGCTGCGAGATGGTGCTGCGATTGTTGCTTTTGAGGGGGTCGGCGACTTGACTGGGGGTCGAGACATGGTGGCGGTCCGCTATGGTGGTCAGGCTTCCTGGGGCGCGACCGTGGCGGCCGACGGAATATGGAATCTCATGGCCGAGGCGTGGACTGTTCGAGATGAGTAGCTCTAACGGTGTCACTGCGCAGAGGCGCCCGCCGCTGGGCGGTTATCAATTAGTATTACTGCTGTTGCCGGCTTGCGTTAGACGAAGGCTTGTTTAGCGTCACTGCAACCGTAACCAGAAATTACTCGTCGAGATAAGCCGTTACACTACTAATCTTCCAGATGTCTACATTCACTTTGGCCTCAGGAAAATACATTATGTTATTTCACATTGGCATATCATGAGACAATTTTCTCGATTTGTCACTTCGATTCAACATGGGACCGATGTGACCGATGTGGGCATCTGGATTGTTTCATCCGAAAAAGAGCAAGCCCCAGGTGAATTGGGTTCTGGTCCCGTCGTTGGGATGATCCTGATTTCTGGAAACCCATAGAGTGTCCGTCTTCGATATCTCTTGTTGTGCGAAGCCCCAAGTGTACTGTTGAAGGCGGCGCCCCAACTGGATCAATTTGGGTCCGAAAATGTATGTCTTTTCCCTGATATGCGTAGTCCTTGCCAACTGATTTCAAAAATTGCCACACACACTCTCTCTCATCGCAACACTAGAGCGTAATCAGCACAGCCTCTCCATCACCGACTTTAACTCTTATCTTGCCATCACCCAAGTCCTCGACCTCTTCCACAACCTTCTCCCCGGCTATGGCCCCCGAAGTGTTGTCGACGTGTTGGCCTGCAAATGTGGCATTGCTTGCTATCTCGACGCCCGGGGCTGTAAGACGGCGGACCTGAATATCGGTGGATGCGTTGGAGATATTGCCAATACCGGCTGGGAGCGTGAAGTCGAAGTTTGTGTACGGACGCGGCGTCGTGAAAGTTGAGTTGTAGATGTTGAGATTCAGAACAACCAGAGACGTCAACTTGGGCTGCCTGGCAGCGGTGCCTTGCGCGTAGAGAGCGGAGGACCCGCTGCTTCCGGCGTCAAAGACGGCGTAAGCGGTGAGAGATGTCTCATTTAACAGCACCTGGACCTGCTTGTTACCTCCTGACAACGCGGAGGCGGTGAGGAGGTTGCCGTAGTAGAGGGGCTTGGCAAAGGGCGTCGTGCCATTGACAGTAATTGGTTGCCATGGTGAGTACCGGTAGGCGGTACCCATGTGAAAGTACAGGCGCGAGACATGAAGGCTTGCGACATATAACGTCCCCGGCTCCGATCCCGGCCGCCCCTTGATCCCGGCCGGCCTACACCCGCGTACGCGCATAAATGCGTTTATACCCACCTTATATTAACTTCTTAATATCTTTATAAGGAATTTTTTTTTAATTATCAAACTTCTCCTAGATATTATTCTTCTTATTATAAAGTAATACTTTAAAGATAACCTTATTAATATCCTTATTATTATAAGAAATAAAATATTAATTTAATAAGCTTTTAAGATATAATATATTTCTTAAGCTATATTATTTAATTACCTTAATAATATTTAAAGTTATTATATTATTATTAATTTTTAAAGATTTTTTTTTAATTATTAAAAGGCTTTATTAACTTTATTTATAATTAATTAAAGTAGCTTAGGGTTAGCATTAATATAATTTAAAATAAGGGTTTTAAGAGCTTAATTAGCCTTTTTAAATAAAAATTACCCCTTTCTTAAAAGGAATTAGCTAAGGGCCTTTTTCTTTTATTATTTTATTTTTAAAAGTTAAAAAAGTTAATGCATAAAGGTTATTTATCTTTAATTAATTATTAAAAAGAATATTAAGTTTTAATTTAATCTTTTTAGCTGCTTATTATTAAGTTTATTTAATTAGCTTATTATTAAAATATTAATAAAGAAGGGTTAATAAAAGGTTGCTTAAAGAATGCTCTTACTTTTAGCTATTTAAATAATAGCTTTTTGCTATAAAAGAACTTTAATTTAAAAGCATAAACCTCTTTTATAAAATATATATTTATTATAAGTAGGTTCCTTAACCCTTTAATTATATTTAAGGAACTTAATATATAATAATAGTAATTTCTTATTACTTTTAAAGATTATAATGGCTAGCAATTTATTATAATAAAAAAAGAATAAATAAAAGAGAAAATAATTATTAAATAGCTTAAAAAAGTATTTATTTCTTAAATTACTTCTTTAAATTCTTTTAAGTAATAATTATTAATTATAAATAAGCATTATATATATATAATTATTAACTTTATATAAAAATGCTTTTTATATTAAAGATATATAATCTTTTTACTTATATATACTTTTCATATATTGCAACTCCTTAATATATTAATATTTTCTTTATTAAAAATAATATTTTAAAAGTATTTATACTTAATAAGGCAATATAACTCTTTATTAATAATAATAAAGAAAAAGTTTTTTTTTATTATTATAAGGTATAAAAAAAGGTATTTATAAAGTTAAATATATATTTAAGGTAAAAAATAATAAAGTTTTAATTAATATTTAAATATAAGATATTTAAAAGTTATTATATTCTTAAAAATTATTAAATTTAGCATAAATTATTAAAATTTAATATAATAAAGAGCTTTATTAAGTAATTCTTTATACTTAAGGTTTTTTTTTAATAATTAAAACTTATTTTTAAGACTTTTAAGTAATTATAAAAAGTATATTAATTAATTACTTATTAATATTATAATAAATATTTAAGCTTTATATTATAAATATTATTTAAAAAGCTTTTTAAAGTATATAATAAAAAAGAAATTTAATTAATTATAACCTTATAAAAAAATTAATAATTAAAAGCTTAAATTAAAATTAATTAAAAGATTATAAGGAAAAAGGTTTAAATTAACTTAAATATAGCTTTTATTAATATTAAAGCTATTTATAAGGCTTAAATAAAGGTAGGAAGGGTATTAAAAGAAAATAATGCCTTTAAAGAATTAGAAATATTAATGAAAGAGGGATTATGCATTATGGTGATGGGCAATTGATGTTGAAGAGAAGGCGTGTGTGGGTGCCGAGGGCGGCCGGGAAGGGGGGGCGGCCGGGATCGGGGCCGGGGACGTTAGCACGTAGTCGACTGCCCACAGAGCGGAGGCAAATACGTCGGAGACCAGATGCGTTCCCTGGCACTATGAAGAGGTCAGATAGTGCAGCTGGGAGCTGAGAGAAACTTGCAGAGGGTGGTTGAAAAGGCACGAAGATGAGAAGATTCAGAGCACTTACAGAGATCGAGTTGGTCTCGCCGAGCACATACGGCACACCTTGTGAGGCGCTGAAGTTTCCGAGGGCTTCATGATACCACATCAGGGATGTCATGCGATGGTGATTGAGGATATTGTCTTTGATAGTAGGAACCTTGGCACCTTCGCAGTTGGCTCCCATGTACTAATCATTTCACAACCGGGTCAGCTCTGTGATCCTTAAAGGATTTGATGTTGATTCAGATTTACATCGTGGTCAGCAACCGTTTTCAGCCGACCAGACTCGGCCATTCCCAGCTGTAGCACGCTTTGGACATTCCAGACTGAGTTATTCCCGGGTTCGATGTCGCGTGGTGCTGTAAAAGCACAACCTTGGAACAGAGGCTGGAGCTCTGCGTCGTCCTCGCCAAGAGCGTCCTTGCCAATGGCGTCTGAGTACTCAGTCCATTGGTCTACATACGATTTGGTAGTATAGTTCGCTGGACGACGACTGCCACCAGCCCAGCCTGGGATTCATGAGATTAGGAAGTCATCCAACCAGTCTGGGGTGGAGGGGTGGGTGGGAATGTAGCAAGTCAAGCAAACATTGACTGTTGCCCACCATTGACTTCATTGCCAATCTCAAATGCGTATAGATCCTTTCCAATGCCACGGTAGGCTGCACCGGCCTGAAGCACGGTCTGAGCCTTGCCTTCGTCGCCATCGTAGAAGTTGAGACCGTATATGTACTGAGTACCCTTTGGGAACTGCTGGAAAGACTCGAACCAGGCAGGCCCGACTGCCAACGAAGATGGCTGATCAGCACCTGGCGTTGAGTATCTTGCTATCAACGCCTCGACCTGGTTTGCAAGATAGGTGGCTCGATTCTGTGTTGTTCCGCCGGCACGAATAATGGGATAAGAACCTGCAATATCGCCTAGGTTCTGTATCATCTGATGAGAATAGGAGTTTGGATGGCTTTGTGAATTAGTCTCAAGGCTCGCTCTCAAACTCGCAACTTAGGTGCTACTTACCTCGCATTACCAGCGAAATCTAGCATATAAGAAAACTCAATGGAGTACGATTGGAAACTGGCGTCGACAATCTGACGGCCTTCCGGCGCAGAGTTGGGTACTTTAAGCTGGACATTTTCAGACCCCTCCTGTCGTCTTTGCAAATCGCTCGCCGGAGCCCCGAACGCAAGAGGAGTCAGTGCAAGAAGACGGAGCCAATTCATGATGAAGGGGATCGATGGAAAGAGGTGTACTAGTCAATTTGTGGTGAAGAGCAATCCAGAGATGTTACGAATGTCATTCGCCCAAAAGCAACTGATCAATCAACAACCTGGAAACCGGACAGCCGGCATAGCTGAATTTGGACCACCAGCTGGACCAGTCGATTCTCGTCTTTCTTATCCTCGTCGGCAGATGTCCCGACCTCCTGCACATTGTGCCTCTGACCCCGCGTCGCGCGAAAGGAACTAGAATTTCTGCATGCAGTGGAACAAAGTTGCACACCAAATTACGCAAGCCCCAAAGCCTTGATAGCAACCTGATCCTCCGTCTCCGCAGCCACGCTCAAAAGGTCAGCATCAGATTCGGACCTGCGGGACGCGACCACGCAGCGAGCCTCGCCCTCGTCGTACAGCTGAGCGACGACCAGGTCCAAGACCCACCCGCTACTGCCGTCTGCGAGCTTTCTGCGGCCACTTGCCATGAGCTCCTTCGTGGTGGACTTTCGTACCATCCATTGCTCTCCTGTTACTTGCTCAAATGCTTGTAGCAGCTTGTTCTGGCAGGTTTTGATGGACAGAACCTTCACGAACCGGTTCCTGGTCTCTTCTGGGTGGGTGAGGACACCTACGACACTCTGTGCAATGCCTTTTAGAGTCGTGCCTGTGAAGTCCTCCTCGCCGTTGTCGTATATGGTTGCCGAATGTTCGTTGAGGTTGAATCCCATCAGAGCAAACTTCCTGATCGCCTGCTCCATGGTCAGAATCGGGGCATGTTCCTTCGTTGTGCGTAGCCTGCTACAGAATCATCGCTTACCCAGTCAATAGGATTTCCCGTACTGATTCCAGTCCATGTGAACCCAGGATTGGCGTCCGCCCTCGCCTTCGCATGAGCCCATTGCGTCTTCCTCATAGCATGAACATCGTGAAATTCAGGCAGTCCACGAACATCCGGCCCCCATCCGAAATCATTCACAATGAAGCGCTTGACACCTGCGGCTCCCGCTGCATCGGTCATGGCAGTCTGATGATGAACACCGGCCGGCCCGACAACGCAGACAGCGGCATCTTGCCCGACCAGGGCATTTGTTAGGTCCTCTGTCGTGTATTCCACTTTGATAACATGTATACCAGGTGGGAAGGTTGCTGAAGACTCATGTCGGGTTATTATCGTCAGGTCGAAGCCGGCTTCAATGAGGGCTGCGGTAATTGGGGCACCGAAGTTGCCGGAGGCCTTGAAGTCATGTCAGCCACAAATGTGAACGTTTCTTGGCAAGGCGACAACTCACGCCGAATATAGCGACTTTTTTGATTGTAGTCATTGTTGAAGAGGGACCAGTTCTGGTAGCTGATGAAGGATATTGAGCTCAATGAGGTTGAGGCAGCCTCGCAAATCGATATTTGAGCTTTCACCCGGCTGATAGTGAAGCTGAAATGTTCCGAAATAATCGTATATTTCGCCGGGACAGCTGGGTGGCATCATTGTAGTGAAGGCTTTGGGAGAAAATAAAACGGAGTCTTTATAGATGTGTCGGGCCTCTTGTGTAAGCCCAACGGCGGAACTCCGCCAGAGGAATTCCGCAGCAGTGGAATTCCGCCACGAGAAGGCTGGAATCCCAATTATTGTATTTTACTCGAAAAGATCTAGGTGCAAAACAAGAAGCGAAACTGTCCGGGCAAAAGAGCCGTGACCGGCATTTCCTACTGCATTGCTATCCATCCTTATTTGCATTTCAGACCTCTCGGATCTTGTAGTCGAACATCTCGTTCGACGGACCGCCGTTTCTATCTCGCATCTTGTTCGCTATTGCTATTCCCGCGACTGGCACACGGTATTCCACCTGGCCGCCGCTCGATGATCCGCTCCCCTCTGGCAGCGGATACGGGAAGGGAAGGTACTCGGGCAGCAGACCAAGTTGCCTCAACACGCTGCCCTGGTCCCACGCAATATGTTCATGGTACAGTCTATCGCCACGGACATTTACAACGGCCGTGAAAGGAACCTCGACCCTCTTATTGGTGGGAGGAACGCCAGGTAAACTGTGTAGTGTTAGCCTCTGTTTTCTGAGATCAAAGCTAAGTGGCATTCTTACATCCAGTCAATCATTTGGTCGTGAGTGAATTTGAATATGAACTCGTCGATAACACGATCGATGCCGACAGTACGGCTCGTAAGCTCGAGCTCGGAATCGGCGGAATTGTTAAAGATGAAGTTGTGTTGATAAAAGTGGGAGAGCTTTGCACGACCAATACCGCCGGTCATCTGGACTTGGGTCAGCCTCACCGAATATTACTAGGACGACATGCCTGGGCGAGAGACTTACGGTCGGAACATGGTTCACGTAAGGCTCCTGTACCATTGTACTCATGGTATGCTCGACTGATCGATCAGCGAATTCGTAGTACGTGTGTTCATCCCATATCGTCTCCAAGTCGAAGTATGGGCCGTCCATTTCCTTCTTGAAGAGCGTAAGGTTTCGAGTGTGCGAGATCGCCTCGGTGTTGTAATGGAAGGAGTCCTGAAAGGGCGTGGCGAACTTGGACGAAGTGACGTTGGGATAGTAGTACTTCTTGGCTGGTTGGGAAGACTCCCCTGCTGGCTTCCCTGCAAGATGCAGCAACACGGGTATGGACACACCGGCGATAGAATCTGGTGATGACTCCTGTGATGCGTCCGCGTATACAGCAGCCACGGCAACGGAAGGATGATTGGCCAGCGTCGGGGCCACGATGTTCCACAGCTCCGAGTCGTATGCTACCGATGCTGTCAGATCGGTGACTCCTCGAGTGTTTGGCCATAAAGAGAGGGCAGGCATTACTCACCAGTCAGGCCAATCTTGTCCTTGGGCTCACACACATCGCACTCATACAGTGTTTCAATAGCACTACGGATGGGATCGCCATGGCCTGACTTCAGGGCCTCTGCCTTGATCTCCACAACCGTATACCCTTCTTCTGCCCACTTTACGAGCGGAGATGGGACACCGTCGGTAATCGCCAAAGAGTCACCGTAATCTATGGTGAGAATGATCATGCCCGGGCCCGTCCCCCTCCGGCTCAGTGGCTGAAGCAGCGACACACCAGGGAGAACTGCCGTGAGCACCGGACTCGGTAGTGCAGGCGGGGGCTTGCTGATGTCGTTGAAGGGCATGGCTGCTCAATTAGTCCGAGTTTCTGGATGCTCCGATAGCCAGAACTGCTTTGATGAGGTGGTTGTAGTGGCTTTTGAGTTGAAATTCTATTCAACCACGAAGCCAATTGCTGTTGTGGTGTTGAGGCAAAAGAAGACAGCAATCGAGGTGGAGCTTGTGGTTACTTCCAATGCCCAGTGGCATCAATGTGTAATAAGCAATGCCATCCTTGCTAGTCTAATCTTGTTGAGGCAGCTTATCCGGCGCAGATGAGGGGCTTGTTGCATAGCTGTGTCCAAACCTCCTGAACACCAAGAGCAGGGTCTCCACTCCAATCTTCACAATCCTACGATCACTCCTGGAGCCATCGAACCTCTGCATCATCCCCACCAAAATTACCCTCGTCTGCCCAGACGTGCCAGGGAACTATCTCCTGATACCCTGTCTTAAGTCAAAAATAGGTAAACTTCACATGCAGACCGCCCCGATTCTACAACCTGCCATCAGTACATCAAGCGCTCTCATTGGCCGAAACAAGCAGTTATGCTGCTTAGCCCTTGTGCGTCATGCTAGAGAAGAGAGCCTCGCTCAGACCCATGGCGGCTTGAACCACGCCGCCAATGGCAAATCCAGAGCAGGCGTCCACCGCGGCATCGACGTCTTCTTGGTTGGATACGTCGCGCCGCATTACCTCTACAGAAGCACCGGCCACTCGGACCCGATCCACAAGGCTTTGGGCTTTGGGCTTGTCGCCAAGTGCGACCGAGGAAGACGAAGTGGCGAGCACCTGGCGACATCATCCATCGGCTCAGACTGCGGCCAAGGCCGCCCAAGCACCCAACGAGCAGGTAGACCTTTTCGGAACTAAGAATCGTCTAACACAATGTAGGCATGACCTGTTGACTTTCAGTGTTGCTCTTTGCTACATGGTTTGCCATCCCGTGCGAGTAGAACAGACGACCTGGAGACCCAGTGGGGCATCATAAGATGAAGCATACCGGAATAAGGCTGCTTGAGTTCTGCATGGATACCACCACTTTCCAATGCGATCTTTTCTGTAAAAGAAGCGGTAGGCTTGCGATACCTTCGAAATGTCAAATTTGGCGATCGGCACCGGCTTGATTGCTCTCGTCCGACACAGCTCAAGCGGCTCCTTTGGTCTTTGTGGAAGAACAGTTCGGTGAGATCGAAGGTGGTGAAGGAGCAGTTACGTGTCAAGACGTGCGTGTCGAGTTTCCCGGTGTCGACAAGCTCATGCTTGCCGACCTCGACGAAACGGCCAAAGTCTGCTACCTAGGTATGCAGTCCTAGCTGTCATGCATAAGATCTTCAACAAGCGAGTTGATTTAAAGAACTATAAATAAAGCCCTCTTATTTACATATTTGGACATTTAATTTATATTACTGTATGAAATATGTTAATGCTTCTAGCTATATGATTAAGTAGTCAAGTTAGTGACTGAGATAGAACGTTCCTTGTGTGTTTTCTTACTCTCTGGCTATCATGGCCGTGGGCTGGACGCATGCCAGGCCTAGTTACTGGGCTTACTTATTCCGCTTATCTTGTCAGCCCAAATAGCCTCCAAAACTATACTACTGACGTTGCTTTGCAGCTTCCCTCCCTTTTCTTTTCTTTTAGTTACGCAAACCTAGTTGCAAATCAACATTTCTTCAACGCCAACTTGCGCCTTCGTTGCCACTAGACGTAAGGACCGTCTCCCTACTCTGGAAACTCTTGTTTCCGTAATTAAAAAAAGAAAGGACATCATAAGGAGATGGGGAAAAGATGTTGCCAGTCTTTTTGTCCTGAATTTTTGTCATCCCCTTGTTTCTTTCTCCTTCTAATGGGAGGGCAGCGCTTCCTCTATCTTGGGACGAGCTGACAAGCATTGGCAGTGAGACAAAGAGAAAAGAAAGGTGTCTACGGAATTAAGAATTTCAAAACACCCCAAACGCCGGTGGCACTAGACCAAAGCTGACATGTTGTTTCCGTCTCTCATTCCGAAGGAGCATCTCACGCCGGACAATACTGGATCAGCCCTCGTTATTTGCGATCAGAAGCTACCTTGCCATGGCGTGCCTTGTTCTGCCTGCATCCCTTGGCTCTGGGAGAAGTTGACGCGTTCCCAGCCTGCCTGATCCTATGCCACATACCGCGTACAAGTAAAAAAAGCACGCAGTCCGATGGCACATGTGCAGCACATAAAGTATATCTAGACTCGTCTATGAAGGCGACACAGCCCAGGTAAATGACGCGTCTTATCTATCCTTCCCCTCGGCCACCAACCCGCATCTTCACTATCATACGACTTACTTGAGTTCCTTGTTGCTTCTGCTTCATCCAAAATGGCCTATACGTATTCTGTCATCATCACGGGCGGAACCAATGGCATCGGCTACCACGCAGCCCTGAAGATTGCCAAAGATCATCCTGAGTATCTGGTCGTGATCGCCTCGCGGTCCGACAAGAACAATGCTGCTGACGCCATCAACAAAGCCCTGGGTCAGTCTAACACCATTTTTATGACCCTGGATCTGGGAAGCCCGGCCGACGTGCGGAGCTTCGCCAAGAACTGGATCGCCGACAAGACGAAGCCCCAGATCCAGGCGCTGGTGATGAACGCGGCGCTGCAGTTCCCCAAGACCCTCCACCTGACGGACGAGGGCGTGGAGAAGACGTTCGCCATCTCGCACGTCGGCCACGCCATTCTGTTCCATCTCCTGTGTCCCTATCTCGCCACGGGAGCCCGCGTCGTCCTCACTTCGAGCGGCACGCACGATCCCGCGCAAAATTCTGGCCTGCCCGACGTCGAGGGAGTCACGGGCAAGTACTTTGAGGGGTTGAGAGAGATCAAGTCGAGCATTGACAGCTACGTAGAGCGCAAGCAGGAGGATCTGTGGGAGTGGACCGTCAACTACGTAGCTGAGGGCGACGCGCGCGAGGTCGGGCGGTTTCAGTCTTTCAAGTGAAGCGGACGTCTATCATTCAACATATATATACCTCTCAATCGTACCGCTTTCCCGGGGTCATTAACAAAACGGCGTCAAACTAGCGATATAGGGTCTAATAATCTCAAATTGTCTCCTGCTGCCTGATGGTACTAATCCTGCCCGTGTTGCCTCCAACTATAACTAACCGTATTGCAAAGCCCTAACATTTCCTGTCCTCAAAAATCAAGCAGATGCGTTGCAAGACCGGCCAAGGAGTGTGGCAAATGCGCTATTCCGAAAGACTCAGATGGCAGTAATTTCACTGACAATCGTGTCTTTGGCAGGCTGATCCTTCCGGGTGGCCAGCATTGCCGCCATGTTTCTACCTCTAGGCGGCGACTCTGCTACGCAACATCCCCACGGCCCAAAGACAACAACTGAACGATTCACCTCAATGACCACGCGTAGCGTGGGCTGCCTGATCCGTGGAGGATGTAAGACCCGGGAATTGGCCGTGATCCTCCCCGACGCTAGGTCAGCACCACCATCCTCCAGATCGGCCTGCAAATCATCATACTGTAGTACACCAAAAGGACGTGACATAGCACGTATCCGTAACATGGTTAAAGCACATCACCCTGGTGGGAGCCACCAATACGAACGGAATTGAGCTACGACCTACACCAGCCTACCTACAGTACTGTGCAAGATTCACCGCCAACGGGGACGGAGAAGAGGGCACATTGTGCTGGTCCCCTCTGTAAGAGGAAGAGGGCGCCCCAGCGCAAGGGAGGAATTAAGAGGAATAGAAGGGGGCATATAATGCACAGTCACGAAGGTTCTTAAGAAATAAGCCCAGCAGATACTGCGTAAAATGAGAGAAAAGAGGGGACTGAATTCTAAGCGGAGAATTTCCAAGGCAACATTTATCTGGGGGCCTTTATACTCCCGTCCCCTGAGAAAGATGGTGTAACCTACTACACCCCAAAACAATATATTGATCATGACAGCAGGTTCAAACCTTTCAAGCCCCAGCTCTAGCCTAGCCACAGACTTGGACTACTTCCAGGTCCTGAGCCACCACACAGCCATCAATCTAGAGAGCCTGGTTTTCCTAGACGGACTATGCCCTGTCCAGCTTCCCCGCCAAGGTCCCGTCGTCCAAGAAACTTCCCCACATAGCAGCCTCCATCAAAAAGTTCACTTGCCAGGAATGGAAGCTCGCATGACTTATGAGCCAGTTCATCTCATAGACTAATCCGTCGTGCCAGCACTGCGCCAGTGCTTCATGCAGGTCGAGGCCGAGTTCTACCTCTCTTTCGGGGTTGACCACTCCGGCCCTGACGTACGCGAGCGGACCTGTCACCAGGAGGTCCCAGAGCAGCTGCAGCATCTCGCGGCGCTCATGGCCATTGATGACCTCGGCTGCCTGATCGCACGTCTCGGCACCGTCACAGGCGTTCTCGAGGGGCCGGCTGAAACCCGTGGTGTGGTAGTCGTCGTCAAAGGCTTCGTCGATGTCCGCCTCGCGCATGATGGGTCCCGCGCGGCGCACCTTTTCGTAGCCCAAGACGGCTCTCCTCAGAAACCAGTGTCGGTCGTTATGTATGTGCCATACGATGAGCAGGGAGCTCATGGCCGCTGACGGCGTGTTCCACCGCTCCGTCAGCATGCGGGCACATGTGTGGCTGTACGCGTCGTAGACGGTCCGGAGGACGTCCTCGCTCACAATGCCACCTGCAGTCTCCGTGATATCCGCGGTATTGAGGAAACTGTTCATGACCTCGCTGTTGCCTATATCACTTCCGACATCGACGACATCCGTGCCCTATAGCGTCCACATGTCAGGAGAGGTTATTACCGAGGCGCGGATTAGAGATGTCTGCTGACAGGGGTCTGCTGACGCAACTCGACCTGGGTAGATCGAGCTGCATTGACACAAAGCACATACCGGTGAGCTGAAGACCAAGTCACTCATGGTAGCGGCCGCGTCATGCCCGCGTGTGGCAGCTTCGGCTGCCAGTCCCATGAGGCTGCTTTCGCCAAACATTATACATTGCGCTGTTCTGCGATCAAACTTCGCAGACAGTCCAGAGAGGTAGGGCAGGTACTTGTGTTCGAGCGCGACCTTACCGCGGATATACCGTAGCCCCATCCTGGCACCTTCACGTCTCTCGGGTCCTCCGAATGTCCCCAGGGCGTGAGGGTCATTCGAGGCTGCCTCGAATAGTGGCTCGAACTCGGCAAAGACGCGGTTGAAGCCATGCTCATAGTAGAAGGCCATGTCGACACAAAAATTGCTGTATAGGACTTGGGGGTCGTATGCGCCATTCAGAAGGCTCGTCCATCCAACGCCAAATAAGGTGTTGGTTGTTAACAGAGGTGGAGGCCAGTCCTGTCCGTTCACCAAGTCAATAACTTTGTCGGACGCGCGCTGGATGCCCTTTCCCTTGGCTGGCAAGACCCTTCCTTGTCCTTGCTGCTTCCGCTTCCATTCCGACATCTCTGATGACAGACGCAGCTTGACAAGACCGATCCGCGAGTCGGGGTCTGGATAATCGATGCTGTTAAATATCCTGGTCATGGCTGCTAACGCCTCGTCGATGACTCTGCTGCAGGCGTCCACGCCTCCATCTCCAACAAGCTTCCTTGCCTCGACGTTCCCACTGTGGCTCGGGAAAGGCTTTGTCTTGCCTGAAGTGTGCTCAGCACCCCAGAAGTATGGCCCAAGAGGAGTAGAGCTGTATTTCTGCATGTACGCTGACGAGACTGGCTCGTCTGGCTGCACCGTGAAGGGCCTGCTCCAGAAGTGATTCCCATTTCCTTCAGTTGAGTCAGCGCTGATGTCGCCCATCTTCTGTTTGGTGATAAAAGCCGGAGCGAGCGCTGTGATAAGATGGGGTGTTCAGTAACGACAAGAAGCGAAAAATTCAGGGAACTCGAACGTGTGGGCCCGGGGCAATTGATGACTGAAGGAGGAGCCCTGTGACAGGAAAGACTGGGTCTGGCAAATATGCGATTGTTTGCATTCGAAGTGGGCGTGATGGCTGGGATCTGAGTGCTGAAGGGGCAGAGGGCACCCTTTTTAAAGACGTACGGACCTCCATTCACCTGAGGCCCCCAGTGACTGGCCTCCTAGTGACTGGCCCCCCAGTGACTGCCATAAGCTCCCTCTGTCGCGGTGCCCAACTGAGGTGCCATGGACTACTGGTGAAATTCGAAGTCCCTTACTAAGCAGCCTGACAGTTGAGTGGGTATCTCGAAAATACAATGGAGAGGTTGCGAGTTTCTGAGGTGTCATAATTGAGATGTCATAATACCCTCCCTACATAAACCCCACGGCTTCACCTATGAAATGTAGCTTCTAGTCTTCTTCTCTTCGCGTAACAACAAGTTCAAAACTATGACTTATTCTCCAGCTCTGTGACATCGTCAGTACTTTGTCCCATTGCGCGAAACTGATGACCCACCAATTTCGCTACGGGACGGTTCAGAGAAATAAGTAAATGGCCTCAATATGTTGACCCAAATGGTATTGAGGCCCACTTTTAACCGGTAGTTGGGAAAGGTACCGCGAGGCTCACTGACCACGTATCGCTCTGGACCCACGAGGCTCGCTGACCATGTACCGCTCTGGACCCACGAGACTGCCAGTGCGGCGCGGCAGACATAACCAATTACGATAGCGGCAGCGCGGACTGCATCACAAGTATTACAGTCTTATAGACCCGGAATCTTACGTCACCTTCTGAAAATTTTCTTATCTCTGCTCTGTTCGGTGACCTCCTAATCCCGGGACTCGGACTTCGCCGAGCGTGCAATGAATGTGGTGCCTGGGCTGTTTCTTCCACGGGAGCAAGAGTTCCAAGTTCGTGCTCTTTTCTTTCTCTAGCAAACAGTCCGTAAACTGGGAGATACCTCGTAGTTATCTGGATGTGTATGACACTGGACGGGCACATGCAGTTTTGCGAGAGGTTGGTGTCCTGAATACAGACTCCGATTCAAGCCGTATTGACATAACTTCCTACCTGGGTGACCCACTGCCACTTGAACATGTACAAAGAGCCGCCACAGGCGACAAGGGACAACATGCACGGCTGCGGTGGATTCAAGTACAGCGCAGAATTGAGCACGCCATCAGAAGCCATCTGGACCTCAACACAGCCACTTCCGACTCCCTATCAGATACGGGCGCTCACCCGAGCGGCAGGTAACTACTCCTGAGTGCATCAACCACGGACGAGGTGATCTAACCTAGTGAGCCTCTTGGTATTGGAGAAACAGCATAACTAGTCCCGAAGTTGAGACTTAGCTGACTTCTAATTTCACCTCAAGATGAGCGTGCCCAAGTTTAGACGTCTGTTCCTGGGCTTGAGAACAAAGGGGGGAGGCGGCATGCCGAGGCGTAACAAGGCTACAATAAGCTAAGCGGTGAACCGCAAAATCTTTTTGCACTAGAGAGTTGTGTCTACTTGGCAATCCGGCGGTGTGCGATCGACATACATCGAGCCCTGCATCCGATCCCAAGGGAAAGGATAGGTGTATTTGGCGACTTGGTTTTGAGAGAGTTCCTGTGGCCAACACAGTTCCATTCAAACGCGGGTTGATTCATATTAGCGCATATTTGGTAAAATAAACACCAAAGAAAAAAGAAAAAAACCGGTATGACATATGTGGCCGCGATAAGCCTTAGCTGGTGGTTACACAGCTTCACCGTAATCTACCTAGGAATTGGCTGACTGGCTGGCGGGCTGTTAGGCGGTGTGTTCTGCAAGCGGTCGTCAGGGACCGAAGTACCATACAATCCCGACGATGACCGCAGTATGTAGGTATGTACATCTCAAGAGCCACGGCAGGCGTGAGAATAGGCCATGCCTTCTTCTTTGCAGCACTCCTGCCATCAACATAGTGTAGGTTCAGCAGCGACCATGCAGTGCAGTGCACTACACTACAAACACCACACAGATTGACTTCCTGCGCTGCATTACATGTACATTGCATCGTGTGGCATCGTAGTATATTAATCACTGTGAGCCTGATCTTGGTCCGTTGGATTTTTATACTTCTTCCCTAGTATCATCATTGTCCTTATCCTTATCTTCGTATCTTACACAGTGTATATATGTATATAGCGAGGCGTCCTCGTTTATATGAAATCAGGGCTCAGAAGCTCGCGGAACATTAAAAGCTAAAAAATACGTAATAATAACAGACCTTCAAGATAACTGATGTACAGACCACATGACAGTTAAATGAAACACAGTAGTACTCTCTAGGCCACAACTCTTTTATCGAATACCAAGCATCTTTCTCCAGTCACCCTTCTTGGGGACGCGTACAAGCCAGTACAGAAAAAACGCAGCGCAGACATTAAAGACAGTGTATGCCCAGATGAGGGCGTAGTCGCGGTATCTGTTGCTGTAGAAGATGTCGGTCGAAGCGAGGAACTGATCCGTGCTGGCCATGGGGCAGTACTGGCAGTTCTCGGTCGCGGACGGGTTGTAAACGGCTCCCACGGGGAAGGACTCGAGGTATTCGGCGCACGTCTGGTTGGCGCGTGGCTGGAAGACCAGGAGCTCCAGCTGGGAGCACCGCACCGCGTTCTGGCCCACGCCCGTCGACAGCATGGCGCTGATGATGTACGTGATCGGCGACACCCGGTACATGAAGATCCAGAAGCCCGGGAGGTCCGAGCGAGGGACCATGACGCTGTGAAGCCGGTGTCAGTCAGTCTCTCTCTGTCTCTCGGGGCACCCAAGACCGCGAAGGATGGTTGGTCAACTTACCCGCAAAAGATCAGCGACAGCGCAAACATGAGCAGGGACAGGATGGCGCCCTCCTCAGCTGTGTTGGCGCCGGCTATGCACATGTCGGCGAATGTGGATTGGAACAGCATGAAGGTCCAGACAATGAGAAACATCAGACCGCCGCGCTCGGTGACCGAGTCGGTTGGTATCCCGTTGTTGTTCATACCCACCAGGTAATAGAACGGGAAGAAGATTAGAAGCGAAGCCAGGGTTGTCCACGGCAGCTCCACGACGATGTTGGACAGCATGAACACGTGCCAGGAGTACATGCGCGACGCAGACTCACGGCCCTCGTACTGTTGTCGTTGGATGATGAAGTGTGGCATGGTCTGGTACACCAAGAAGGCGAAGATGACGAGGAGCATGAATATGGAGAACATCTGGTTCTGGAGCCCGGAGATGGACAGCTCGGCCTGGTAGAAAGACACACCAATGAACAAACTCTGCTCACATGTTAGTCTGATGGCTGTAATGTCGTGAATCATCGGGCGTACGTACCATGCCACCACAAAGGAACAACTTGGCGTACAGATATGACGGGCTCCGCCAGTACTGCTGAAAGACCCTCTTGGTGCAGACAGCGACCTGAAGGTAGAAGGGCGTGGCGTAAGAAGACGACATGTCGACCTCGTTCCCTGGGTTGGATGTTGACGACTGCCGTGCCTCTAGCCGCCCGAGTTCCTCCTGCACCTCTGCATACTCGCCGCTGTTGCGCCAAGTCTCGTGCCAGTCCCGATCCGCCCGGGCTCCCGGCGCAGCCCCGATGGCCTTCAGCATCCACTCGGCCGGATTCTCGGCCACGCCGCATGGGGTGGCTCCGTGCTTCTCGAAGTAGCCGGTAAGCGTCCTGCTGTTTTCCCCAATGTCGCCGAAGTAGACCGTCTGGCCACCCTTGGCGAGGAGCAGGAGCCGGTCGAATTGCTGGAACAACATAGCTGAAGGTTGATGGATGGTACACAGGATAGCCTGTCCGTGATCCGACAGCTTCTTGATCAGGGCGGTAATTGACCAAGACGTCTGACTGTCGAGGCCCGAGGTCGGCTCATCCAGGAACAGGAGGAGGTCTGGTTTGGCTGCGAGCTCGACGCCGATGGTGAGCCGTTTCCGCTGCTCGGTATTCAAGCCTGCGAGATTGCACTCGTTAGTCTGATCGGCCCAGGAGAATCGGGGCCCGTTTCACTCACCTTCGCCGGGAACACCGACCATGGCTTCCGCGTAGGCCTCCATGCCCAGTAACCCAATCACATCCTCGACGTAAGCGTGCTTCTCTGCCGTTGGCGTGGTTGCGGGCTGTCGAAGCATTGCGCTGAATCGTAGGGCTTCCCGCACTGTTGCCGTTTCGAGATGGATGTCTTGCTGCTGCACGTACCCAGTCTGTCGTTGAAATGATTTCTGTCGGAGCCGGCCGTTCACAAGCATATCTCCAGTCACCACACCGACCGTCACCCGATCCGCTAGAACATTCAACAGCGTGGTCTTGCCAGCTCCGGTGGCACCCTGTTGTCCATCAGAATCAATATGTTGCCGGCAGCCCGTCGCGGGTACTCACCATCAGCGCTGTCAAAGTACCAGGCTTCACCCATCCGTCAACGTGATCTAGAATCCTTCTACGCTCTCCCTTGATGGATATGTCGTAGCAGACGTTGCTCCAGTGGAATATGGAATCGGACTTCTCCTTTTCATCCGAATGCCCAGCTGCTTCATTGTCTGATCCTCGATGCTCCTCTGTCGCCCTGCCCTCAATGCGGACGGGACCAACTGCTCCGGACTCCTCATCGTCGCTGGCGTATGACTTGGGCGATTTGTGGCCATGCCCCCGGCGGAAGACCAAGATTTCACCTTTGCTGGGATGGAGTGACAGGTATTCGGCTGCAGCAATGTAAATTACCATAAAAAACACGACGAAACCAACCAGGATGCCGAAGTTCCTGTTTCACACGGTTAGCGACCCGAGGATACCGTGCTTTCCTTGTCCGTCCTTACCTCCACAAGTGGGAGTGGTAATAGCCGTAAAGATTGTTGATATAGAAGTCCCCGTCAATGAAGTCCTGACCGGGGAGGGCCCCCGACGTCGCACAGGCCCTTTGTGCCGGAGAAGCATCCATATAGGGCAGGCCCATTGGAACGAACTGTGTACAGGGGAACTGCCGGCCGGAGAACTCGTTGGCAACAAGACTCTCGTACGCGTAGGCGATCGGGTCGATGTAATTGATCCAGCGAAGCCAGCCTTGCATGCTCCTTGTTGGGAGGACAAAGCCCGTGTATATCACAAGTCCCAGAATGAGCACGGCGGCTGGGGTCAGGGCTTGCTGGATGGACTTGGATCCTTGTGCGATGGTGCGGAAGATCATCGACATGGTGAATGTACAGGTGAAGCTGAACAGGAAGAAGATGAAAAAGGGGCCTGCCTCTCGACGTAGGTTTGTCATGAAGTACAACGGGACGTTGAAGCAGATGGCCGAGAGGATCTTGCTCGGAAGCTCGGTAATCATGGACGAGATTGCTTCGGAAAATGGGTGGTACAGGGCGTAGCGATAGTGCTTTTCCACGATTGGGCGCTGCGCATAGAGCGAGAATATCTACAGACGCGTTCGTTGATGATTAGCAAGCGACACACAGCACAAGCTCACTGCCAGTGGGTATACGACCAACCTCCAAGGCGCAGCTCAAGGCATTGAACAGAATGGCGAAGTAGAGCAGGATACACTTGCTGTTGAGTGTCTCGGCGGTGGGAGCAAGGTCGTAGTAAATGCTGCCAAGTGCAAGGGCGATGACCAGATTGGCTGCAACAGTGATGGTGAAGAAGGTTATGTCGCCCCTGAGTCGCTGGAACCCACGAGACATGCAAAGCTTGACCTGCATTGGGACCGAGATGGTGTAGGGCGACTTGTTTCTCGTCAACGAGGCTTGCCGTGACTTTTGGGCTGCCTTGAGATTCTCATGTTCCGGGCCATTGGTAGGAGACGCGTTCTCAAAAGTTGCGATATCATTGATCAGCTGCAGCCGCTCTTGACCGAACTTCCACGCGCTGGCGAAGTCATCGGGAGACTGCGGTACCGCCCTGACGTCCTTAACGTCAGACCGGATAATTCGTTCCTCTGGGTTCGTCATGGAGGTGAGAAAGTCTGCTGTTGTCTGGCGATCGGGGCAGTGATAGCCCAAGTCAATAAAATACTGCTTGGCCCTGTCCTTGGGGCCGAAGTAGATCTGTCTGCCTTCGTACAAGACGGTGACTTTGTCGAATGTCTGCGAAAACAGGTGAGTAGGGTCGTCGTGGCGATGTACCGAGGATCGGGATGCTCACATCATATGCAGGCTGGGAGGCTTGGTACATGGCCACAATAGCAGTAGTCCCCATCAGCTCGCTCGACAACCGGAGGGTCCTCGCAAACTCCAGAGCGGTCGCACTGTCCAGGCCTCGTGTGCTGTTGTCCCAACATTGAATGGAACCCTGGCTCAGCATCACCTCGGCAATACTGACTCGCTTCCGCTCACCACCGCTCACACCACGGACATAATCATTGCCAACCCGTGTGTTGATTGTGTGGGATATGCCAAAGACGGCCATGACAGCATCTCTGACGTGGCGAGCGTATTCTTGGCGGCTAACGCCAGGGAGCCGGTTCTTGGGGGTCCTTCCCAAAGCGGCAAACATGAGTGTCTGGCCTACAGTCAGCTGGGGGAAGTGGATGTCTGTCTCCGCTTGGTAGACGACCTCGCCGCGGAATCGACTGTGCATCACGGCCCAGGGCACCCCTGTTCGTCTGTTACCATACTGTTCTCTGGTTGTGAGCATTGAACGCAGCCCTTACCTTGATAGCTAAGCATTGACTTGCCGTCGAGATGGAGCCCCCGGACCTGGCCAGCGATTGTTTTGAGCAACGTGGAGACACCACTGGATTTCCCTCGTCAGCCTGGTCCAGTCGAACACCTCCGATGGACAAAGGGGCAAAGGGACAAAGGCACAAGCTTGCCTGCCTGGACGGCCGAGCACCAGGAGCATCTCTCCGCTATTGACCAAGCCGTCGAAGTCACTGAGAATCTGAATCTTCTGCTGCCGCTTCGAGATCCACTCCTTGGCAATCAGAGGCGCCCGCCAGAGCACGTTCATCACATCCTTTTGGTAGTCAGTATCCCTTCCAAACCCGTGGACGCTCAAATATCGCCACGAGACGCCGAGTGGTTGGCGAGGGTACTGATCAGGGTCCTTCGAGAAAGCATGTAGGAGAGCTGAGATCCATTTCCGGGGGTCAAAGTCGGCCGAGTTGGGGTCCAGAGAAGGGACCGGAGAGTGGAAGGGATTCTTGTCATGTTGAGTGCCGGCCGATCTGGCGCCCGCTTGACTCAAGGACCTGGCGAGTTCCGCAACACGTTCATCTTCTGCCCTCGACGAGACGTTGTAGGCCTCGCGTGCGTCCCCGTCGAGCGTATCCGAGTCTTCCGCTGTTACCAGATTGGCCGGGGAATGATTCGTACTGCTCGACTTCCGGCTAGTAGGCAGCTCTTCGCCATCTTCTCTCTTGGCCCGATCTGCCATTGTGAAGAGTTGCAAGATGACTAGTTGCAGCCAAATGTAGAGCGCGAGAAAAGAAGGAGAGAGAAAAAAAAAAAAAAAAAAAAAAAAAAAGAAGACAGAGGAGTGCCTTCACCTGGCGCAGCAAGCCATCCAGGGCCGTTCCAGGAAACAGGCCGGCGACATCTCCTTATACCCTCCCTCTGCCTTGAGAGAGATCGGTCGCTTACCATACATACTCAGGGCTCTGGTCGATCCGAGACTCCTTTGCTGACGCCATCTTCCGAGAGGAGCCTCCCGAGCCTCGGGGTGGAACCCTCGGTGCTCTTCAGACGTAATCCGCACGATAGGATGCAAGAGCTATGACGCCCACCAAGGCCCTGTCAGCAGCTGGGAACAGTCAACATTCTATGTAGATCTATGCAGTGAGCCCACTCAGCCCTGGACTGAAATGCCGGGCGGTCAAGGCCGAAGACGTTCTTTTTTGTTCTGCCGTGTGGTGTCTCGGAACCGACATGCCTAGAGGGGTTTAGTGGCGGTGGACCCAGGTTGGACTCGGTCCAAGCAGTGGCCGAAACACCACCGTTGTGGGTATTTTGGCGACGCTCCAATCCGCTTCCCTACCAGTCGAGTGCTCCCATCATATCCGAACCAGAATTATCCTGCCGAAATGTCCGATGCGCCAACCAGCCGTAGACTTGCCAGGACCTGCGACACCTGCAAGGCCCGCAAGGTTCGTTGCTCAGGTAAGCTTCCGTATCGAGGAGCAGCACATCGACACCATGAGGACAAGAAGACACGGCTGATCGTTGCTGCTCGCAGGCTATCCTGGCCCTTGCCTGAGTTGCCTCGTAGGTCTCTTGAGGCGTCCCTGTCTCCGTGGTGGTATCCTGACACTCCAAACAGCGCCGAAAAGAGAATTGTCACTTCAGTCCTGTGAAACCAGCGCGAAGACCCAATGGTAAACCCGTTACGCCAGTGCAGTATCGAAGCCAAAGTTGCCAACAATCAATGCATAGTCAATTTCGAAGTCACGGTCAACAACTCGCAAAGTCCAGGGGAACATAGCCCGCGCAGAAATGAATCCGCTGGTGGTCAAGTCAGTGTCAACGTGACCAACCCATGCTGCAAATAGCTGCTGATATAATTCTTCCAAGCCCGCCGACAATTTGCCAAATCTCTATGTCGACAAGCTTCTGTCTCAGGCTCGAGCCACGGGCGGCCTAAAGGACAGCAAACCATTTGCCGTTCAGGTATGTTGTGTTGGCGTTTCTGCCGCTAGGTTTTCTGTTGACGGTATTAGGGAAATGAGATATTCGGCATGTTCAAACGGCGCTCCCTGCCAAGACTCTTCTAACCATCACCGGCAGTTGGCAATTATAGAGTGACGTTCTTCTCCGATAACAAACTGCTGCATATATCGAAGCAGTTACAGAACAACAAAGTAGACGAGCTACTGGGAAAGATAACGTCACTAGTCCAGTCTCGCCTACCACGACATGACACGGCGTCTTCTAAACCGTTGCAACTTGCTAGAGAAAACCGCGGTATCGTCATCGGTGCCAGCGAGGCCAACTCTTACTTAGAGGGTGAGTGCTGGTACTTTCCACGGTTTCCTGCCCTTCCTCTGTCCACTGATTTCCAGCTCGCCCACTCATGTCATCTCCTCTGCCCTTTTCTGGAGACGTTGACTCTCATTCTCTGTACTTTAGCATACTTCACACGGGCTCATCCCCTCTACCCCTTCCTTGACAGGAAAGCCTTCGAGGACACCATGTTGGCTCCAACGTTCTCGCAGGAGCTCCAGCACAACAAAGCCTGGTTGGCTTTGTATAATGCTGTTCTTGCTCTGGGCTGTCAGCTCTGTGGCGAGGGAAGCTATCAACCTGGAAGGGGAAAATCATGGGGGTTATTTTCCACGTCTATGTCCCTATTTCCCGACCTGCTCAGCCTTCCTGACTCTATCCTTGTGCTTCAAGCGTTGACAGCAATGTCTATCTATTGCCTCTCACTTTCCTGCATGGCCATCGAACATGTTGTAATCCAAGAGGCTGCCAGGAGGGCACAGAATCTCCGGAGTCACAAACTTCCAGAAAGCAGTACCCTCAGCTATCAGAAGGCATTTTGGACCCTTTATTCAGTTGAGAAGATGTCCAGTTTCCACTTCGGCAGGCCTTCTGTAAGTCATGAAAAGCTGTTAAAAGCCTATCCCGGTTCCGCACATGTCCGGATAACTGGCCAAAACGAGGTGCTGATGGCCAGCAGGCGTTTGCTGATCACGACATCTCTGTCCCCATTCCAGTAGTCCCTGAAGCTATCTTTGGCGAATATGATTGGATGTTGGCAAACGCACGTTATGGAAGACTACTCTCCCGGGCGGCGTCTTCTCTCTTCTGCGCCGGTGTGACGGGGAAGACCGAGGAATACTTCCTAGAGGTCATCGACCAGCTCGAGAGCGAGTTGGAGCGTTGGAGGATGACGACCCCAGTGAACGGAAAGCCGAACGACACATTCAGGATCAATCTCATTGAGACCTCCCTCCTCAGGACGGCTTCTGTCTGGACCCACCTTATGTACAACAGCTTCAGGTTAGCCCTCTGCCGCGCGAGGCTGTATCTGGCGGCGAGGACACGCGGGCTCGTGAGTACGGCCAGTCAGGCCGAAAGCACGAGCATCATGTCCGAGGCCGCGCGGAACGTGCTGGAGTTGGCAGCTTTCATCGACGTGGATCCCTCTACTCCGTTTTGGTAAGGAAGCCCCGTCATTGCTTCCACGGTTAAGGCGACTTACTGACAGTCGTTCGTGCAAGGTTCGCTGCTGGGATCCCTATGGCGTCACTCCTGGTCGTATTCGACGTGGTGATAAGCTATCCGAAACACCCGGAAACAAACACGAACCTCGCTCTGCTGGACGTCGCGGGCGGCCACTTCAGCAGGATCGAGTACGCGAGTGCTGGTTGGCTTCCGGGCTCTCTCCTAACTCAGTTCTCACAAATCGCTCGAGAGTATGTGAGCAGGGGCAAGACTAATGACGGGAGCAGCGTGCTACCCGGCAAGCCACAGACCGAGAGAGTCACATCAACAAGCTCAGGAAAAGTACCTCAACCGGCGCTGGATGGCGACCTTGGAGCCACGAGCGGTCCTCCTCTGCAGCCCGCGTTTGATACGGTGCCGGTGAGTAACGGTAGCCTCTGGAAGATGATGATTGTTCGGCGCTTCGAATGGCTAACAAATTTTGCGCAGATTCCTAGTGGAGACCAGGAGTTTCAATTGTCGGATATGTTGTATTTCCCTATGGGCGATGACCCTTCCCAATTTGGCGATGGGCTACTAAACGGCACGGACTTGATGGAGCTATTTCATTCGTCCATTCCTTGGGACTACCGGATGGACGAATAAGGAGCGCTCAATGGCCATTATACCAGCGATACAACCGTTTGTCAAGCTCCCTCGTGACAGGCCAATCGTCTCACCAAAATCAAATTTGACGACACAGTTCCTTTGCTGAGCGACCTTCATATTAACAGAAAAGCGCCAGTGCCAATGAGACCAGGACGACTCTGACCTGCATACAGAGAACCAGATTAGTGCGATGGCCAAGACGGATAAATTATTTGATTCGACCTTTAACCATTACGTACTTTGCTTCTGAGCTGATGTTTGCTGCCTTGCTCTCCTTCATGAGTAGCTTCTGGTGTGATGTGTAGTAGGACATCAGAGTTTGTTATGCGACTAGAAAAGGAGCTTCTAGACGTCAGTATCTAGGCTATTACTAGTCTGAAATGACTTCGTTTTATTCTCTAGTTTAATTCAGTGCCAGAATTCTCCAGAACCGCTTCTGAAGAATACAGTGTAGCTTACATAGCCGTGCCGTCACACCTGGATTTGTTTCAGGGAGCCTTACACCGCGAAGGAAAAGCGAAGGTATAATTGACGGTCCTGCAGGTTCACATTGTACCTTGTTGCAGGTAGGATTTGAATGTTGGCCAGGTATCGAAGACAACACTGAAGCTGGGCAAGACTCGGTAGATGACAGCTTTTCGAGGTGAAAAATTCGGATCGAATGGAATGCTCGTACTATCAATTTGATACAGCTAATTAGATACTGAACGCAGCCTGGCCACCCGCAGCATTGATCAAGAACTCGAACACTGAAATTAAGCCTTTTGAGCCGCCAAACGAATGTTGTATTCAAGCTCCAGCGAGGCTTTCGGGTGGTCCTTCACCGGGACGAAGTCAACCACCAGGTCGTCCTTGACAGCAAAGACAGAGTCGTTGTCAAGATACTTTGTCTTTTTGTCAAAGATCTGCGTCACCAGAGGTGCGTACACGTCACCCTTGCCAGCCTGTGTGCGGGTCAGCTCCTGATCACGCTTTAAGCCCCTGGGCGAGGAAAGGGAGTCTTACCATGATGTGGATGTGGGCTGGGCGGTACGGGTGGCGATCCAGGAGCTGCAGAAGCTCTCCTGCCGGGCCTGCGGTGTGTTAGTCACGCTGAGCTCTCTTCCGGGCCGGTCAGTGCACTCACCGTCGTATGGGACCGGGTATGGTACTGGTCGGATACAGTAGAGCCCATAGTAGCCGTTCTTATCCGTGGTAAGCTTTCCCCTCAGGTTGAACTCCGCCTGGTCCGGATCCTGCTGCTCATACAGCCCGTTGGTGCTGCACTGCCAGATATCCACCGTAACGCCCTCGAGCGGCTTTCCCATCGCCGCGTCCGTGACGATGCCGTGCATGAAGACGACCTCGCCGTCCGAGGGCATGGTCTTGATGATGCTGGCGTCGTTCTCGGTCGGCGGCGTGTCCTTCCTGAAGAAGGGCCCCAGGATCGCGGTCTTGGTGCTCTCGTAGTCGGCGCCCACCAGCAGCTTATTGGTGATCTCGTCGACCAGGCTCTCCAGCCCGATGACATCGCAAAGCAGCTGGGTCTCGTTCCGCCGGTCGTTGGACATCTGCCCCGACCGGTTGAGAAGCTCGACACCCTGCATCCACTCGGACACAGTGATGTCATTCTCGCGGGCAAAGTCGTGCACGTGCTTGATCAGAGAGGTCATGACCTGCCTGATACGCGGGCTGGCCTTGGGGCCGGTTGCCGCGATGACGCTGTCTGTGAAGTTGGGGTCATATTGTGGCTTCTTGCTGGCACCTCCGCCGTTGACGGCACCATTCGTGGTGGAGGACATGGCTGTGATGTGTTTGAAAGGGAATTAGGTTGAGGGACTGAAGTGAAGGCCTGTTAGAGTGATGGCTGTACTTGGGATTTTGACTTCTTTGGATACGGTCGAGGGGCAGAAAGTATTCCAAATGGCTGACGAGTTCATGTGAGATATAAGTAGGATCGATGGTTACAAGTGTGTTTTCCGCCCCTTGTCTCCCTCTTACAGCATACGACTTCTGGGCATGCCGGAACAAAGCTCTGGCAAATCAGCAGCCTGCTATTTGTTGTAGAATCTGGGGTTGACGTCGGCTATGTCCTCCTCTGCGGATAAGTTAGCGAAGGGCGGCAGATAGGGGTGCTGGCCAGTAGCCGCTTGGCCGCCGTGGAGCTCTTGAGCTCCGGATGCCCCGCAGAAGCCCCCGGATTTCTGGGTCCACGACCTGCCGCCTTCGACACCAACACTCTCAGGGTAAGCGTCAAGCCAAGGATGTTAGACACAATGCAGGCTGACTGACCTTGACAGACAACTAGAATATCGGCTAAGGTCGAGAGCCAGTTGATGGGCAAATAGTTAGGCTTGTGGAAATCAAAAACAGTAGTCACAAGCTAAAAGCGGCCCTGCAGCGCAAAGGTCCTCTGGGAAGATACTCGGATGAGTACCCGGAAGCTTGGCGAGGTCATCGGATATGGCCCTGCAAGGGCCCACGTCTAGACAAGAATGCTCCCTAACTTCATCCTGTAAAGTGGCAACGGCACTTCGGGGCGACCGCATGCTCCTATCTATTGCGGTAAACCCACACAGCGCCTTCCTTTTGGATGAACAAGCCATTTCCCATAACCTCGTGATATTCATGTGTACTCGTCAGTGAAAGTTGGCCCTAGTACAGCCTCATGTTCGTATCCTCTGCAGGCGGACTCACACACACCCTATGCATTTACATGTATGGAAGGGAGGGTGCTAATTTGGTGGGTAGTTTTGTGAGGCGTTTCGTTGCGAAGAGGGTGCTATCGATTTCTTCTGAAGACAGCGTGAATCGTAAGAGGACACAAGCAGGAATGCGAGGTATTGAAAGGCGCGGGCAAAGCTGTTGACACAGGTTGTGAGTGAGGGCGCATGCATTTCAGTTTGGGCCACACAAATGTTCTTGAGCTGCTTGGGGGCTGAATCAGACTTGGCAGATGGGGCCAACTACCCATCTAGTCTATGTAGCACACAAAGTGTGAGGCGGCCACTTGGGTCGGTCTATATAGCAAGTGGCTAGGTTGTCCTGCGGATTCCTTGCCTCATGAGCTGGCGAGAACCCACCCTCCCGTGCTATGTACATACTTCAAATATCTATGCGCGTCACAAGTCTCAGATAGTGGAATTTGAAGAGCTATATGTTCTATGGCTGAAGTCTGCAACGAGTACTAATATCCTCATGTAATCAAGTTTAGAACAAACCGTTTGCTTGCGGAGTCATGACAAGATATCAGGGGCCGGTGTTGGCAAGTACCCTAGCCAGCTTGATGAACCTAGACAAGACGCACCAATGTGTTTAGAGCATACCAAGCCATTGAATTGTGTCCCAGCTGCGAAATAACAGCATACCTAGGTAGATCATTTGGACGTTTCCATCCTCCGTGTCACCTCCAAGTGCTTGTATGGTGGTCAATATCGTCCGAAGGGTACTGGTGATCCGGAGAGTGTGCGTTGAACCTCGCGTCATTGGGGGCCACGATAGAACACGGTCACCAGCAAATCTACATCCGGCTACACCTCCTGTTAGACTGGTAAAGACGCATTGCCATTATTGAACTGCCAACAGACTGCTGGGTGTTTACAGTACTGTGATGTCTACACAGCCTTTCTGCTCGAATGTCATACGCTAGATACAGCCTGGCTCCGCGAAGCCTCGGAGGGAGGGACAAAAGCAAATCGAGAAAAATATTCTCGAGCACATGGAAGTGCTGTCCTAGAGTATTATGAACCGTGCAGGGATCGAACCTGCAATCTCCTGATTCCGAATTCCTCATGAGGGTATCACGGGTCGTAGTCAGACGCCTTGCCATTGGGCCAACGGTCCTTGGATGAGAATCTTGCATTTTCGGCTTGCTCAGGATCACCAGACAAATCGAGCTCTTGTGCTCGTGGAGTGGGGCCGATCACCAGAACTAGCGTGCCAAGGCAAGGCCGACTGATAATCAACCGGCCTGGCTGTGTGTGTAACAAGAACAGTAATTCAGTAGGAAGAACAGTAGCAGTCACGAAGCTGATGATGATCAGGTTATTTCACGATGTTCAGATCGGACGCGGCTGTTGGTTGGAGCTCAACTTTATTATACAACGTTCTGAAGTCGTTGCTGGACAGGGTAGGTACGAGGGTACCCGGGCACCCGGGTACCGCAATGAGAACTGCTCCCACCCTAACCCCGTAAATGATCAGAGGACGGGGGTGTCGCACCGAGACTCGTGCACGGACCTATCAGCCGACGCCAATTGGGAGCTTCATCAAGGTCATCTACAGTCCGGCCGACCGTCTCCGAGAACAGACCAAATCCGGGCAATTGAAGGCTCAAGTCCACCAACGATTGCACCGCCCAACATGGCACACGATGAAGCAATCGAAGCGCCGCGTCGTAAGGCCTCCTCTCCCCGTTCCAGCCCGAATGAGAGAATCTGCGCTGACATGCATCGACAACCAGAGGCGACCCGCGAGGAGATGCGCGATGCGAAGCTCCCGCTGGCATACCGAGACAGCTGCGCGAACCTCCTGATTCCCCTCAACCGATGCCGGTTCGAGACATACTACCTGCCCTGGAAGTGCGAGGTAGGTCCAGACCCGACTGCCCCGACGGTCGCCGCTCCCAACGGGCGCCCAAGCCGGGCTGGACGGGACTGTCACCGCACGCCCGAGGATCGATGGGCAAACGCTAACACACAAATGCAGCAAGAGAGGCACAGCTACGAGAAATGTCAGTACGTCGAGTTTAAGAAGCGGGTGGCCAAGATGGACGAGCTCAGAGCGGCCAAGGGTGGTGCGAGGAGCAATTAGACGGGAAACCAGACGCAGGCGAGCTGTGCGCATGTTTCAGGCCGAGAAAGGCACTCCAAGACGCAATAGACGAATTGATCACACATGACTCTTCCAAGACCCGCGAGCTCGAAACAAGTGGACACGGTCAATATCACTGTGGTCCAAGGTCGGCCAGAAGGAAGATACCATAAGCTCCATGCAAGAAGGACAAGAGAAGGCTCAGTGCATTTCAAGGAACTGTCCCCATCACCGTGTGCCTTTCAATTCGTCCAGATACTTCACCAACCGCTTCTTGATGACCACCCCGAGCACTTTGGCGGTATCCTTCTCGACAATGACTAGATACCGCAGCCCCAGCTTGCCAAACATCTCCACGGCATACTCAACCGGTGCAGTAGACGGGATGGTCAAGGGGGTGCGATTGACAAAGTCCGAGATTGGCCCTCTGAAGAGGTCAGCCATATCATCATACCCAGTCCCGTCTTCATTGGCACCTTCCACGTGCTCCTTGAGCGTCAGAGCATATTGGAGTTCCGCCTCAGGTAAGTAACCATGGCAAATGCCTTGGTCATTAACCAACACCAACCCAGCATCCATCAGCCCCCTCGCCTTCAATTGTGCCAATTTACTATGCAGAACTTGCCTGCTTATGATCCCATCCGGCCCCATATGAACTGTAATCTCCTCCATCGTATTCGTTGGCGGTATCAAGTCCTCCGCCATTCCGCCTCCTGCTTCCCGTACCTTTGTCAATGAATGCTCAGCATCCAGATATGGGTGCCCCAGCAGGTGCTGGCTCAGATCATACACGCTCTCCCCGCTTATGGCATCGGCAACCCATTTGCTAGTAAGAATAGCCACCATGAAAGGTGGGATGAAATTCACTTCACCGGTGAGCTCGAACATGATGACCGCGAGACTGACTGTCATCCGAGAGACACCGGCAAGAAATGCTGCTGCGCCGACCATTGCGAAAATGCCTGGAGAGATGGAGTCAAAGAGGAAGGGGGCCTGGCCAACCATCCGCCCGAACAAGGCACCAGCATCCAGAGCAGGTATGATGATTCCCGAGGGGACTTTGCAGCCGAAGGTGATGATCATGAGTAGCAGCTTGACCAGCGCACCAGTTGCTAGCCACATATAATACCCAGATTTGTCCTGCAGCGCCTCCATCTCGCAAACATACGACATTTCCACGTCTTCCGGCTCATTGCAGTCGACCAACAACTCGGCCATGACTACATCGCCCGTCGACCTGATCAGTCTATTTGGATACTGTAAAACAGATGTCAACAACACAACCAGAAATATTTCAAATACTGGGTGATCTTTGATGACCGAATATTTCCGGAAGACCTTGGACCACCGAAAGTTTGCCTGACAGAAGACACCCCCGAAGATACCACCGCAGATCCCCAGGAGGATGAAGACGATATAGTGGACGGCGTCGTAGTTGACGCCGTAGTTCGTCTCGAAAAGAACGAGCTTCCCCGTCGCCGTTGGGTTGAGCTCCTTGAGGGTGGCGGCTGCGACGAGCGAGCAGAGGAACGCTTTCCACAGCACGGGACGGGGAAAGTACGTGCTGATTTCCTGCGCAGCAAAGGTAAACCACTTTGACCACAGCTCACATGGGACGAGGATGAAATTACGAGCCCAAGTGTGAGGACAACTTACCTCGTAACTGAAGAGCACACCGCCAATCGGTGCCCCAAATGCGACAGACAAACCCGAAGAACACGAGACACTGAGCATCTCTCTCATCTTCCTGCCATTTCCACGGTACTTAGGGAACCAGTTGGCGACCAGATATCCGACACAAGTAGATATGTGCACAAATGGCCCTTCCTTGCCCAAGTTCATGCCCGTACCGACAGCGAAAACGGCACCCATGGCCTTGACAACAAGCACTTTGAAATCGAGGAAGTGAGGAATGACGAAGCCTGACAGGATCGTCTTGATCTCTGGGATGCCGCTTCCAGCAGCCATGTACATGGACTTGCCAGTCGTAGTCTCGGTGAATTGGACCTCGGCAGGGGGCTCGCCTCCCCCGGTGCCACCATCAGAATCACCACTGTCTGCGGCTGGTAGGGTTGCCTTGGTGAGCATCGTGACACCACCAGCGATCAGCCCATAGAAAAGAGCAACGCAGACATATATCCCGTATGCTGTCCCCCGGGAGGCAGACCACGGCCTCCACGCGCCGTCACCACACCGCTCGCGATCCAGCCACCAGCCGGCGCCGCCGGCACATCTCCCTTCTTTCCAGTCTGCGACACTCGCTACACTGACGTCCACGAGGAACGCCACGCCGGCGGTCAATACGCCAATGATGAACGCAGCCACCCAACCTTGGGCCGCGTCCCACCACAGCACCAACCGGTTGCCCCTGAGGCCTGGTCGGTGGTGCAGCGCTCGGTGCCGGGCGCTGTCCTTGACGAGGTCGTGGAGCCAGTCTATGGTGGTGTAATCATTGTACGGGAGGCGCTCGCCGATAGACTTCGAGGAGAGATGCAGGCCCTGTTCGTCCTTGGAGATGGCGCTGGGGAGCTGGGATTCTACGTCGCCTTCCGTGCGTGCTGTCGAGGGGGCACCGAGCAGTGTCGAAGTCTCGGCGGGAGCGTGTCGGTTTTCACGATGATTGTTCATCGTGACGGACAGGAAGAGTTTCTTCGTGAAGTCATACGCAGAAGATATATGTACTCGGGCACATCGCTTGATGAGCTGTAAAGAGATCGCGGCCTACCGGATCGAAGAGCTTCCTTATCATCACCAGTTCACTCCACGCCAGACGCTCCCCTCAGAGCTTATCAGAACCAGTCGTACGCATTTTAGAAGTGACATCACCGGCAACCTTGGGATGCTGAAGCAGCAAGCCACAGAGATAAGGAAGGGGAGATAAGCCCGTTCATTCAGATGCGGTCGAGACGAGGTTGAAGGTCGGAGAGGGTACGGGCCGCCTGCAGTTGGAGCTGTGGTCAGTTGGAGTCGGACCCTGGACCCCCGGCCACAACCTCCACCGTACTGGGCTTGTTTCTTCTTGACTCTCATCCTCTCAGAGAGCTTTTTGATCTGCATTGCAGCACCGCCACGAGCGTATTTCGGGCATTTCAGGGGTTCAATGCGTCCTTGCTTGGAGACGTCCCTGCGAGAACAGGGAACTCATCCTCATCGGGGTTCGAGCTCTCCCATGCCCTCGGCCGTCTCTGCCTCTGACTGCTCCCGAGCGACGAAGGCGCTGATTTCGGGGCTCGGGGCCCACGGGTCTCACCAACCTCGACGTTCATGCGCGCGCGAGAGAGAGCTCGTATTCACCGCCTGCCCTGGCCTTGCGTGCATTTTCGCGCCGTCCAGGCCGTCTCCATCGATCCCCAAGCCAGCGGCAAGCCGGTGGTACTCGAGGTACTGCAGCGCCGAGTACTGCCATGTGCACGCCTGGACCAGCGGGTCCGGCGAAGCCCACCCCTGAATTATACTACATGCGAGGCTCTTGAAACTTTTGAGGCTCGGTAGGGTTGCACCGTTGGGACTGTTCCTTTTCCGGTTCGCCAAAGATGCCTCCCTCCCTGCAAAGCGGAGGACGACGTCCTTTTACGCCCTTCCCAAGCAGGCAATGCTCCCTCCTCATGGAATGCCGCCCCCATATTGAAGGGGCAGTGGCCCGACACTTTGACGAGTGTCGATCAGTTGTGGTGCCCTTTTGGGATGCCCATCCCGGGCCAAGATTGGTGGAGGCCGCTTTTAGTGGCCCTTGGCAACCTTGGAGGCCGCTTTTCGCGCCCGGCATGCCTGCATGCTCAAACCCCCTGACGGAATTCTGCCCGTGTGCTCGTTACCGCATGTAGATGCCAGGGGAAACATTGAATCGAAACAGAAAACAAAAAGGACGATCACCCTCGGGGGTTGGGATGCTTGTTTCTTTGCCATGACTTCATATTGTCTTAGGGTCCCTTATTAAGATTGTCTATCCACCTTTCGTTCATATAAAATATATCCAGCCAGACGCTTTGCCAATCATTTTCCCACACTGACCACTCGCTTCTTCACGATCTCCCAAGCCATATCCAAAATGCAGTTCTCGCTTGTCGCCGCCATCTCCCTCCTCGCGTCCGCCGAGGCTGCTCACCTGTGGAGCGGGCCCCGTGCGAAGCTCGTCAAGACCAAGCAGGCTGTTGCTTCCAACTACACATGGACCGTGTCTGGCTGGAGTGCCGGTTGTGCCCGGGCGGGCTGCTACTATGGTATGCGTCTAGCCCTCTCCATCTTCGTCTTGTTGTACATATATAAGTGACCACGGCTGACTTGATTCTTTAGACTTCAACATCAGTGCCCCGGCCTTTTCGGAGTCAGTGCCCGCATTCAACGCCTACTGCTCGGGCTCCGGCGAGGGCGCCCCCTACGACGACTGTCAGATCCTCGACGACAACAGAAACCCTCACCAGGTTGCCGCCCGCCTGCAGGCCGTCAACACGACCGGCACAGGGGCTCACTTGGCCGTGAGCTACGAGTTTGCCGACCCCACTGCTGAGTAAGTGCTACCTGTCTTGCGCGAGGTGAGGAATGAGACGTAGACTGACGATCCGAACTGTAGTGGGACATACTGGAACTACACGGGCTACGCTGTCTCGTCGTACAACCAATTTGTGGCGCCGCTGTTGACATTCAACGTGGAGCCCACTGAGATCTGGGGTGTCGCTTGAGGGGGCCCCTTGACACCTTGATGCCGAACTTTGTGGTGTTCAAGTGCTGAACACCATGATACTTAGTCTATAGCGGGACACCTACACAACACATCCCAGTAATATTCTAATATGAAATGACATATATGCTTGATGTAATTGAACAATATCTGTCTTGCTCCCTCCTCGGTCATGCTTTTGCTCATCCTTGCATCCCGCCACTTGTCTCATCTATTCCAATCTGACCCGAAGTGTCCTGGCCGTAAGTACAGTCACCTGGATAAACAATCCCGAGGGGTAAGCACATACAGAATCGTCATAGAAAAATGCTCGTTTAAGCCAACTGGGTCCTCGAGATAGAGAGCGCCAAAGCTGCAGGCTATACAGTCACTGGGACCTGGCGAACGGCAGTTCTCCCGAGGACTCGGCTTCCGATGATCGACCACGAGGGTATCGCCAGATTCGCCGTGGCGGCGTTCATGGGGTCAAAAAGATTCAAAGATGCCGAGATCGCAGTGTTCTCGCAGGTGAAGAACCCTGGGGAGTTGATGGAGATGCTGGGCAAGGCTACGGGGAGGACATTCGGCGTGGAGTTCATGAGTGCAGAGGAGATCAAGGAGGGCGGCGGCACAGTAAATCCGTTAATAATGGGTCAGTTGGCCATGCGGAACACTTGCATGGCTCGTTTTGCGGGCGAGTATGCACCAGGTACAAAATGGGGTTTCGAGATGACCGGATTCAATAAATTCCTAGAGAGGGAGTAGAATGCCTTGGATGAAACATGTGCTTGAACGTAGGTAGCATAAGAACCCCAGCGGGAAGCTTCTATGGATCGCAAATGCAAGAGTTGAAGGCTCTGCCGCATTGTCTATGGAGCGGGCCACGGCAAATCACTCAACCCTCTTAGGGCCTTTGGTCGCCAAAGCCCGGTTGTAAGGCAACGTACATATTACGGGGCCATCGTCGTAGTCTCTCTCCAGGCTGTTCTCGATCATCCGCACCAACCTCTTCGCGAGCGACCTGTTGCTCGTAACAACCGTCAGCCCGGAGGACCAGCCATACAGGTGAGTGGTTCGGTTCCCGGGCACGTTCAGCAGGTGTGTCTCAGCATTGATCGCTACCTTCGGAAGCCTGCCTGTTTGCACAAGATCCTGGGCGCGTAGATCAGTCTCCTCGGAGAGCACCTGCACCGGTAACTTGAGGTCTTCTGGCACGTGGTGGATGGAGAGCTTCTGAAAGTCTTTCGGCCCGCCAGAGTAAAGAAGCCGCGCTCTTTCCAATTCCGTGGGGCTTGCAATCGTGGCCGTTATCTCACGAAAATGCTCCATGGCTTCCTTTGTGCAGACCAGCCGCTTCCCTCGAAGTGGTGGGTAAGCCTGTGCCGTTAAGAAGTTGGTGCCATTTGCTTCATCTCGAATCTGAGCCTTACAGTCCTGGCTATGCCACGGCTGCACGTCCACAGTAGCGTGCGAGATATCCGATATCAGAGCAATCAAGACGCTTGTGTCTAGGATAACGGTTGATCCAAACCGACCCAAGTCCTCGATAGGTACAAGATTGGATAATGCGGTATCGATGTCCGGTAAGGTTTCACCAGAAGTCCACGGTGCGTCTGCGCAGTCGACGGTGACGGTTATGTCATCGCCCCCAGTACTGCGCAACTTTTTGATGACTCTGTCCATGTCTTTACTCTGGCCTTCTTGTATGCGGCTGAGTAGGATCCGTATCCTCGGACGGTGGTAGTCATGCCAATATTTGCGAGCGGTGTCTGCAAGTTCCTTTGCAGTGCGAAGAATGGGGATATCCTCGAACAGTTCAGAATCATCCTCCTCATCTGTGTCCCCTTCTTCGTGATCCCAATCCCACCCACCAGCAGCGAGCTCAAGGAGTATTCGTTTCTCGTCCTTGCTGATTATGCGGAGCCATTCGGCTCCCCCATCGACGACTGCATGAACATAGACCATACCCGTACTGTGGCTGGCCTGGCCGCCCCGGTTGCGATGGACAATCAGCCCACCGTTCTCCTTGACCTCTACCTTTGGGGTTTTTGGTATTGACTGCTCGATCGACACCAGATCGCGACAGCGCTTTAGGGTGTCCCAGTTGCGCTCGATAGCAGGCAGGTTGCTGAAGCGTAGACGAGACTCTGCAGGACGAGCCTCCACTGGGCCGCCAGCCGAGGCTGCCGAGCCGTTCGTTTGCTCGTCCAAGAATGATTTTGCGGCCTTTCTCTCCTGCCTGACGGCATCCATCAGAATTGTCAGACCAGGGATGCTCAGGTGCGGGCCTCGGATCTCATGATATTTCTGCCGCAACTGTGTCATTTGTTGCAACAGCTCGTCACTCCTCGTCACAATGTCATGTGCCAAATCTCGCGGGCTAACGCCATCGTAGTCTCTGTCCATTTTCAAATAATTATGAACAGAGTATTTTCCGTTGCAGGCGGGAGGGATGAGAAGTGGTAGGGAGTGAAGTTTGAATTGTGATGATTCAGAATTTCAAGACTTAATGCGCAAATGAGCCCACTCAGTGTGTGGGCCTGGTTATGACGAGAGGGTTAGGGTCGGTGCTTAGAGCTCTGAAGCACAGCCAAGACCCAATTCAATCCAAAAGCGAACATTTTGATTTCACCTAGATGAGCAGATTGGGATTGTTGTTTTGCACAATACATTCATGACAGTCTTCCTCAATCTGGTATTCCAAAGTTTCTTTTATAAATCAAGTAATTCACCAGAGTCTCGTTCAAATTGCGTCTAATTTCCTTCAGCAAGTACCGTTTGCGCAGCAAGCCGGACCATCGCAGTGGTTTTCGTCACAAACCTAAAATCCAAAACTCAGGTTAGTCCGTTGATTTGCCTGCTCGAAACACGAATGTCAACCAATAGCTTCGGCACACGTACGCATTCTCGACGCATGATGCGATCCTCCATCATGTTCTCAGGCACCGCCGCAGCGAGAGCAACGAGGCAAGCAATGACGACAGCGAAAGCACGCATTTTGAAGGTTTTCCGAAATAAAAAATGGTTCGGGAAGCGGCTCGATCAACGAGGTGGTATCAATTTCAAAGAAGATTTTGCAATTAAGAGCACAGCTGAAGAATGGGTGAAGCCGAGAAGTGAAGTGAATGGATGTTGGGTTCTGGTAGTTCACACAACACAACAGTGAAAGGCAGAAACATTCTTTTATAACTGATCGCCTTCCACAAGTCATCCTCACAGTTTCCACTCGGAGTGTTGACCGTCAACCTGCATGCACGTCCCCAACATCTACGTTCGATACCAGATCCCATGCTCCTCCCGGTCGCACCACTGTCGACCCTGTTGCCAAGTGTTTCCGTGAACCGTGGTCTCGGGCGCGCCACAGCAGGCCAGCAATCCCGGGAGTCAAATAGAGCCCGCTCAATATGCGTATTACGGCCCCTGCTCGGACCGTGCCAGAAACTGGAGACCCAGGTCGTGGAGTGGTCGCTAGTTCCACACTGCTGCAAGGGGGCGGCACAGCAGAGGCTCGAGACGACACACATGCCGTGGCACCGGGCTGAAGCACGGGCAAATCGATATCTGAAAGGATTTGAGGGTAAACATCGTCTGGGCGTCACTGTTTCGACCGGCTGGGATATGCGGGTTGACTGGGTCCCCGTTTCATCGATTAGGCGGGCTGCACTGGCACCGACGTCTTGTGAGGCCACCCCGCGAAGCTTGTGAAGGCCACATTAAGGTCTCAGAAAGTGGCAATGGGATTTCCGTGATCTAAATCTAGACATGCACGTAGTTACAGAGAAGTTCGCAACACGTGGGAAACAAGACGATATTGTCCAGAGGAATCTGGTCACGATATTAGCAAGCTGACTCCGAGCACATGGACGTAGAATTTTGTTGCAATGCAAATAATACAAATCATTTTTTGGAATCCATATTTAACTCCTTGAGCCCAAGACCGACACTACCGAAAGAATGAACCTGTGCTCACCTGCCCAAGTAGGAGGCAAACTTTCTACTAGTTGCCGCCGTTGGGCTGAGGTTGGGGCTGGGGCTGGGGCTGGGGCTGAGGCTGAGGGGACGGAGCCCCGCTTCGACGCCCACGCTCTTGTTCTTCTGACATAGTGTTCAGAAAGGCTGATGATTTGTGCTGTTCGTGTTTGTAATACTCTAGTGCTCTAGCCGTAAAGTGTGTGGTGCAGCAATGTGTGCTTAAGAAGATCTCAGAAGGCATGAGATGAGAGGATTTATATAGTGGAACAGATTTGGGTTGTCAGGGAATATTTCATCGTGGAAATGGCTGGTGACAAGAATTCAATCGTGAGAAGAGACAATAGCATTGTATGTTCTTCAAAGATTGCAGTCAAGTTCCGACTAAAGTACTTCATCCAGTCAGAGGGTTGGCCAAAGAGATTGTCTCCTTCTACGCCCTGTCACGGCCTGACAGAGCAGTCTCGCCTTGTCACAATGACCATTTTGTCATTTTCTTTTTAGAAAAATTCCATGTCCCCATTTCAAAAGACTGTCTGCAAAACAATGCATACTATAGGATTTCTCATGGCACAATCACCATTGGCAAGCCTGTCAAAGCTACAAAGAGTTCTTGTTGTCTTCTCTTTACCACTTTGATGTGCTACATGTAATTCGATATGATGGATCTAAAAATAAATTACACAAAAGGGTCGTGTTTAACGATCATTACATGACTTCAAATTCTGTATCATTGGCCAAAAATGTATGCGTGAGTATTATGGTCATCTTTAACTTTGCTCGTTGTCCTAAGTAGAGAACCACGGCTATCAGCCCAGAGCATTTTGCAGTGATGCTTGGTCAATCCTACAAGAAGCCAAGTCTTGAGACGTGTTCCATCGAGTTTCCAAGGAAGACGATGCGGATGATTCAGACTCAAAAACTGTATGTGGAATTTGCTAAAGCTGTCTATGAGCCAGTGCGTTTTCCAATGTGGCCTATCAAACTGCTCGAGGAAAAATATCCAGTGTGGCATCCAGTTGAGTCGAGGTCTACCCGAGCTTTCCATGTCCACAATTTTAAAGAGCTGTATGAACTTACAAACCCAATCACATAGGGAATCCAAAAAAAGAAGGTAGAGTGATAGGTAAAAGCAACAAGAGAGCGGTGGGGCGCGGCGTGTAAGGCTGGCCTGGCAAAGGCGGAGGACTTTGTGAATACACCTGGCATGGCTGCTAAAAAGCATTGTCACAGTTGGGAAATGTGAACTTGCAAAACTCATATCTGAATTTCCAGTGGCCTTCGCAGTGTGTATGAACTGGCACAGCACATGCAAGCCATCGCAGGTGGTTGTGCAGGGAAACTTGTATACCAAGGACGGAAAGCTTAGCAAGGTGTGTGACAAACTGAAAAATGTCGGCTCATCCACAGCACCAATTGAAACATACGAATGAAATAAAAGTATACCAGATATTGCGGTGTAAGTTGTACAGTTGTAGAGCATCTGAGGCCAAGGCTGTCATTGCAACCAAGCACTTCGAGCCTCGGCTCGGCCACGGGGCGAAATCGGCGGCGGGAAGCTACGTGTGGATAATATCCGCTAGTCAGTCTCACCAATTTGCAAAAGCACACCAAACCAAGCTCTCGACCGCTCGTCCACCGACGGACGTGACAGGACCAGGGACAGGGACGAACACGACTTCCCACTCCTTGAAGTCAGTCCTTCCTTGATGCCTTATCCCCACTCGTCGTCCTCCTCCCTTATAGCAAAGTGCGGGACTACCATCACCTGCGTGCTCCGCTCCGCGCCGCTCTGGGTCGTCGTGATCGTCGTGCTGCTCTTCGGCTTTACGCGGCGCCGTGTCAGCCAGCTTGTCAGCACATATAAATCGCCTCCTCCCCCGAAGGAATAGTAATCACAGAAACGCACACCTAAAATCCTGCGTCAAGACGGAAACACGCTGTCAAGATGGCATCCGCGAACGCGTTGGGCTTCCTCCTGCCGCTCGCGGCCGGCGCCGCCGGCGTCGCCGGCGTTTCTCTGCTGCACATCGACCTGAAGACGGTAGCGACCAACTTCGTCACCGGGCCCGGGCGCACGAGTCGCATCCTGCTGGCACTCTTCGTCGTCGCGAACTACAAGAACATGCCCTTCGTATGGACTGTGAGGCAGCCCCCCCCACCCTTTCCCCCTTCCAGACGACACACGCGCTGACAGCACTTGCCCCCCGTTGCGCAGTACCGAGTCTGGGCGGCCATCGTCAGGAACTACATCCCCTTCCTGCAGGCCCCCGCGAAGACGTCGCGGATGCTCTTCCACTACAGCATCACGTCCACGTACAACTCCCTCCTCGAGACCGACTACAACCTCCACAAGTCCAACGCGACCTACTTCACCGACCTCGACATCGCGCGCACCCAGTGCGTGACGTACCTCCTCCGCGACGGCCTCAAGGCCATCTCCGCCAACGCCAAGACAAAGGCCGCCGTGACCCCGGACGGCACCGTCGCGAGGGGCGGCATGGGCATCGGGCTGGGCGGCGTCTTCTGCTCCTTCAAGAAGGAGGTCGCGCCCTTCCAGGGCTACGAGACGTGGACGCGCATCCTCGCCTGGGACCGCAAGTGGCTCTACATCGTGACGTACTTCGTGGTCAAGGGCAAGGTGAGGCCGACGGCGTGGGACGGCGGCTCCAAGTCGTGGTTCGGCCCGCTGCGGACCAGGCGGGCCGCCGTGGCCGAGGGCGAGGCGCAGGACTTCCAGAAGTATGTTATTGCTACGGCGATTTCCAAGTACGTTTTTAAGGTGGGGCGCTTTACTGTTAACCCGAGCATCCTGATGGAGCACAGCGGCCTGCTGCCTGAGAGGCCCGGTGGCTGGAGGAGTGGCGCCGATGAGGTTGGCGACGAGACCCAGGACGTTGGTGTTATTGATCTCAGCGCGGATGCCGAGTGGGACTGGAAGAGGGTGGAGGGCCAGAGGCGCGAGGGCATGAAATTCGCCGAGAAATTCGCCGCGCTGGATGGCGTTACTGGGCTGTTCGATGGAGGGGAGGACGGCGCCTTGGGACGATTCTACCCTGGTTAAGCGAAACCTTGTATCCTTACAGACAGACTCCTGGCTTAGATCAAGGTTGTTTATAGATGGCGATCGGGTGGACAGAGAACAGACATGAGACAGCTATGTCACTTAGAGATGGACGGAATAATGGTTTTAGACGTTCAAGAGGAGGCTTTCGTATGATTTGAACGCCAGAAGTAGACGACTACTTTTTCTCCAAGAGCCCTGTCCAGTAGGGCCCAATTCCTTTGGTATATTGTCCGTGCAAAATCCCAAACCAATCGGTGCGCACCCATGGTCATCAACCTGAGTTTCCGTAATGTGTACCTGCCTCCAAAATAACGAAGGTCTTCCTGAAGTTTTGAATAGAAAATGGTCGCGTCCACAGACCAAACGTACGTACTCCCGCACGGTTCTAGGAATCTATTTACATGACCATGAGACCAGCAATGCCGGCGATAGCAGCCATACCGAGGCCGTAAAGCTCGGGACGAGAGCCAGCACTGGACCCGGCGGCGCCAGTAGAGGAAGCAGAGGCAGACGAGGAGGCGCTGGAACCAGTAGCCGAGGCAGTGCTCCCAGAGGCTGAGGCGGAAGTGCTGCTGTTGCCGCCCGTGACAGCGTCGCAGATCTGCTGAGACACGGTTTGGGTTTCTGAAGGTGGTATTAGTTGCTGTACGGGAGATCTTACTTGACTGGAATAAGACGTACTGGCAATATCATTGGTGTTGCACGAGCTCGTCAAGCAAGACGTGGCGTTGGCGACGATGACATCCTGCTTGCCGCACTGGCAGGCGTAGTCCATGGACTCGCAGTCAGCGGCGCTGGCTCCAGCGAGGAGACAGGTCAGACTGCAGGACGGCAGCTCGGTGACGAGGGAGGCGACGTCAGAAGACTGGGCGGCAACCAGGCCGAGAACGGTAGAGAGGACGATGGCCTTGAACTGCATTTTGAAGAATTGTGGGTCGTAGAGGTAGCTACAGCTGGGATAGGTCGAACGGTGCGGTGGTGTTTTGCGAATGAAGCTTATGCCAGAGCTCGAAGGCTGATTAGGTAGTTGTATCTGAAATGTTGGGTTTGATATAATGACAGTGAATTAGTGAGACGGGAGCAAGAGGCCTGCCTGGACAGAGGCACCCCTTGAAGTATTTATCGTTGAAGTCTGGACCTCGCCAACCTAGTCACAAAGCTAATATAAAAGTGGGCGATGTGAATGGATACTCCTGAACCAAACCCATGTCTCCCCTCGGGAGTACAAACAGGATTGCCTGTTCGCCGGGCACGTCCGTGACAACGGGAAACGCAGATTGGACTATGGGGTCTTGGCTACGGTACCAGCACGGACTGGATCATAGGCCTTGTCAAAGCGATCGAGCCGTTGCTGCAACGATGGTGATGGTTTTTCACGTCCTGGCAGCTAGCTGCCAGCTTTTACCAGTCCCGCGAACCGGAAGACGTTGGCACATCTCGATTAGCTCGCCGGGACAGCTCATAGCGCCCGATATGAGAACAATTCTGCCATCGGGCCGTTCCAAGGCTGACTGGCAAGTGTGCCTTTGTTCTCGGCCACAAGGCATCCTTGGCCGAGCTGGCTCGCGAGAGAAAATCCCCTTCGAGACACCGGTTCTGTGTCGCGTCAGGCTGGCAACTTCACTAGAAGGCGCGCAGGAAAGAAGGTTGTCGAAGAAAATTAACGTTGAAACAGCCAATCTGCCATCCCGCCCCCGGCCTGCCAATGGCGTCCAACCAATGTAACCTCCGGTCAGGGGTAAAAAGGCCCCATTGCCAGGGTTCCCAGCGAATGGGGTCACCCGAAAAAAAGTGACGGATGGCGGGTTCGTCCCGCCGACCCACCTCTAAATCGACCGGCAGTTCTGAGACGCTCGTGTCTTGCAGGGCTGAGCCCGGACAAGGCTGGGTGCTGAAACCTCGCCGGGTGGTTCCGTACCAAGAAGCTTGCTTCCAGCTCGCTGGTCCTGAGCAGACCAGTCTTCTTCGCACATAACTCGAGAGACCTGGTTGACTGGAGGTGCTGATGTTGTTTGCTTTGGTCAGATATCGATGCAACGGAAGAAATCTTCACACAATTAGACTGGGAGCGATCAGTAGACGGATTCTAGTCATGCTGGGCGGGGGGCATCGAACTTGGGGTCCCGGTTGTAGTGCTACATACACAACATGCGCATGATGTGAGCGGTGGGCAGCATGGGCAGAAGATGGACATGCGCAAAGGACGGCTCTTGTGATCTTGCGAGATTGGAGATGGGGAACAAGACTGGACCAGTCACCACGCGGTCCCATGGCCCGTGTCAGGAAGTCGTATTAGTGTATATATCTACTCGGACCGCATAAGCGGTCGTTACTGTGGTAGATCTTGTCCGCGAGGATCTCAGAAGAGGTCGTTGGTGCCGATTGTGGGAGTGCTGATCTTGTAACCTGGGGCCGTACCAGGCTGTTGGATTGGTCAGGTGCGGGCTCGTAGGCATAAAGCGACTCAGGTCGGCAATGGCCCCAGCTGGCTTGTGATCATCCTCATAAAGCTTGTCCAGTCCAGGGGAGATTCCAATAGTCTCGTTCCACGGATCAACCATGGGTTCCTGCTCACAACAGGCCGTCAACGGCAAGCTTCACTCATTGCTTGCCGACGACAAAAAAGGAAATGCCGCAACATCAGGCCCCTGAGTCGGCTCAGGGCAGCTTTGAACCCTTTCACTCACTCGCCCTTGCCTCTCATTGGCCTCTCAGTGGTGGAGGCGAAGGACTTTGGGGTCCATGTGGCTGCTCAGACATTGAAGGGAGAAAGGCGCTGGCGCTCTGGTTGGGAATAGAAGGCCATGCGCAGTGATGTGGGTTGATTGATGGAAAGAGCTGGACTGCAAGAATCCAGCTGGGCAAATTGCCTGCCCCGCTTCACTCACGCTTTCCAGGGTTGGACGCTGCTCCCGAGGGCGTCATCGCGGGGCACTCTGCTGTCCGGACAGCTCAACGGCTCGGCTTCGTTTTTCTTGGAATCTCTGCACTTCCCCGGAGCACCCGCCCGCGCATTTTTCTGATCGACAATAAATCGCCGCAACCTGTCGTCGATCCTAAACTATCGAATCCGCTCTTCCTTCATCCACTTCGAGACGACGACACTTCAGATCAACCACCGCGATCATGCCCGAACGTCAACCCATCTCCGTCCTCTTCGTCTGCCTCGGCAATATTTGCCGGTCTACAATGGCTGAGGGAATCTTCCAGAGCCTTGCGAACAAGCCTGCATACCAAGGACGCGTAAAGAAGATCGATAGCTGCGGCACAGGTGCATACCATGTTGGCGAGGGACCAGATGATCGAACTATGGCAACGCTGGAAGAGCACGGCATCACAGATTATGTACACAGGGCGCGCAAGGTGAGGAACAGATGATTAAAGCCCAAGCATGCTGGATTGTGGCACTGGCTAAGACTTGAGCAGTTCAACGTGAAAGATCTCGACAACTTTGACTACGTTTTCGCGATGGACCGAAACAACCTCAACGATCTCCAGAGAATGCACAAGAACAAGCCCGAGGCCAAGGCGAAGATCATGCTGTTTGGCGAGTACTCGGGCACCGGCAAGGCAGAAGTCGTTCAGGATCCGTGGTATGGGCCTCTGGATGGCTTCGAGACAACGTACAACCAGTGCTTGAGGTTCACCAAGAACTTTCTCAAAGACGTCTTCCCAGAGGTTACACCAGAGGAGTGATGGGCGGAGGAGACAACTGACGCATACTTGTTTTGACTGACTGCCATTGCATATTTGGAGCCGCGGCGTTTCTGGTTCTGCTTGCGGTGCATCGCGATGATAGATCATCCTATGTTTGATACCACGGAAGAGATGTTAGATCAATCCCAGAGCCGAGTCCAAGCTGCTCGATCCGCGTTGTCACAAAATAGAAAAGAATTTTTTTTTTTTTTTTAAAAAAAAGAGAAAATCGTAGACGCCCAGGTCACTTCTCGTCAGCAGCCAGGCAGTACTGAATTGACAGCGGGCTCTCACCAATCGGGCGATGTGAAGTGGTGAACAGAAGTTCCCGAGAGGTACTCCGTCCGCATCATCAGCCCTATAGCCCTTTAGTACCTTGCGTATAGCCCCCAATTGGCGTCATCTCAGTTTGGAGAAACGGGCTGGATTCCAGTGGGCCAAGGCGGTCATGCCCGGCGATAGAAGCCACTTGAGCGGCACGAGACATCAGACGAAGCAGCCCCGGCTGTCCGATGGGCTTTTGGGGCGCTAGTAGCATGCACGTTTGGTCCGATCTAGCGTCCATACATTATTATATTGTATGCATGCAGCATAAGCCTTAAGAGCAAAGTCTCCCTGCTCGTCCCTGCCGGCTGCTGCTGAGCCCCGTTTCCCCTGAACAGGATGGGTGAGAATGAGGCTGTGTAGCGCGTTGAGGATTCCCATTGTCAAGTGATACCAACTGGGCAATTCGTGCGCTCACCGAGAAGATGTTTTTCATCATCGTCACCTGTAGCTGCTGCGGTGAGAATTGTGGGTATCTTGAGCGAGGCTGAAGGGACCCTCGTGAGTGACGTCTGAATAGTGGGCTATTTCGCCAGTCAAACTTTGATGTGTATGCAGACCGCCAGGTGCTCGTTTGGTCGTGTCTTGCCATCCGAGACAAGGCTGGGTTGCGCATGACATTGGAACCGAAAAAGACAGCAAGCTGGCAATGCTGGAGGTTGTCGCGCGGTTACACGCTGCAGAAGGTCGAGGGAGTCGGCAAATCACATCGAGGCCGGCCAGAGACTTGGGACCAGCCTAGACCGGTCCTGGCGGTCCTTGTGCTTGCTGGTGGTGGTCAAGGTCGCAAGCTGGCAAGCTGGCAAGGACCAGAGTTCCAAGGTCAACCGTTCTCTTGAGGGTGGGGCACGGCTTACAGCGGAGGAGAGTGGGTGTGTGTGGTCACTGTGGTGCGGGCTCAGCCAACGGGCCAGGGTCTCTGGCAGTCCTGGCGGTCCTGGCAGGTCTTGGGTCCTGGTTCCCCTCCTTCGTCGCAAGTCCCGCACCGCAATAATTGTGGACTGGGCACAGCAAATGCGCGAATCTGATCGGCCGACAGACACTCCTGCACTGCACTGCACCGCACCGCACCCAGGAACAGGGCACAGGGCCAATCTGAAAAGGATAGACAGTTCTTCATTCATGTTATATTAGAAGGGGAACCTCTCTCAGCCGCTCCACCGACTCTCTCGTCCCGATCGTTGGAAGCTGCCATCACCCATCCCTTCCTCTGAGCATCCGAGCTGCCCAATGTAAGCTCCCCCTCCCCCTCGGCTGTGCCACACAGTCGACACCCTTCGAGGCAACGTCTCAACTTCTTCCGCGCACATGCACAGCTTTCTGACAAGGCTCTCCATTAATAGATATCTGGATACGCACGCAGCCTTGCCGTTCCTCGATCGAACAGAAGCTGCCCCCAACCGGCGCCCTTTGTCTACTACCTAGGTAGATTATCCTTTCACCAGTTTCCGACTTTGTTCTCGGCGCACCTCACGACCAGCGAGCTCATTCTCGCACCTTGCGCCCGACGAAGCCCATCGCTGAGTACGGAGACCACGCATACCAAGATACCTTCAACATAGTCGTCAAGATGGCCGATCTACAGGGACGAAAGGTCTTCAAGGTCTTCAACCAGGACTTCATCGTGGACGAGCGCTACACCGTTACCAAGGAGCTGGGCCAGGGAGCCTACGGCATCGTGTGGTGAGTGGCTGGTGTCCCATGCTGCTGGCGACATGTGTATTGGCAGGCCGTCGGCTAATGACTCCTCGTGTGTTCGAATAGCGCCGCTGTCAACAACCAGAGTAACGAGGGCGTCGCCATTAAGAAGGTCACCAATGTCTTCAGCAAGAAGATCCTGGCCAAGCGCGCCCTGCGTGAGATCAAGCTCCTACAACACTTCCGTGGCCATCGCAATGTAAGCTGCCGGCTCCCGTGTCACCACCTTGCATAGCCCGCGAGCACGCCAGGACCGCGCCGAAGAGCAATTCGACTGACGCCGCATACTGAGTAGATCACTTGCCTATATGACATGGACATTCCTCGCCCAGACAACTTCAATGAGACTTATCTGTACGAAGGTACGTCGACTGCCTTGGGAACTGATCTTCTCGATTGCAAGCCCTACAGAATGCTGACAATGATGATTTCGTCTGCGCAGAGCTGATGGAATGCGATCTTGCTGCAATCATCCGCTCAGGCCAGCCCCTCACCGACGCTCACTTCCAATCCTTCATCTACCAGATCCTATGCGGCCTGAAATACATCCACTCAGCGAACGTGCTTCATCGTGACCTGAAGCCCGGAAACCTGTTGGTCAACGCGGATTGCGAGCTGAAGATTTGCGACTTCGGTCTGGCGCGTGGTTTCTCGATCGATCCCGAGGAGAACGCCGGATACATGACAGAATACGTCGCCACGAGATGGTACCGCGCCCCTGAGATCATGCTGAGCTTCCAGAGCTATACCAAAGCTAGTACGTCAGGCCCGTTTCTCGATGGCTTGAAGCCGTGTTGCTGACTGCTTTCGCTTTTCAGTCGATGTTTGGTCCGTGGGCTGCATCCTAGCCGAGCTTCTCGGAGGCCGACCATTCTTCAAGGGCAGGGACTACGTCGACCAGCTCAATCAGATTCTCCACATCCTCGGAACGCCCAACGAGGAGACGCTGTCCCGCATCGGCTCGCCCCGCGCCCAGGAGTACGTCCGCAACCTGCCCTTCATGCCCAAGAAGCCCTTCGCCTCGCTCTTCCCCAACGCCAACCCGGACGCCCTCGACCTGCTGGACCGTATGCTGGCCTTCGACCCGTCCTCGCGCATCAGCGTCGAGCAGGCGCTCGAGCACCCGTACTTGCAGATCTGGCACGACGCGTCTGACGAGCCGGACTGCCCTACGACCTTCGACTTCGACTTCGAGGTGGTCGAGGACGTGGGAGAGATGCGCAAGATGATCTTGGAGGAGGTCTACCGGTTCAGACAGGTTGTCCGGACGGTTCCAGGCTCCGGCGGAGGCCAGCACGCTGGGCAGCAGGGCGGCGCGAGCCAGGTCCCCATGCCGAGCGGTGGCGCCACGGGCCAGTGGAGGACGGAGGACCCGAGGCCTGAGGAATACTTGGGACAGCATCCCGGTGGTCTCGAGGCGGACCTTGCCATGGGTGCCGATGGCAGGAGGTAGAGTCACTGCTCCATGGACCCGGAGCAGGCCGATTTGTGGACTAGGTCATGCCGATACCTGTTATCGGAGGGTGACAGAGATGTCGAGGCTCATAAAAGAAAAGAGCACAGCGAGGTGATGGACTGCGTGGTCGAGGACCTCAGCCCAGCGCAGCAGGACGAGTACTGGCTGCGGGTGCAGAAGAGGCTGGAGACGGTTAGGCGGGTGCTGGAGAAGCAGCCAGGCGTCAGGTCGCCCAAACCTGCCGTCTCCATCCTAGGTGCTGAGGAAGGAGGCAGCAGGTGCCTCTACGAAAAGTGCAAGGGGATATATATAGAGTAGGGCAGGTGGTGCAGTGTGGTGTGGCCTGGTAAGTGAGCAGGCTGAGGGAGGAGGCGGGCAGGTCGACGTCTCTCCATCTCTCCTGGATAACAATTTTTCTCATAGCATAGTATCATCGAAATCATTTCTTGGATGGCTTGGCATCTCTGGCGCCGGCTGGGAGAATGGGCATTGTGATTCCGACCATGTGTCAATCAGCTGTGCTCGAGTGTGAAGCGAAGGTAAAACTAGTGGGAGATTCGAGTTTGATAGCTCGAGCTCTTGTATGAAATCGTTAATGCCAAAAAGTCTAGGGGGAGGGAAGAGGGGCGCTCAAAGCCCACGGCAATAAGGCCCTTTTCCTTGTCATTATTAGCCTGTCTGATCGACGAAACGGACCCGCCTGCCGCCCAGGGACGCGGCGCCCAAGATCGTGAAACGATCTGTCGTTTTTCTCCGGAGCACTTCCGTTCAAGGGACTCACTCAAACAATGTTGTCATTCAAAAATCGGGTTTCTGCTCGTCGATCATAAACTTGTCTCATTACACTTGAGTATATATTATATGGTAGGTAGCATCGCAAGAACACTTCTAACCCCATGTTCTGGCGTCATGGAGGACCTTGCGGTTCCCGCTGAGCCCAGTATTCCCCCCGATCTCAGCCACCTCGTATCTTGTTCCTTTGCCCCTGTGGGCTTTTCAATAATACCTTTGCTCGTCGATCCATCCTCTATCGACGTGAAGGGGGTATATGCGATCAAAGAAAAAGCAGAATATGTACGGAAAACACAACAGCCGAACCCATCCAGCGCCGGAATCAATCGTTAGATCTTCTTTTTCAGGCGCCATAGAACCAGTACTGAGCGGTGTATGGTACGCTGAAGGCCTCGCCTGCGTTGCTCGCACCGCTCACCGAGCATGCCTCGGCCACGCCACCCGCCGTGACCACACGGTACACACCGGCCACGTTCTTGCTCAGGCCGCGCCCGTTGTCTCCTAGTTGAAGCCAGTCCACGGCACCGGTGTTCAGAACACCCTTGTCCGCGTCCGTGGGAGCCTTGACAACTCCGGTCTTCGCGCCGCTGAAGAACAGACCGGCCGGTTCCGCACCACCGGCGAGGTCAAAGGTGGGGCTGGACTTGGCATCGAAGTAGTGAACGCCCAGGTATTTGGCATTGATCCCCTGGCCATCTAGGGCAAGGTCAGGGATGGGATTAGGGAACGGGTTGCTCGCGTCAGCTTGGTACGCTGTCTCGGCCAAGGGGTTTGTGGTGCTGGCGCTGTTTGTGGGAATGCCGGCGGCTGGGTTGATCAGGTTGAGGGGGATGGCTTGCTCCCAGAGCACGGTAGAGGAGAGCTTGTTGAAGACATCGGCGGTCAAACCGGTGTTGGGCGTGCCAGGGTAGAGCGGCGTTACGTCGTAGAGGACGGCCAGGGCGCCAGTGGCCACTGGTGTTGCGTTCGCAGTTGCACAGGTGTAGTTCTGAATGCCATGGCCAACAGCAAGATATCTCAGCGTGAGATTTGCGTCAGGAACAGGGAGGTCAGTTGCTGCTTTGTGTTAGTGCGTGGAAGCCGTTGATAAGGGATTTGCTGGCCACTTACACCCTGTGCTTGGTAGTGTGATGGCAACTGCTGGGTCCCGCTTGCACCGCTTCTGGTATGGAGCAGCGACAACTGCTGTTGCGATCGACGCAACGACAATTATGCTCTTGGAAAACAGCATAGTGACTGACTGGCTTTCAAAGGGGTGGCAAAATGGTTTGAGACGGTGGGAGTGGGTCCAGTTTATATTCCAGAGGACGGCGCTTAAAGATGGGAGGTAGTGAGACTGGGCAGGCTTCCTGAGCGCTTAGAGATATGATACCGTATGGGTACGAGGCTGAGTAAACACTGTGGTACTGAAAAGATGGGACGGAGTCTCGCGAGGACTGCAGAGTTTGATTGTGCACGTTGGGATGGACTGTGATTTCCGAACGAGGAGGGAGAGGGGGATGAGAAGAGGTTTATATCAAGGGCTGTGCCGTCGGTGGAAGAAGCGATGGCGTAACTCAAAAGGCACCCGATGTGATGCAGAGCACGACGAGGTAGCAAGATAGGAGCGAATATGCTCACGGACCCTGATCAAGGAGATACGACCGTTGTGACGATGCAAGGTTGGACTCTGACACACAAGCCAGGGCTCCGTATGCATTCTGTAGTCTCGGGGGTGACTAGGTGCGCAAGGACGAAGAAGGCTTCTCTAGCAGATGTGCTCCGACACCAGGATCGGGACCCGGCACCCAACCTCTCCCAGAATGGGCTGTGGCGCACGCAGGGAAAAAGAACACAGTCACTAGACCCATGTCGACCGGGGAGGAAGTGCTGTACTGTGTGTGCTGCAGGCGAAAAGAAAAAACGACCCCTGGCCCCCGAGTTCGAGATGAACATGGCTGCATGGGCAACAAGGTTGATACCCTTCGGCATGCAGGAGGGTTACATCCACCACGCAGAGGGAGCAGATGTGCAGATGTGGAACAGGGGTACATCGCTATGGATGGTCGCCGCTCGGAGGCACGAGTCAATTTAAAAAAGGGATTCTAGCTCGTGGAAGGATGAGATGCGAAAAGGACGGCATGAAGACACGGGCGAGTGTTCCCAACCAACTTTGGGTTGGGTTGGACTTAGACTTGGTCGGCAGAGTAGCGCAACAACCGCGCCGTGGGCGACCAAGCGGCGGTTGTAAGACGGCAAGCCCCAGCTTTCCGAGTCTGCAAGTGGCCGGAACCCCATGGTCCAAGAAGGACAAGAAAGAAGGCTGTGCCCGGATCATGGCCAGGGTGTGAAGGACATGCAGCGGCATCAGGGATGACTCCTGCTGTGTCGGCTATTCTGCGCGGGTCGAAGAGGGGGGTCAGGTGGCCGCCTATTCGCTGCAGTAGGCGATGCCTCCGCCCGACAGTCGCAATATTGGAGGCCAGTGCTTCTCGAAGCGGCCTGGCGGATGGACCGCGGCCAGAATATCTGGCCGCCTTGTTGCGCTACTAATGGCCTGCGTTGCGCGGTGTGCGGTACGCCTCGTGGTTGCTGCCGTTGCCGATGCCAAGTTTAGAAGTATTGACTGCAAGCAGCGTCACCTTGCCTTCGGAAGACTGGACTGCCGAAGGAGAAGTGCTCACTCAGCCCGGGCCTTGTCAGTTTTAGACCCTCCCGCGAGCTGTTGGCGAGCTGTGAACAACCCGAGCTGGCAGGTGTCTCTCCTTGGACCGCCGTAGTGGGGTTCTCGGAGCCGTCCCCGTCTAGGAGCAAGCGCGGTCCAGGCTGGCGGGGCGACGCTAGCTGACAGGAGGACCCTGGCCGGCCTGATGTCTCCATGATGTGCCTGATGCACCAGAAACGACCGAGAAACCTTGAGTTTGTGCACTGATGATAAAGCATTACTCGGGGGTCCCTGTGGAAGTGTACCTCATTTCTCGGCTGCGCACACCATCTACTTGCCGCGAGCTGGTCAGGTTCGACTCAGCGCCTCAGTTTCAGGTACAATCCGGGGCCAGCAAAAGATAGTGATGGATGATTCAATGTCTCCGAGGAGCAGGCCCGGCTCATGGCATGCTGCCGACGGTAGCATAATTTTGTGCTCCTGTACACCAGGAGCGAGACCAGAGAGGGGGAGGAAGCCATCCGGTTCGTCTGTATCCAGAAGCTCCTGTAAAACGACGGGCTGCAGGTTACAGGCAGTGGGAGGCTGGGAGAGACACGAGCGATGGCGAAAGACTGGATGTCGGCTATCGCTGACTTGCAGCAGACACCTTGCCCAGAGACGGCAAAGGGAGATGATCATATGCCTGGGTGGGCGACTGCATCGTCGTTGGAGCTGGGCCGGCAGATAATGGGTGCCAATGAGAGACTCGAGATTCGAGATTCCAGATGGGAGACGGGCAGATCAGATGGAGGAAGGCATTTGGAGTGCAGTCAAGCTTCCAAGCTTTGCAAAGCCGGCCGACGGCAGGGTGCAGGCAAAGCGCAGGCAAAGCGCAGGCAAAGCGCAGGCAAAGGTGCAGTTGCAGTCGCACTTGCAGCCCAGTGCCAACCTGGAATCTTGGAAATGAACCTTGAAAGAAGCAGCTGCGCGGCTAATCCCATCCCGCCCATTTGCTGAAGCGGCTGAAGAAGTGGGGCACACGGGTCGCAGCCTCCAGGGTTGCGTGTAGGCCTTGCTGGATGGGGAAAGTCGACAAGCGTTGGGCAACCGTGCCGGCGTGCCTGCCTGGCTGGGGACAAATTTAGAATGGGAGCACAACAGAATGCACTGCTACTGTGGTACAATGACCATTCCCTTTTGCCGAAATGTGGCTGGCAGAGTCGACCTCTCAGGCCTCTCTGCCTTCATTGCTCATCAGTTCTCGCCATCCTCGCCTCTTGTCCATCTGGTCTCTAATCTTGGGCGGCCTCACCGTGTAAAGTACAATACAGTGTTCGCCCTTGTTGTACCCGCGGGTGCACGCACCGGTCCCCTCCTCGCGTGGTTACTTCCGTGCTCTAACCCACTCCGCCTGCCTCCTCGGAATTATCGTCCCAAGTCATCCATCATGGGTACGTTCAGATCCCTGATGGCGGCCTGGGGTTCCCGAGCGAGGGCCAGCATCTCGGGAGCCTCGCCAGGCGGAGCACAGAGGACAGAGCAGGAGGTACTGCACGTACCACACACAGTAGCCGTGCCTGTCTGGCAACCAACGCCTGACCCTTGTCGTGCCCGTCCAGCACTGACTTCGTCTGAAGTCCTGCTCGTGTGTTTCGCATTTCCTTTTGGGAAGAAAACTTGCAGCCCTCTACGCATACACTCGCAGACACTTGACTTGCTGCATCACACCTGGTCCTGCGCCATGTCTAGGAGTTCACTCTCCGGCGTGGGCAGTCCGTGACTGTGGTGGCAGACTCAGGGGCCCCGCGCGCGCGGGGGGCCACGGGGGCCCACAGAACACCGTACGGGATTAACGGTGGATGGACAGCTCGCCCAAGGTCACATTCAGGGCCATTTTCGGGAATGGCCTCAGATCAAGGTTAAACTTCAATACCGGACTGCCCACCCACTCTGCTTTACCCCCCTGTTTGAGATCAGAAACATGCCCGAGCCTTCGCTCTCACCCTCTACTCAGGTAGGCCCTCTCACCTGTCCGTCATTGCCATCGTCTCGACAATGAGCATCGCCATCCTGTCTGCTTGTAACCCGCAAGTTTGGCTCGCCGTCACCCCAGCACAGGGTTCCCCGCCGCGGTGGCTGGGCGAAGCGTAGCGGAGCGGTCCAGAGCAGTCCCACACCGGAAAACAGGCTCCACACCCACTCGGCCGGGGCAGCTCCGTGTCTGTTTGTATGCCGGGCCAACACTGCAGTGGATTGCATCCCCTTCCACTTTCTTGCCGATATACATGTACGTCCAAGTCGATATATTGATTACTTACATGGCATCCTGCTTGAGCACGGCATCTTCCCGAGGAGACTGCTCAGCCAATCGAGCCAGACTTGGCCGGGCCAGACTACTCTCAGCAAGCAAATGAGGACACGGACTTCACCTGTCAAGCTTGTCTTGATTCTTTTCGTCGCCTTTGACGCTGCTTCGATCAACTCGAAATGTACATTACAACACGAAATCCGTTGGCAACTCCTCTCATTGCTATCGCGTGATGAAAGGGTCGCATGCAGATCTTGAAGCAGTCGCTGTCAGCAACGGCCCACACTCGAGGCTCCTGATCTGACTGTCTCTCCCGCCTGCAGTTCCTCAACCAAGATCCCGAGGTGTGAGGCTCGGCTCAGCTCAGCAAGCAGGGTCTAGCAGGGGCTCGTCTACCAACGGCCAGCATCTCCAACGCTCTGGAAACTCGGGGCAGCCTTCTGCAGTGTGGTTGCATGCTGTGCCTCCCTCCTGCTGACCTGGCTCGACACATACTGATTCAAACGATGCAAGCCGTCCTGAGTCAAGGGGCTGTCAGGCCCCTCTACCATTGTCCTGGGACCTTCAATCCATCTACCTGAAATTTCTCGTATTGATATCAACTTGTCACGCCCTCCAAGGATTTCGCGAATCCAGCGTTGCTCCTCCCCTGTGTGTGTTTCGTTTCAAAGTCTGTGCAGAGGTGACGATCCAAAACACCGGTGGCGCACGGGCGCCCAAGCCCCCTCTTGGTCCCAAGAGCAACTGAGCACCAGAGCACCTGGCAATGACACCGTCAAAAGCCGCAATAGTGAGGCTAGTTATCTGTCACGACAGAATCACCTTCCCGAAAGAGCTTGCCAAAAACCAGGTGGCGGGGACCGAGTGGCCGGATGAGACCCCTGTCGTCAACGCACGTTCGCGACTCGTCAAAAGACGCCATGTTGGCCCTCCCGGTTCAGGGCCGACGTTTCATCAAGGAGGATTGCGCTCTTAGCTCAACTCCATCTTGCCCGATCTGCAAAGATGTTTGTGTGTTTCGGTCAATGTCTGCTTGTTGGGGAAACCGTCTGCGGCCATTGTGTACCGTCGACCGTTGTGGTCGACCATCAACGGCCCTCAACTGTTGTGCCTGGGGAGAACGTGCTGGCCCCTGAGAGTGATAACCGTCTCACTGCTCTTGGCTGGTCTTTCTTGATGGAAAGGCGGTCCGTGACCGAGAACCTGTTGGCAGGCCACGCATGGATCCTCTAGCGCTGCTGTGGGACACCTTCACAGCATCTCAGAGTTGAGATAGAGAACCGGTAATTCGACATCGCGCGACCTTCCTGTGTGAGTACAACCCGTACACCGATAGGCAAGGCATCCATCGGCCTAAGCTGCTGCCCACCAGCGCCGCTTGTGTTGGCGACAGCTCAGACGCGGTCCAGCCAGCCCGCGCTTGACAACAACCCAAGTCCTTCGCCTGCGGCGTCAACCGCGGCAGCTGACTTTGAGCGCGCCTGGTGACAGCTCTCCAACGGAATATCCATCCTATGCCCAGGATGGCAATCCTCGATCCAACAGTGTTTTTGTTCGCCCAGGTGACCACGTAGAGTTTGGCCGAGGTGATATGGCGCAAGTCCCGGCCTGATCCTTCGCGCGGAGGGTTATGCACGTTGGTGCTCAAGAACGCGCGGTCTATTATATCCTCTATATAGGTAGTGCGATGCGACGCCACGCCGCACCGAGCACCTGTTCTCCGAGAGCCTGGCCGTAATAATGTCGAGCGAAGGAATCCCGTCTGTAATCCCATGATGAGAAAAATATTGGTCTGGAAATGAGCGACCGTGAGGATTAGGGTGCGAGATGACGGGGCTAGTTGCAGATGTGACTTCAGGAGCGTGATCGAACCTTCACCGCTGCGTGTCGTCTAGGAAAGAAGGGTCCGTTGGTACTCTAAATATTCGATAAGATGAGCTATGCTATGAATGCATCTATTTATACATTTCGATCCCTCTGCGCCAACATCACATCTCCGGAATGTACATCAAACTTTGTCGTCGTACGACATTTGACTGTCTTGTAGGGTCTTCGAGTCCGTTGTATTGCTGGTACTCGGCAGGTTCCTGTAGAGAGAAGCCTCTTTATTATCACCTCGGACATCATGTGGCGGGATGTGTGCTCCGCCGCGAAGGTTGAATGCATGCGTGCTTACCTCCACTTCTCATCAGCGCCAGTGTTCACAGAATTGACAGCCGTAGTAACCGTGATGGGGCCCAGCGAGTCGAAGCTGGCCATGGTGTCGAGGCGGTGCGGCAGTGTCCTGTTGTTGTTCTTGCCCTGTAGCTTGCGCTGGATCGGCGCGAGGATGCGCGTGCCGATCACCGTCTTGTCCGCCCTCTTCTTCCAGGCCAGGAAACGGTCCGAGAGCTTGCTGAAGCCGGCGTGCAGGAACTTGCTCACGGCGGGCAGCGTGATAACGACGTTGCTGGCGGTCAGCTCGGCGCAGGACCAGATGAAGGTCGGGGCGAGGGTGCGGGTTATGTCGCGGTGGTCGCTGAGCTTGGTAAGCGTCGGGGCCCGGACGGAGGCCACGCTGATGACGCTGGTGAGGGGAGGATTTGTTTAGTCTCTACGGTGGTGATGGGAATGACAGATCGATGACTTACATGAGTCCGATGCTGAACAGCAGGAGAATCCCGACCTTCTTCGATCTGCCCATCTGGAGGGAGCTGACCACGGGGATCGGGATTGCGAAGATCATCAGCTCGGCGGCGATGTTGAAAGCCGTCCCTGAGATAGCGATATTGGTGATGCTCAAACACTGTTTCTCCTTGATTTCCAGATCGTAGACCGCTTGGACCGGTCGGCATTGGAAAATCGTCAAGAAGGTCACGACCACTTGTGATATCACGAGGAAGGCGATGCCACCATAAGCCAGGCTCTTTGTGAGCCTATCCGGGAAGATCCGTATGTAGAGGAACAGCATGCAAAGCTTGATGAGGGTGCTGTGGACGTGGTAGACGACTTCCGTGAGATAGTCTATTGGCGGTCGTGTTAATGTGAGGGTTGAGGTGTGTGTTCCCTGGGCTACTCACAATACTTAAAGACGTCTATGTAGGAGTGCTTGAAGTCGATGTCGTAGATGTGCTTCCCCAGTCCCTCGATGCTAACTTCGGCAGTGTCAGTGCTAAGCATCGGACATAGCAAATCAGGTTGTCATCCTACCCATGATTGCAATTGCAAGCAAAGGGATCATCACAATCTATCAAGAGCATATTCTAGTGAGTGAGTGAAACTCAACATTTCAGTTTGGTTCGACTTACAGCTCCCAGGATCTGGAACAGGTCGTCGAGCCACAGTTTGTTGCCAGTATAGTGACGGGCGACGAGCCTCAAGGCAACCATGGCGAAACAGACGGTTCCGGTCATAATTGAAACACCCCATACCGTCGGATTCACGGAATCATGAGGGAGTTCGCATAATTTCGCCTGCAATCGAGCCAGAACTTTTACTCTATAATCAGCGCTGCTTCGTGGAAAGAAACATCTGCGTTCTGGGGCAGGAAGCTTTTACCAACGGAGTCCTCCATGGTACAATTTGCCAAAACGCAGTCTGCCGCCGTCTTCGTGACAGCTTCGCTGTGGCATTGGCAATCAATGTCTGTGAGTGAACATGGCCCGGCAGGACCACTTTGTATCACACAACTCAACTGGAGGCTGTCAACCACCTGTGCACATGTTTTCAGGGCGATTGCAGAGGAGTGAACTAACCGAGCACTTAGGAAGGCCATAAACCATTTGCAGGGCCTCGGGCAGAGGAATATCCAACGCGTGCACCGCCGTCACGGTAGCTAGCGCGCAACCCAGGAGAGTCGGGAACTTCATTTTGTGTAATTCACAGCAGTTCTGATCTTTACCACTGGTTGCAAGCTGATAGCACACAGAATGCGGAAACTTTCTGTCGAATGATTTTTTCGGTGAGGGACAGAGTCGTCCGTTAATAAGTACTCATGCTCGTGTTGCCCTGGAAGCCTCCGGGCTGGGCGGTGGTCAAAGCCTCTCCCGGGGGAAGCGCGTGATGGTGCCTCGTCTGTGCAGTCTTCGGATCGTTCGCGAAGCCACCCAGACATAGGCGTTTCCTGTGTAGTCTCTGCACACACTTGTGAGCTTGGCGGCTTGCCGTGGTCTTGAAGATTCGTAGCGTGGCTGGCTGCCGGCGGCCAGATCTTTGATCGCGAATGTCCGCATTGACCTGAGGCACACGGAGTCTATCCCGCTCCAGAATTGTCCCAATCCCACAAGTGCCAACGATCTTTACGGAAGCTGGGAGCCTCGTGGAGCAAGCGTGCTGCTAAAGTCAGCTGAAGACGAACTTGGCGAAGGGGGAGTGTTAGCAGGTCGCTTTTCCGCCAACGTTGAACTACGGGAAACTTATTACGGCGCAAGGGACGCGCACAGTCTCGAAGCAGAACTCCACATGTGCACAAGCCGAATCTACCGGCAGCCGGGAAGGTTGAAAGATGGTCGGAACGCAGGCCAGCTAACTTGGCCTTTCGGTCTTGGCCTGATCTACCGGTATCCGGGCCAAAGACCTCCGCATGGAGCGGAAACGAAGACCGCGAGGAAGCTGAATCATCACGTAGAATAGGAAGTTGAATAAAACATGAAAACTCAAGATTGTGTGGTCCCTGAAGAGCTGCGTGTTCTATGATGCTAGAATTAAGATGTGAGTTATTCTGCGTCGACGAGGTCGAGTTGATATCTCGTGATTGGTGGGCGGCCTACATTCCTAAGCGCTGCTCTAGCTGCTCGCCTCGAATGTTCTTAGTAGTACTTCGAAGTTCTGACCGTATGTTTGTATGTGCACGGGCACCTAGATCTCCATTATCTGCCGTCCAAATCGTGTCGGCTCGCTAGTCCCCACGGTCACAACCAGTCGTCGTCGTCGTGCATGCCGTAGCCCCGGAACGGCACAAGCGCACCAGTCTTCTTCCACCACCAGTGGCTGCCGCAGGACCGACAGTTCATGTGCGGGCACCCGCCGTTCTTCTCGATCGCCTCGCTGCACTTCGGGCACCGCCGGATGTCTGCCGTCTCGAACAGCCTAACCATGTCAGGGTCCGACACGCAGTCCCCAGAGTGCTTGGGCGTCCGGCACTTTGCGCAGCTCCACAGCCCGCAGGAGCGGCAGAGGACGCCGCCGCCGCCTCGCTTTGACGCCGCCAGCCGGAGGGCTCTCTCGTCGAACCCGCCTACCAGCTTCCCGCAGTTCTTGAAGTAGCCGCAGAAGAAGGGATGGGCTGTGTCCCGCGCAATAAGCATTTGGGTGTAGCGCTTCAGGTCGTCTGGGTTGGGTTCGATGCGGGATGCGATCAGCTCCACGGGGACTCGTTCAAGGCAGCAAGTGTAAGGTTCGAGTGCGCTTAACGCAACGTTCCAGCCAGCTGTTTTGAATCGATCAGCCTCGAGACTCCAGAGTGGGCAGATTGGGGGGGGGGGCATACTGGTAAAGCAGGTCATGCAGTAATGACAACCGCAGGGAAGTGGGGCCATTCGAAAGGCGAGATCATCGTCCATGCAGACGGTGCAGGCCGCCTCAGCAGAAATGTTGCTGACATCCAAGTCATCCCAAAGCGTCCACTGCAGCTCGTCCACAAGACCAGGCGCTACACCATGTGATGTTCTTGCATCGGTCGCATCCAGCATGCCGATGTCGTCCAGAAGACTGCTTCGATCTGCCACGTATTCCAAAACCTCGTACATGCAGACATTTCCCGGCTCAAAAAGCTCATGGATGGCCACAAAAGTCAGTATGCAGATGTTGCGTTTGCGTGGGTGAAGTTGGCTCCACTTGCTGGCCTCCTTGAACTCGGGTCGCTCGTGAGGGTATGTCGAGGGCAGCACGATATTTAACGAGACGTCATCCTCTAATGCATCTTGCACGGGTGGCCTCAGCCTTGTTCGGATCTTGGAACTGCCGCTTTCGTTGTATGTCGTTTCAATTTCCCAGGTGCCGTCACCGTAGATGGAGTTGATGGCGATGATCTCTTCCTGTATTTCATCGGATATATCGACAACCTCGAAGTCAGTTGTAAACTGCGGTACGCCGATGACTTTCAACTGTCCTTGTTCAGCCATTGTGTCTTTGGTGTTTGCTTTCGTGAGGCAGAAAATGGCAACTTCAGGTATGTGCTGAGTCGAGGCCAAAAGGCAAGCTGGACGACGTTGAGGTGGGTGAGCTTATGTAAACCAGTGTTACAGGGAGCAATGGGGCAAGATCAGTAAAAGTGTTCTGCTTCAACGCCTAGGTGATAGATAATTCAATGCCTCAGTTAGCGCTAGGCAGCAACTTTGGATGTGAATGGACACACCCAAAACAAGGGCAAGAAACGGCTCAGGTGAATGCAATTTGGCAAAGAGCCCATCATCTATGGCAGAAACATAACTCGCGAGCCATACTTAAATCAAGTCTGAGTTAAAGAAAAACATGCTGGCGATGTTGATGCCTGGAGAAACAGGGGCCTTGACACAATCGGACAGTCAAGAAGCATCAGTCGCTGTCAGCGCATGTTCATTTGGTCGTGATTTCTAGGCCAATCAGTTCATCGAGTATGTTTGCAATGCCACAAACAAGAGTGGGTCAATTCCTGACGACCGATCAAAATTCGAAGTTCATATCCTACCTGGGGTCTGAGGCCGCTGCGCCGTATGCATGTAGAAATTGGCCTCAAAAATATGCCGAATGACTCACTTGGCGTGGAAGTGATTACAGACCTGTTGTACCTCGATGAAACTGTAAAGAAAATACACAAGCCTGTATGAGCCGAGTGTTGACTTCAGGATAAAAAGGCTACAGATGGAATTATCAATGAGTACGTTTCCTCTGTGGCTCCTTTCCTTTGGTTTGGAACCTGAGATTCCGTTTCACAAATGTGTTGCTAAGAAGAGGAAAAGTCCACACCAACCCTGGACACTTTCTCAACAAAGTCGATTTCTTATTCGGTACAGACTTTAGGGCATTGATTCATTATCTTCCCATAAAAATCATCTACTAGTTCTCATTTTGGACAGACGGTCATGAAAACATAGGCGAGGAAACAAAGTTGCAAGTTCCGAAGGTGCCGCTCCCTCGAATACGAGGTTCTCGCAGAATAGACCGTCCTGCTTCCGTTTACGTTCTCGTTTGAAGAAAAAGATCGAGAGCCCGTCTCAAATTGGGGACAGGCAGTCTATGGCTCAATCTATCGCCTAGCTTGGACGAGCCGCAGACTGGCTCCGGTGCAGGTCTAGATAGCACAGATTTGAATTATATTGAAGCAGTGATCATCGATTTTGCTAAGCAATAGGGCTAAACAGACTTGCAATCTCGCTTTTGCACACTGGGTCTCGTTTTTAATCTGTACACATTTTGCACACTAAAGACCGTGTTTATTCCCGAGACGGTCACTTCTTATCATCCTGCAACTCTAACAGCTCGGTATCCTCCACGTCAATGAGCTGTGCTGATGCTGCACCGTCCGATGTGGCACAGGTACCATGGGAACGGTCTCTGCCATTTGGTAGAAAACCATCGTCCAGAGATAGAAAGGTCTCTTCCCCTACGTCGTTATGGCCAACCAACCGATGCTGGAGAAGGAGGGTGTGGCGGTCGTGGCGGCAGCTTCCGGAAGCGTATTTGGAAAGGGGATCACGTTATCTTCGTCTCGGCCGAATTCGCGCTGCTGCAAACCACAGCAAGGAGAGAGGACACCAAGCCAACATGATGGCAGGCATCTTTGGCAAAATGGAAGTGGTCTACGCATTGTCGGCCCCGGTTCGCTTCAAACGGATATGGCCATTAATTCTGTTTTCTTGCCTGAGATCAGACATAGGGGCGTCCGATGCGTTGAATCGCCCACCAGTAAATGGCATTTCAAGGGCAATATAACAGCCTAAAGGCCCTAGAAGACCGTCCGACTCATTGAATGGACAGGCTAAGCAGGTAGTCGTCGAATTAATCAGTCCCAAAGGTCAGAATAGCCGCCAGACCACTGATCTCATTGAGTACGTAGGGGGGAACTTCAAGCCTGGGCGGTCCATTGTGACGCTTTTCGGATTAAAGGTACCGCCTGATCCACTGAGTCTGTACATGTCATTTATTCATGCTATCTATTACTGGGCACCAACGCACGAACCGGATAGTTCACCAATGTGACGACTACAACCTTTTGAGAAGGAGGCCTGGACGAGGTTTTGGGTTGATGAGAGGATGTAGGATGTAGTTGAGTCGTCGCCGTCCCATGAAGTTGTATGCCACATTAATATATACGCTGATATGGACCAAATAAGACAAAATCGTAGAAAAGGCAGTGTATCGGACTCAGCTTGGGGATCCCCCCGGGGTGGGGGCACAGTACAAAATACTGCTCTGCGGCAAATCCCCCGTGTCGACACTGGCCTTCCAGGCCGCTTGATTGAACGCTGTCGGCCCTGTTTGTGCGGGTGGTTGGAGAATAGCTATGAACTGTATGATTTATTGAAATTGTTCATAATACAGATTCCTTTCCTTTTAGAATGGTCATGCAATGAAGAAGGCTTATCCCTGAGTGTTCATCGCAGCTCCCCAGGCGTTCCTTGCTCGCTGAAGTCGATGAGACCTCCGGGCATGTATCCCACACCAACCCGATTGTAGATCAGGGACAAATCTTGTCCTTGTGGTGACACAGGCGTTACAAGAAGAACGTAGTGAGTTCTCGCATCGCTGGACTCCTTCTCCTGACCTTTCAACCTCCCGAGAACGACGCACTTCAGGAACGACTCCAGCTCATCCGTCCTGTCAGGGTCATCAAGTACGATGTTGGCACTATCCGATGTCATTGCTGATTGAAATTCAAACGAACGTCCATGCACAGTCAGCTCCAATGGGCACGTTAAGAAGTCACCGCTGTAGCTCCACGAATTCCCCGTGCCCCGCGACCACCGCGACCATATGTCTTTTTCCTCCCAGTCCACCTCGTTGAAGGGTAAGTCCATATAGTCGATGGCACCTTTGTAGGTCATCCATGACCATGAGGGTGGCGGAATGATGGCTACGGCCACACCTTTGAGCAGTTCAAACTCGATCCTTTTCAGCCCACTTGGTGCATCCCGTGCTCGCTGCCATAGCAAACTTCGCCATAGAAGGCCACGGTTCCCGTCGTCGAGGACGCCAAATCCTCCTCGGACCTCTAAGCTAGAAATGAGGCGCTTCTCGATACCCGCAATAGCGACAGGTCGGTCTGCGTCATGCGACAGCCCTAAACGCGAGTAGTTCGAGTAGAGATCTTGAAACAACCGAATCTTGCCTCCACGGTTGAATCTCATTGCGACTTCAGGGAACCTGGGGTCACCGAGAAACGAGGCGATTTTACTGAGTTTCCAATCTTTAGATCCCTTAATCTTGTATGCGCAGGGTTAGAAATCACTCACTTGTTCATGTTCATGGCGGTCTCGCAACGGACACCGGTCCCGCACTCCCAATACGTCTGCTTTTCGGTGAAGAAGATCGTGCGTCGCGCCAGCGCTCTTTCTTGTAGCACCCAACCTCTCGTGTTAAGATAACTGCCCAGCGCGTGCTGCTGGAAATTGTCGATAAAGTCGCAGGCATATATTGGAGGGCGGCCGAGGAGATTCTGATGAATTCTCAGGCAACTTCTCTCATCTCTCGGCTTCATGAACCCGTCTTGCTGGCCCTTGGCACAACTTGCAGCCAGTACGCAGTACGCTTGACCGAAGACTCCCTCCATATGCTTTGCTTGTTCATTGAAGTCGCCATTGGGACCCTGAATTATACAGATTGAGTCAATCCACAAGTATCGTTGATTCAAGCTTCTTGTTGCCTCCACCGCATCTTGAAATGTCTGCGGAAGATCATCGAGAAGAATTCCTTGGAGGTGGTGGCCTAGGTTCTCGGGATAGGTGCAGAAATGCGACGAACGGTCAGGTCCCCAAGCATGAGACAGAGCAAGGTACTCAAGCGCATCGTCGTGCTTGGTCTCGTACAGCTTCACAAAAGCTGCGCCCGCTTCTCCCACATCTATTAGTCTTGTGGGTAATCGATCGCCAGGATTCTTCAACGGTCTACAGTTTTCGTGATGCTCATCGCACTCTTCTAGCCAATTCCGAACTATGGTGAAATGTGCTTCACTACCAACGGTTGGCAGTCGGGGCAGACCAATTTGAGGCCAAGTATCGAAAGGATCGCTAATTGCGAGCCCGGAATCTATAAAAGAATTTTTTGTTAGTAGTCACTGACGACCTAGACATGTAGGTCATATTCTGGCCGATCAGGCGAACAAACGCACCTGAGTCTTCATGGCAGGCCAGGAAACTGATGACCGGTCGGTGGTTCAGCTGCAGATCGGAGTCAACTAGATCAAACAGAATACTCTGAACTTCGTGAGAGAATAAGTCCTTTCCCAGATGCCACCGCATTTTGCAGAAGTCACAAAGAGCAGCATCTCTCCTCAACTCCTGGAATGTGTCTGTGATCTGGAGTTTCTCCGCAAAGAAGTCCATATTCTCACACTTCATACACAGCTTCGCCTTGGGAACTGCGTCTGATACGATGGAATCTCGTAGTTCAGGATGGCCGAGCAGCGTCAAAACAAAAGTCTTATCTGCAGCTTTCTCCCAGGTGTCATTGAGCTATAGAACCCTGTTAGAAACACTGCGGTCTGCGTGACGGTTGCCGAGAAAACTCACGGTCTGAGAGAGGTCAGCGGGTCTCAGTACCTCAATAAGCGAAATTCATTGTATGTATTACTTACCGTCTATTCAAATGAGAATCACCACTTAGCTTTTCAATTCGAGAAATGTTGCAAACGAAGACGTCATAGTGGGCTTTACTCACATGCTGGATACATTTGGGTTAGAACTGGATGTTTTCATGTTTGGGCAACTTTGGGGGCTTGTTTTAATTTTTGAATAGAGACTCACATTCTTCAAGTTGAAACGAAGGGATCGATGGATTAGCAAGTATATAAAAAACCAGAAATTGTAATCGGGCTCACATACTGCGCGCTGTGTCAGTCATTACCTCGGTCAAACAGTTTCGTCACACGCTACTCACGTCCTGTATCAAGGTTACTATCATGTGACGTTGAATTTGAAATTCATGAAGATGAGCACGAGGAAGAATACCATCATGAGAATATCACAAATCAAGGAGCTAGAACTTACTTTGTTTCCCCTCTCAACACCCAGGTTTTGCCCTTGCGGCAGTTGCAGATGACTTGTCTGTTTCACAACATTTGCACCAGAGAACCAATAGCGTTGGTCCTCGCACGCAGCCTGTATTGCTTTTAGAGTGTGATGGAGATCTGCAGCGTTAGTTCGACAACCCGGCCTCGATATCATGGTCGTTTCTGGGAGCTGGACGACCAGGAGCTTGTCTTGTATGATAGACAACAGGTCTTGTAGAGCTTTCGAACCTTCGATGTCACGCTTCATTTGCGCCATGTGAGTCTTGACCGAGGGGTGGACATTGATGTTGTGATAGCCTCTCGTTTCGTTCCACGACGCGATCCAATAGGAACTTTGGTCTTTTGCGAAGACAGATTTGGTGTCCCTCGTAAGTTCGTCGACTTTTCTGGTGCCGTATAGTAGCCACGTCATTAGTTGCAACATGATACAGCCCATGGACCAAATGTCGTAGAGTCTTGAGGTCGGCGCAGATTTGGCATTGATGGTTTCAGGGGGTTGGTATGATATTGTACCGCTCCCCGCGTTGGATATGGTAGGACGTCGATCACCAGTTGCTGCAAAGTGGTGTCTTGCGAGTCCGAGGTCGGCCATCTTCCAGACGCCCAGGGAATTATGATTCTTGCTGTCGAAGATGAGGATATTCTCAGGTTTCAGATCGCCATGGCGGTAAGAATCTGAATTACCATGACGGAAAGCGTGGAGTCTTGTCAGTGCACCTGCCAGGCCGACCAATTGGTCCACAATATCAGGGATGTGTCGACGGGCGATGATAGAACGGTCGTGATGGCTGTCTCGTGACTTCCATAGATTCAGGAGGTTGCCGCCATCTGCCCAGGGGAAAACGAAATACTGTTTCTTCCCAATGGCGATCATAGCTGCAATGTCCACCACATGCGGGAGATCAAGCTGGCAAATCTTCTGTAGAGTCTTGACCTCTCTCTCCCAAGCTCGCTTTGCGTTTTTGTCCTCGATGGACTCTCGGAGTTCTTTGATAGCAGCCACACCGTGCGCCTAAAATGATTTGGTATCAGTTACTGATCACCTTTTCCTGCACCCAACAGATGACAAACACAGACTTGAGCAAATGACTGGTGGTAAACAGACACTGCAAGAGCAGTATGTATAATGGATCAAGTGGTGTTCATATCGTCGTACCTTGCGAATTGGATCATTGAAATCCAGAAACTCTTCGTGGAGTCTGACCTTGTAGACTATACCGAACTGTCCCTGGGATGTATGCTCAGACTTCAAAATTGGAAGGACAACATTTGGCTGAAGTTGGATAACGGACAACCTGTCCCGCATGGGAAGACACTGGGGCCTGAAGAGATGTTGAGAGTTTTTGAACAGCCGCCTTCTGCCGTTGTGCCGTGGTCCGGGCCATATCGCCCCCATTTCAGCGTCGGAGATTGGGAGGCTCCTGTCGGATATATCATGCCTCATGAACAGCCGCATCATATCTCTCAAACTCTGGTCGTGAACGTCCATGTATATTCCAATGGCGAAGATTTCTGGGGCGTCCCCACTAATGAACTCAACGACTTTCCTATCTGAGTCATCAAGAGACTCGAATGACTCTGAATCAGGCCAGATTGTGCGAGTGACAGAGGCGTTATGGATGGCCCTCAGTGTGCTTCTTGGTGCAAAGTATCCATTCTTGGGAGTTGGGAACTCGGACTCCCTCAAACTGTTGTTGATGTACTCCAACAGACTCTGTTGCAAAAGTTCCAGTGGCAAAGGATCACTTTGATGATCCCGTACTTTCTTTTCCTGGATTTGCTTCCATAAAGGCTTGCTGTCCCAAAAGGCTTGCACATCCTCCCTAGCGTCATGGCTAGAACTGATATTCTGTTCAAGTTCCAGGTCGGACCGCGTTTTGCAGTCGCATAGAGCGTTGCTGCACTCCAGCTCATACTGATCCCCAACTCCATTGGAGTCACGCTCGCTTTGATCGCCTCTTTGAGCTTCCGATTGTGTCTCGTCGAACTGACCGGCTGGCTCTTCTCTTTCCATAGGAGCTAGAATGAGGGCCACAGAGACAAGGTGATCTTTGACGTGCTTCTCCAATTTCCCAAGAGCTGATTCGTGATCCCATTTGGAAGAGTCTTTCTCGACCTCTTCGGGAAATCCACCGCAGAATGGACATTCATGTAAGGCGTGATTTGGGCGAATCATGCTATGCTTGACGACAGTAGGACGAAGTAAGTCCGTAACCTCAATTTGGTGTTTCTTGTCCGTAACCTCGTTTTGGTGTTTCTTCTCTAAGTGGCTTGCCAACTCTTCTGGGGTCGAGAAGGAGCTAGAGTATGAGGAGACTGTTTTGCAATACCAACAATGCCATCTTGGTTGAGTGTGCTTGTCGCGCATGTGCTTAAGCCAGCCAGTATAACTGTTCGCGCAGGTGAATGCTGAAGGACAGTCATCAAATACACAGAAGAAAGGTTCGAGATCATGAATGACGTGGCTCCTGATGAAGTTGGGCAGAGTATCAGCACACAAGCAACGCACCCGACTACTTCAAGGTTCACGGGTGGCACACTTACCTCCATTGTTTGTTGCTACTGGCCTCCTTCGCTGGGCACTCTAGAAGACAGAATGGGCAATTAAATGAAGTTCCCTGATTGATGAACTTCGGCATTGAAGGAAATTCCATGCCGCTCGAAAGTTCAACAGACATGACTGACTCCGTCCGCTTTGTCTTGTCCTGGGATGTGTGGAGTTTTGTCGGGTCCAGCCGCGTAGGTAATGTATAGCTGCTTGACTGTATCTTACTTTGCTGCTCTGAGTTGTCTTGGTTCGAAAGTAAGAATCTGATCGCGGGTTGCTGGTCTAGTTGAACTTCTGGTACAGACTTGTTCTGAATCTGCTGTAGTTTTGGGGCAGGCTCGATCAACGTCGAAATCTTCTCTTTGTGCTGCTCAAGGTAGCTGAATCGTGCTCGACGTGTTGCGATGGATTCGGCTGCACGTTCTCGCAGACTTTCGCTTGCTTTGGAAAATAGGATGTGATTGTTGACCTTTTCACGTGCGATTCTTTCAAGCATCTCATACCACTTCAGATGCCGACTCTTGAAATGTTGAATTCGCTCCTGGCGATGCGCAGCTCCAGCCAAACGCACAGTCAACTCTACTTGACGAAGGCTAGTAATGATACTCTGAATCGAACTCCACATTGTTGATTGAGGCCGAGGGGAGGATCGACTTTCATCGTGGTCGCTTAGGTCAGGATCAAGAAGCCTATAAGATTCAGACGAGCGATCTGACGAGCGATCTGACACGCGATTTGACGAGCAGTCGCTTTCGCTGCCAGAGCTATTTCCACCCTCTTCCTTGTCATCCCCTCTGAGGAGTCGCTTTTCTGCTCCAGGCTGATTAGAGTCTACCTACCGTGAGGTTGTCCTGGGGTAGAGGGTGGGGGCAATGGCTTACCAAGGTCAACCTTAAGCACAACAAGCAGTTGTTGGATTAGCTTGCCAATCTGTGGTGCACTTCTCAACCGAGAAGCCATTGACTGCTGACCATCGCGGAAAGCCCCCATATTCACCGTCCAGATGTTGAAGCTAGCCATCAGCTCTCTTGCCTCGGCCTGGTCCTTTGCGCCATTTTCGGCTGAAATTTGGTGCAGGAGGTCTCTGCATCGGGTTGACAACTCTCTGAGATCCTCTAGAGTCTCATTTGAGGTCCCGTAATCGGCCAGCTCTTCACTGGCATCACTATCTCGCATTGTGAAGCTCGAGGCACTGAGGCTTCGAGAGGATGGTCACGGGAAGCTTGGGTCGTAACTTCATCGAAAGAGGCTCGACTAGATGAGGTGATGTCTCCGCAACTTTTGACCATTCACACCTACCTCGTCAGACGGTGGGGGCCATATGCAAGACAACACCTTGTGCATGGCACGTGACCAGCCCGTTGACGAAAAGGAGTTGCCTGCTCACGCGCCCACATGCAGTCCTCGCCGCCCAATCCATCCGCGGATCCCAGCTCCATCGGTGCTTTGGGCCGGTACACTCATAAGCCTATCATCTCCGTCATCCATCTGCTGCTGCTGAATCTCAAGGACGGTCTTCATCAGCGCGACCAACACTTACTCGTGGATCCCAATCACGCGCTCCCACGTCTCCAGTTAGCTACCCAGCTACGCGCCAGCCAGATGTAGGGATGCGGTCCGCTACAAGTCTGTGACCCGCTTATACTCTCCATGAGGACACTCGAGAACGACATAATGGGCATTCTTTCCGGGTTCAGGCGCTCGAGGCCCCGAGTCACTGCGCCAGTCAAAACGGAAGACATATGGTATCTCCTTCTCTCTGTCTTACCCACTTTCGTGGATATAGCTGTAAGGGAACAAAGAGACCCACGCGACTCCTCGAACAGCGCGGAGAAATCCATTGGAAATATCGAAAAGTTTTACCCACGATTCATTTCTGTCATAATGGCCCTACATAGCATTCTATTTGCATATCGGGACACGATAGAAGAATCTATAACGAGATTCTCGATGGGGGAAGCCACGGTTAAAAGAAACCTGTTGAGAATCCTAGATGAGTTGGAGAACCGTTTCGTGTCTCGAAGTGACGAGAAGGCCGGGCGCATCGGTTTCCAATGCAGAGAGGACGAGGCTTACCCGAAGCTCCGTGCTCTCAGGAGGAGACTATCTGATGATGCACTAGAAGAGGACTTGGACGCAATCAATGGCATCATCCATATCTATGGTACTCATTCAGAGAAGCGAGAGAAGCTGCTGGACAATCTTGACAAAGCGAGCGACTTCTTCAACTTGTTCCACGACGAGCAGCTGCGTACATCTGGGCCGGACTCTCCGTGCACAGCAGAATTCTCGAATTATCTTCTCGTGCATATTTGGAACCTCACGAAGACACTTTTCGACGCAATAGAGAGTAACTGGCGCCTTTGCAAAGAGTCAGACTGCACGTCGCATGCAAGCCGCCAGACACGTCTGCATCTTACCGAGCATCAACGGTTTGAGACTGCCGGTGGAAGTGTCTCCCTGAACAGCAAGGAGCGATTCCGAATCTTGTTCTCGACTAGCCCTAGGGACCTCAGCTGGCAAAGCACGGAAATTACCGCCACTAGCCTGGAGTAAGTCAATATCTGCAGCTGTTTAGCCTAGTTAAGTTCTAACCAGATTCACGGTCAGCTATGCGAAGGAACGAGTGAAGGTGCAGCATAAGCCAATGGAAAACGGCCTCTGCGAAACCATACAAGGAGTGAAGGAAGACCTCTGCCCGCAAATGGCCATCTATGGACACAAGCTGTGGAATCTAGGGACACGGTCCGTCCGTGACATCACCCGCAATCAGCCGCCCTCTCCGGCTCAGCTTTCGAACCGCGATTTCAAGACCCTGACAGATCTGCTTCGCCCGAGTGAAAACAGACGCGAACACTCGCTATCATCGATGCAGGCAAGAGACCGCTTGATCCTTTCGTTTATCCTGACAACATCCCTCTTGCGCTTCTTCAGAGGGCCGTGGCTACAGGCCAGCTTTTGCAGCGATAACATCTGTTTCCTGGTCTTCAACGGATCAGAGCCTGATATTACCAAGCCCTACCTGACGACGAATTGTTCAGCTCCGCTCGAGAGTGGACCACCACCAGTTGACCTGGCCCAGCCTCATCCATTTCCTGATATTCTATCCCTAGGCATACTTCTCCTCGAAATCGCCAGGGGAGATATCATCGACATTCCGCAGCACCAGGATCGTTGTTCCATTGCCTTGAAGCACATGGAAGAATGGACTAGACCACAGGCAGACCGTATGAGACCAATCTATGGTTACCTCCATCAAGCAATCTCGGCTTGTATCAGCCCAAGCAACCTCCGAAACGATAGGCTTGACGAGATGGACGTCAACGAAAAGAAGGCCAGGAAGTACATCTTTGAAAGAATTCTGTGGCCTCTGGAATCTGCTCTCTCCGATGCCTACAACGTCAAGCCAAACACTTTGAATACGGATATTGCCCCAGAGGAACAGCCCATTGGGCTCGGTGCATTCGACCACAAAGACGAGGATTCCAGTGGGAAGTATGAATACAACCAAGCCCCCGCTATGCTTCAGTCTGCTAATAAAAACCTGTTGCCAGGCAAAAAGCTGCCGGGCATTGGCTCAAATGCTTGGGAGGCGTACATAATTTGTTGGACGAATATCAGGAAAGAAGCAGAAAATTACGAAAAGAAGCTGTCAAAGTTGCCGTGCTTGACACAGGTCTCCAGATATCTTGGAAATCACTCCAAGACAACTATATAGAGGACAAGCGCATCAGCACGGAGCAGTCTGAGGACTTTGTCCGTTACGAAGGGGAAGAATCCATCCGTGGCTGGGACGTTGACTGCGACGGCCATGGTTCTAGAGTGGGCGAGATCGTCTTGCAAGTTGCTCCAAAAGCCGTGCTACATGTTGCGAAGGTTTTCCGTCACAAAGATGACTTAACCGACCCCAAGATTTCTGAACAAGTTCACAAGCAGATTGCGCACGCAAGTTCTTTCGATGAGGTTGGAGCAATAGTCTGCTAATTCGTTTAGGCCATCGAGCGCGCCTCCTATGATTGGAAGGTCGATATGATCGTCATGAGCTTCGGCTTCGACAGGCCAATACCCTCGATTCGCAGGGTCATTGGAAAAGTTTCCAAAATGGAGAGTCCGCCATTATTCTTTGCCGCTACTCGCAATGATGGTGCCAACATAGGCATAGCATGGCCGGCAAAGGACTCTCGGGTCATCGGGATCAGCTCAACCGATGGCTATGGAGTGAGATCCGAATTCAATCCCACGGAGGATGAGACCAGTTCTCCAATACTCCATGCTTTTGGAGAGTGTGTCCCCGTTACAGCAGAAGAGCCTCAAGTCGGAGAGCACATGTCCGGAACTTCATATTCCAACCCCGGTCCCACGGCCAAGCCCCACGAAAAGCACGTATCAGGAACCTCATACGCCACCCCCATGGCAGCAGCACTGGTGTCAAACTTGGTGGCATGCGTTCGCATGATCGTGGCCACTTCAGTAGGCGAATTAAAGAGTTACGACCGCGTTCCGGAGCGCCTACGGAAGCTGAATGCGAACGACATGGTTGCGGTTTTAAGAACGCACATAGAAAAGAAACATAATAGCGGCAACAGGAGCTTGCTTCCTTGGGATTTCCTGAAAGGTGGGGACCAAGGAATTTTGAAGGATCTTGATGAGACATTGGAAAAGATCTTGGGCAAAGAATGACATTGAGGTAAAGTCTTTTTTTTTTTTTTTTTTTTTTTTTTTTTTTTTTTTAATAACGATGGTTGTGACTTAGCCCGGGAAGAGTATCATGTGTTATGCCTGAATGCTGGTTGAGGATACAGAACGAGATGATCCATCAGAATGATCAACACGGTCCCTGCATTGGCATGAGCCAAGAATACACCAAGAAAACGACTCATTCCTTGATAAAGGAATCTAGGTAGTCAGAGTGATACGTGAGTTTGACCAATGATACATAGCAAGTCTCACAATCCGCTCGCATCAGAACTCAGATTTTGTCTTGATCAGCCTGCACGACGGTGTCCAGGAACGCCTCATTAATGTCGTCATCACCTAAGCTGACCTCTTCAAGATCAAAAGCGTCTCGAGCCTTGATGTCGGTAACATCTTCCTCCTCGTCGCTCCCGAACGCCGCTCCCTTCACAAAAGCCTTGTTCTTGCTTCCGTCACCCCATCTACTCGGTTTTATCCTTGTAAGTCGGTAGGCAAATATATAGTCCGTGGACCCGCTGTACGAGACGCCTCGCGTGGTCTTCAAATCGTGGTCTATCTCATCTCCCATGTTGATCGGAATGGCTGAACTCGTCCCATCGAATTTCAGCTCGGCCTGCGTCGACTTCTCGGTGCTCGTCTCGGTGCTCGCGCTGGCTCCTCTTGCGATCTTCAGCCCAGTGATCAAATACACCGGCTTGCGCCGGCCAGTTACCTCGAAGTACGCCTGGACGTCTAGATCACTAAGTACTCGATCGAAATATTCGTCATCTGGCAGGAAGTAGGTTGTCTCGAGGGTATCGAACTTGTGATTCTCCAGCTTCGACTTGATTATGCTGAAGCTCACGCCTCCCTCAAGGTACTGCATGCATTGCGCCCATAGTCCGATTTTAGCCGAACGTATCTCGTCCAGGGTCGTTTGCCAGTCGGTTTTCTTCCCCTCGTATATCGTCGACGGCGCAATGGGGAAAGCGCGAAGCTTACTCTCAGGTTCATACGGGTCCTTGATCAGGCGGCCGAGGACCACAATATCACTGTCGGCGTGAATGTCCCAATTTGGCGACGGGATGTAGGTCGGAGTTAGAGCCATGGTATTATCTTAGACAATGAAGTCCGCGCGGCTGTAATGACAAGCAGTGTGGATGCAGAATGATGTTTACCGATGTTCCGTACCCATGCCAGATCAGATCGACCTGAGGAAGGATGCCGTGCTCGGTAAGGAGCTGGGGACGAAGGTGGTTTTCTGATGTCTGTATTGTGTGACGACGGTGGATGGCGCATGTCCGCCCGCACCACGTTGCCGAGGAGACACGCTGCAGGCATTTTTGAATTACCGGGACAAGCATAGCCACAACCGGTGTGGTCTGTTCCCTTCTTCCTACTCGTGTCTCATTCCGCGTTTGTGGGACCTGTGTCAGCGTGGCTGCATGTAACCCCTCTTCATATGCATCAATGTGTTGGCCAGAGACCTGCTTCTCTCGGAAAAGATTGGCTGGGGTCTAATGGTCAACCTACCGGAAAAGCAGCTTACCGAGTAGCAACTATAGGACAGAATAGAAGAACAGCACCCAGGGATCGCAAAGGAATTCTCTACCTGATATTTCATATCCTTCAAATATTTCCTGATAATGACTATTCTAGAAAGATAGCAACCTTGAAATGTTGATTAAGAGCAGTGAGGATACAGCTTGAGGCAGTACATAGGATCGTGGGTGAAGACTCTTGGTCGTAGAACTCATATCCCTTCGTTATGAGTACCGAATGCGGTGCACTAACAAATAGCTCTTGAACAGAAGCGACACCCTTCCCTATCTTTATAATTGCTGTTCTGATGGACAAAGTCTCAATATTCCAGAAAATTTGCGTATCATGTTTAAGGGGCGTCTAAAAAGTTAATGAAGTCTATAGCATGGCCCGACAGTCCTCCGTCTATGAAAATTAGTAAAGCTTGTGGTGTGTAGCAAGCAAAGAAAAGTGAAAGAAAACGCCTTCCATCACAAAGTCGACGCACTCGATTAAGTGTTAGTATGTGAAGTGAGATGTAACCCACAATCTGCAAAGGTCCTGGGCAATGGACTGTGTTCAGCCCTTGATGTATTGGAGCTTCCAGAAATCGCTAGGGGTTTCGAAACTGCTCTCACAACCCATTTGACCCGAGGCACCGACCTGTCCGTTGTTCTGGAGGACATGTTAGCACCGATATCGTGGCTGGAGGGCTTTTGAGTAAGGGACAACGTACCGTGAACCGCTTGATAGATTCAGAAATAGCAGCGCTAATGTCAGAAGATCCGATCTTCGCTCCGAGAAGTTCTTGCTGCCGGCTCCGAAAACATCTAACCCAGCCGTGAGGACGCCATGATAGTTGAGGGTGTTAGCCCACAGGTCGTAGGGTTTGTTTCGAAGAGGCATGCAGTCACCCAGGGTAGCACAGTCACTCTCGTTCAACCAAGGGGCCTTGGTAACTACCGCCGGTAAATGATGTACCTAGGTACAATGTCTCAACTTTAGAAGTAGTCATAAACTTACTAAAGGCCTTGCTTGCTTACTCCTCCTCCTATCTTGAGTGGTCTCGTTCTTAATTTATATACATATGCTTTTTAAGCAATATGCATTCAATCCTTTTACATAATAATAAATGTTTAAATAACTAATATTAATAAAATGTAATGTTAATAATAATAACTTTATAATAAGCTATAGCTATATAAATAAGGCTAATAAAAACCACTTTTAATAGCGTTATAAATTAAAAAGTTAAGCAATTAATTATAACGTGGTTTACCATTAAGTGGCAAATATTACTAAATAGCGGATTTTTCTAACTTTACTTAACTGTTACGGTTTGGGCTTTGCCTATTGTAATTAATTAGTGGGCTTTGGCCCTATAAGAATAGGCTTTAGCGCGGATATAAACAGGGAGTAAACCTTTTCCTTTGCACTTTAAATATACCCTATTTAAACACCTTATAGCAAATAATCCAAGGCTAGCCTATAATATATATTTAAAGTTTTCTTGCATTATAAACTTATAATGCAACTATATAAAACCTAATATAGCAAGACTTAGAAAGAATAACGGCAGCCTATTAAGCCCTTCCCTATTTAAAAGAACTCTTATTTTGGGAATACTTAATAATTTAGCTAATAAAGATAAGGGCTAAGTTTGCAATAAATAAGAAGGTAATTAGCGTTAAAAGGGCTTAATTCTTTTATATATTTAATTAATTAAGAATTTTTTATAATTAATTTTTATCTTATATTAATTTTATAAAGATATTTAAGGGGTAATTAAAGAGCTTTTTAAAAAAGATTTGCCTTGCGCTTAGGGACCTTTTTAAGCAAAAATATATTAAACTTAGCTTAATTATATTATAATAATATTATAAAGAAAGAATAATAAAATTTCTTATTTAATTTAATTAATTAGCTTATATAATGAAAACTTAAAGTTAGCTAAATAAGTATAAAATATTATTAATAGCTAATAGCTTAATCTTTATAATAAAAGCTTAGCTTAATTATAAAAAATAGCTAAATATATTTAAGGCCTTTTATTTTGCCTTATAGTAATATAAGGGCGTTTTTAATATTGCAATAAGAAAGGATAATACTTAACCTTAAAATAGCAAAGTAATAAATATTAATATTATAGTAGTTTTAATAAGTAAAGTTAAGTATTTTGCATATAGCTAATTTAGCTATTATAAGCGCAATTACCCTAATTATTATAAGAAAATAAGAATATAGCTTTTATTAATTAAGGCTAATAAGGAGAAAGAATTTATTTAAGGGGGTGTAAAATTCTTTTTATAAGGTAGGGTTTAAAAGTAATGCTAACTTAGCGCTAGCTTAAACTTAAAGTAGATTAGCTATATATTAATTAGTTTAGCCTTATAAAAATGCTTAAAATTTAGGAAATTCCCGCTAATAAAGCAGATTGCTTATAATTAAGCGCTAATTAATTACAAATTATATAATAAATTTATAATTTTAAAATTTTAAATAAAAAAGCTTATATAAAAGGCTTATATTAAAGGATTATAAGAATATTATTAATTTAATTATTAATTTACGCTTAAATAATTATTTTTTATTAGCTTGCTTTAATTAATATATTAAATTATAAGGGCTGGGGTATATTAATTATAAATAATAAGCTAAGCTTTTAGCATAATTAAAAGGCATTAAAGTATAATTAAATAGCTAAGCAAAAAGCAATATTTAATTTATAATTAAATTATAATATTCTTTATTTTTTATTATATAGCTACCCTTTAAAGCCTGCTATAAAAACCTAAAAAAAAAGGATATATTATGGTTTAAGCTTTGCTTATTATAATTAATTAATAGGCTTTAGCCTTATAAAAATAGGCTTTAACGCGGATATAAACAAGGAGTAAACCTTTTCCTTTACACTTTAAATATAAACCCTATTTAAACACCTTACAGCAAATAACTCAAGGCTAACCCATAACATTAACTTTTATTAACCATAATACTATATTAAGGTAAATAAATTAATAAAAAGTTAGCATTAATTAATATTAACTGCATTTAATTCTCCTTATTTTTAATTAATTTTATTAATTTAAAAGCATTAATATAAGTATAGTGTTAATTTAAATAAGTTAACTTTTAATAAGAAATATATATTTAGCATTAATTAATATTAATTATATTATTAAAAATGCAGTTTATTGCAAATTAATAAAATAGCTATATTTACATTAATTAATATTAATTAAATTAAATTTATTATAATATAATTGAAATTTAATTAATTAAACCCTTCTTTATTTTTCTTATAAGTTCTTGCATTATGCCTAATCTCATTATAATTGCTATATTATTATTTAATTAATTCGCTATGGATTACCTTCTTAGCACTACTACTTATTTTACTAGCTAGCCGCTTCCCCTTTTATTTCTCTTAAATAAAAGCTTAAAATTTCTTAATAATAAGTGTTTTTTTAAGTTATACTTAAGTTCTTTTAGCCCTTTAGCATTTAATAAATGCTATATTAGCATTCTTAAGAGTATAAACCTAATTCTTTAAAATAATAAGTTTATATGCTATTACCTATATACTTTTTACCATTTAATTAATAGCCTTTATAATTAATATAAAAGAGCTTTCTTAATAGGTTAAGATCCTGCCCTTAATAAAACTTAATTATTAAATAGTTTATTAAGCATTTAATAACATTTAAGACTTTTATTTTTAAGGAGAAATAAAAAGGGATTATGTTAAAGTTTATAGGCGGATATTAAGCTTGGAAATTATAAAATTAGGGTTTTAAGGAGAAATTTTAGCTTCTTTAAATGCAAACTTAATGTTTTTTATCGTGAAAGTCTTATTATAAGCTACCTTAAATGCAAGAAAAAACTTAAATTTAATAATATAGTTAATAAAGGCTTGGATAAAGAGCTTAATTTTATTGCTATATGCATGCTTTAAAGATAAATATAATATAATATTTAATAATTAAAGTAAGTAAGATAAATGTAATAATATATTAATAATAATAATCTTATTATCTTTATAATATTAATTAAACTTAATTAATATATAGCTTTTATAGCTATTTATAATTAATATTTAATAATTAATATCTTTCTTTAGCTTAATATGCTTATTAAAGTATTAAATTTATTTTAAATTAATTTTATTATTTATTTATTTATTAAAAGTAAGCTTAATAACTTAATTATTTAAAAAACTTAACTTTATTGCTTAGCTAATAAAGTAATAAGCGCCTTAAATAATTATAAATAATGGGATTTATAACTTACTTATATTAATATATTTAATAATAATTGCCTATTTTTAATTATTAAATTAAATTAATTTAACCTTTTTATATTTATTAATGTATATAATAATTATTAATAGGGTAATTATATTTATTATAAAGTTAATCTTATTAAAATTATAAAGGTTGTTATTAATGATTTAATACTTAGCTATTATATTATAAAGAAACTTAAATTAATTCTTAATAATTTTTAAATCTTTATAAAATGTAGTGGTTATTCTAGGGTGCAGTTAAATGATAGGTATGGGGCTTAATTAGCTTTAATTTAGGGGTTCTTAGCAGGGGCTATTTAAGGGCACTGCGTGCTTTATTAAATTAATATATAACTTATAAAGCCCATGCGCTTTATTAGCAATGCTTGCAATGTATTGCCCTTATAACAGCTATTATAAATACTAAGCATTAAAAAGAATGTAATATCTTTATTATTAATAGTCTTAAACTTATTAAGAATATCACATAAATAAAAGCAACGCAATTACTAATATTAACGTTTTGCTAGTTTCTTCCTATTATTATGGTTATTCTTGCTTTTTTAAGGCATTCTTCATTATTACTATATTTAAATGCATAGCCTTATATATATTAATTAATTCCTAATAATTAGCTAACTTATAAAGCAACTTTTAGTAATTATATTATGTTAATTAACCCTTTTAATATATAAAATATCTTAATATGCTTTCTTTTCCTTAATGCTTAATTTTTTTATTTAATATCCGCTTAACCTTATATTTCTTTAAGGGCAAGCTATTATTAAGCTTATTATTCTTTATATAATAATATATTAAGCTAAATTTTAGTAGCTTATAATTAAAAAGATTATCTTTAGCTTAATATTAATTAAAATATTATATACTTATTATTAAGTAAACTTAAGTATCTTTATTTTAATTATTAATTTTAAAATTAAGTTTATAATCTAAAGAAAATACCTTATGTATAATAATAAAAAAACCTTTTTGCAATAGCTAAATCTTATTATTTTATTAAAATAAAAGCTTATAGGCTTTATTTATATAAAGCTATACCTTATTATTAATATTAAACTACTTTTAATAATAAGCGGTATTATATAGCTTCTTAGATTTTAATATTATAATATTTATAGCTAACTAAGCATTTTATTATAAGTACTTTTATATAAATTAAATATTTAATAGCTTTTAAATAATATTAATAAGTTGCTTAAAAGGGGATAAAACTTTAAACTTAAATAAAAACTCATAAGAATTAATATTAATTAAACATTAATAAGCTTTATTTAAGTTTTATTATAAAGTAAGTAAAATATTTACTTATAGTTTACTTAAGTATTTTGCTATATAATAATAAATAACTATTTCCATATTTTAATTTTTTTATTTAAAAGCATTATTAAATTATAAGTAATATATTATAATTATAAGCAATTAAGTATTAAAACTTTTTTATAAATTTATTTAAAATTAAAAGGTAAATTTAGCATTTTAATTAAAAATAATAACGTATAAATAAGCTTAATTATTAAAAAGCAATTACCTTCCCAATACTATGCCTTATTACTTTAATATATATTTTATATACCTTAAAATTAGCAATATTTACTTAAAG